CACTGCTCCATCTAAACCACCGAGGAGGCCCAGCTTTGACACATGCACTCCATGGTCAGAACTTGGACCCCTGCTATACTCTCCAAGGTTGGGGTTTTGAGCCCAACAACTTATCTGGGTAGTTCCCGAAAGAAACTTCTTCTGAGGTGATCCCAGATCTGACTTTTGTCTGTGCTTGCCAATACAGGGTCTGGCACAGTCTGCTGCCCCAGTCAGCTTATGCATATGCTGGTGTGTTGTGGGCTGGTGTGTTGTGGGCTGGTGTGTTGTGGGCTGGTGTGTTGTGGGCTGGTGTGTTGTGGACTGGTGGTTGCAATTGCTGGGTCAGTTCTGCCTACAACCACATCTTCTACACAAACCAATAGTTACTGGAGTCCAACCTGACCCTGCCCGCCATACACTCAGCCTTCACGCAAACCAGTGAGAGCTGCAGCCCAGTCACAGCGATCTGCAATCACTCCCCTACATCTGCCCCCGACCATGGCTGCAGTGCTTGCCACTATGTACAACAGACTGATCCGGTCTGTCCCACGTCACATGCAGCTTTCATAGATGTCAATGGGCACTGAAGCCCAGTTTAACCGAAGCAGCCCCACTATTCGGCCCACACACCTGCCAGCAGGTGCCACTCTCTCTCTCTAGCCATGCCAACACCAGTCCTGTTTCTCATGTTCACCAGTTGGAGTGGCAACCCAAGAGGGAGGTACCCACTGTTTCCCTACTGGGCCCACTCCCACTCCCAGATCTTGCACTCTCCAGGTGGTTCTGCAGTTTAACTTGACAGAATTCACTCCCCACCTGCCAGCCTCTGCCAGCTGCTGCTGCAGCAAAGCCCAACGCTCCCAATCCCACTCTAGCTTGTACTTGCACTAATAGGAACAGTCAACCTAGCCTGGCTTTTCCCTGGATTTGGTCAACTCACAACAGTAGTAAGTAAATCAGCAGATGAAAGATCTCTCTTCCTCTTCTCTGTTGCTCTTTCAAAGTAAATAAAAAATCTTTTTAAAACGAAAACTAGTTGGGGGCTGGCATTACGGTTTGTCAAGGTAAGCTACTGCCTGTGAAACCAGCACTCCATGTGAGCGCTGGTTCAAGTCCTGGCTTCTCTACTTCAGTTCTAGCTCTCTGCTAATGCTCCTGGGAAAGAAGCAGAGCTGGCCCAAGTGCGTGGGCTCCTGCCACCCACGTGGGAGATCCAGATGGACTTGAGGCTCCTGGCGTTGGCCTGGCCCAGCCCTGGCCACTGTGGCCAAGTGGGGAGTGAAGCAGCAGATGGAAGGTCCCTGTGGCTTTCCCTCACTCTTTTTACCAAATAAATACGTCTATTTTGTTTTGTTTTGTTTTTTAAAGGGAGAGGGAAAGTCATAAAATAACACAATTTAACAAATTTTTCCATTTTGCAAGAGTCTCAAGAAATGGTTTCAGTGTCATGATAAAGTCAGTATTATGTAAGACTCCTTGAAGATCTCAGGGTGGACTGAGGTTGTGGCTGTCAGATCCCATCAGAGATATAAGGGGGCTCTGAGATTATTTCATCATCCTGGAACTTCCAAAGAAGATCTCTTTCTGCTATGGCTAAGCATATGTGTTCCTCAAAATTCCTAGGCTAGACCCTAACAACGCGATAGTCTTATGGAGAGGGGCCTGACCATGACGTCACACACGAGGGCTCTTACAAAAGAGTGCATGTAAGTGGTCTGGCGCCCTCGCCCACCCGGCCATCACCTTACAAGGACAGAGCAGCACTCACCGCATCCTTTATCCACTGATGCCTTCATCTTGGATTCCTCAGCTTCCAGAACTGTAAGAGATAAAGTTATCTTCTATAACTTATCTATATCTCATGTTATAGCAATAGCAAGGTACTTTATACTCAATATAATACCTGTTAAAATTACAACTGCATTTTTTTTTTGTAGAAATGAGCAAGCTGGTCCTAAAACTCACGTGGTGGGCCCAGTGTGGTGGCCCGATGTGGGCACCGGTTCTAATCTACACTGATTTCCCAGGGAACAAGGAGGGTGCTGGAAAAGTGGAGCAGCTGAGATTAGAACCAGCGCCCACATGGGATCCTGGCACATGCAAAATGAGGACTCCAGCTGCCAGGCTACTGCGCTGGACCCTAAAATTCACATTTTAAACATTTAGGAAATCACAGGACTGTAAGGTCTGTAAAGGATTAAATCATCCACTTAAATTGTGCAACGTAGTCCAAGAATTATTTTGAAGCAACACCACCACCTGGTGGCTAAAGTTAAATATGACACCTTTCTTGAAACTAAACCTCATCTATATTAGAAAAATTGGCTTCAGTTATGACTATTTTAGGAACAAGTTTAATAATTCAACCAAAACATACTTAAGAGTTAAAATAATATGTACAGTATTGACCTCAAAAATTTATAATACAACATTCTATGAAAGCCCATGTACAAGAACAAAACAGTGAAAACAAAATATTTTCATTTATACATTTACCTATTATTTGTACCTATTATATCTTACAGTGAATATAAGAGAATAAGTAATAAGCATAATAAATGACTATACTAAATCTTTGGTGAAAGTCTTACAGAAAACAAGATGGGGGACATGAAGTAGGTTATAATTATTTTTTAAAGATTTAATTTTATTTTTATTGCAAAGTCAGATATTCAGAGAGGAGGAGAGACAGAGAGGAAGATCTTCCATCTGATGGTTTACTCACCAAGTGGTCGCAATGGCTGAAGCTGCACCAATCTGAAGCCAGGAGCCAGGAGCTCTTCTAAGTCTCCCATGCAGGTGCAGGGTCCCAAGGCTTTGGGCCGTCCTTGACTGCTTTCCCAGGCCACAAGCAGAGAGGTGGATGGGTAGCAGGGCCTCCAGAACACGAACTGGTGCCCATGTGGAATCCCGGTGCGTGCAAGGCGAGGCCTTTAGCTACTAGGTTACTGTGCTGGGCCCAGTAGGTTATCATTTTAAATAGGATGAAAAAAAAAAAAAAACTATTCTTGGAAAGTCAGAGTTTCAGAGAAGAGTGAGAAGTCTTCCATTAGTTTGTTCCCTTCCCAGACAGCTGCCCAGCTGGCACTAGGCCCGGCCAAAGCCAGTAGCCTGGGCCTCGAGGCACAGTGGCATTATTGTCCGTGACATCTCAGAGGCTCCGGAAGCTTTGTGCTGTTCCCAGCGGCTCCCAAGGACTCGGGTCATCTCCCACTGCTTTGTCCAGGCCATTGCCAGAAGCTGGACCAGAAGTGGAGCAGCCAGAACTCAAAGCAGCAGGAATATGGGATGCTGGCGAGGCAGGCGGCAGCCTGACCCACGGCACCACCATTGTGCTCCCAAACAGAGTGACATTGAAGCCTTGGTTTGTGTCCTGGCTGCTGTGCATCTCATCCAGCTCTCTGCCTGTGGCCTGGGAGAGCTGCAACGAACGGCTCAGATTCTTGGGACCCTGCATCCATGTGGGAGACCTGGATAAAGCGCCGGGCTCCTGGCTTCAGAATGGCTCAGCTCTGGCCATTGCAGCCATATGGGAAGTGAACCAGCAGATGGAAGATTTTTCTGTCTCTCATTCTCTATGTACATCTGCCTTTCCGATAAAAAAAAAAAAATCTTTAAAAAAGGTAAGGAAAATGCGCAACGCACACAACACAACACACAGCCGCTATGAAACGCTGTTCATTCTCAACAAGAAAATACAAACATTTCCACAATGTACACCCGGAAGACACATGCTAAGCCAAACAAGGCTGGCTCAAAAACCCAAACACTTTAGGAGTTCCTTTATACGTGCAGTCTAAGCAGTGGAATTCCAGAAGCAGAGAGCAGAGGGGTGGGCGGCCGGGCCAGGCGTTTGCGTGTCCCTGTGCTGTGTGCGGATGCGGTGATGGGGGCAGAGGCACACAACGCTGTATTGGAGATCCTGGAGTTGCGAGGCACAGCCTGACAACTACAGCTGACAAAAATGGACGGCGCAAGACGTCATCAGAAAATTCTGGGGAATGCTATTACGAAAGCAAAAGCAAAACCGCTCAAAGTCATCTTGTCCGAAAATGAAATCAACGTGTAATTTTTAAACTCCATTTGGCATGAGCTTTTGAAGCACCCTGGTACAAGTGAATACTGTTAAGGAAGGGAAATCGTAAGTATTACCTCTCTCTCTCTCTCTCTCTCTCCAGGGCACATGCTCCTAAGTTTGTTTGCGATCTTCACTTCACAGTATTTTCCCATACATTTTATGCCCTAAAAGTACAATGTGTCAACCACACGTCATTAAACTAGAATTTTTTTTTTTCAAAACAAAAATACGGTGGGAGCCCATAAAGTTGCGTGGAATTAAATTTTCTCCTGACTACAAATATAATATGCTGGTTATTTCTTCTCGCCACGGTAGTTTTACACGTTAAAAAAAAAAAACCCCGTCCTCTCCAGGGAGAAACAGCTCCGGGTGTGCAGGGCTCGGTCCTGCCGCAGGTGCCCGGCGCCGGCGAGGCCAGAGGACCAAGCCTGAGCCCTGTGGGCCACCGTCGCGGCCAGCAGCGCCCGGGCAGCGGCCTCTCCGGCCCGCCGGCTCCGCGCGGGCACCTTGTGTTATTATTACATAGCGCTGCGGCCCGTGAGGAGAAAGCAGCTGCCGAGAGGTGGACAGGGGAGCCCCGAGCCCCGCATCCTCCCACCGCACCGCGGGTGCGCGAGGCGCCCCAGCCGCCAGCCCCGCCTCGCTTGCTCTCTCCTCGGCCGATTCGTCACGGCGCCGTGTCAACCACGAAAATGCGATTTCTAGAATCTCCGCGAGCATTCTTGGAGAGAGACACAGAAGCAGGAGAGAGAATTCAATTTTGAGAAAACAAAGTTGTTTTTTTTTTTTTTCTCTTCCGTTGGGGCGTTCACAGTCTCGGCACTCTGCGTCGAAAGCGACGACGCGAACGCGCAGACGCAGGCGCCGCGGCGCCCGCCCCCTCCGGGAGTCCGACGTGGAAGTTGCCGGCGCCCCGGGCTTGCGTGGAGCGGCCAGCCGGGGCTGAGGCGAGCGGAGGCGGCGGCGCCGAGCCGGGACGAGCACCTGCTGCTGCTGCTGCTGCTGCTGAGGCCTGGGGCCCGGCTCCGACGACCGGCTCACCATGGGTGAGAGCAGCCGCTGTTGGGGCGCGCTGCCGGCCTGGGGACCGCGGGAGCCAGCTTCTCGGGGTGCGGGGACCCCCAAGGAGGGGCGCCTCTGCCCTCGTGCTGGTACCTAGCTCTTCCCTGTGGGGTCAGAGGAGAGCCCGGGGTTCGCAGTTCCCAGCCCCGGTCCTACGACCCCCTGAACCCCACACCTGTGCCCCCATCCCCTCGGGGCTCCTGAGTACCGAACTTTCCCCCTGTGCCCCGCTCGCCTGGCTCGGCCGGGCTGGGTTTTGGCGCAGCCTGGTAGCCTGTGGGTCATCGGTGGGCCGAGGAAGACCAGCGGTGACCCTCCCATCCCCATCGCGGGTGGCGGCTGGACTGTCTTTAGGGCGCTGGGGTTGCGCCAGTGGGCACTATGGCGGGGGACCTGGTGCTCGGGGTGTTTTTATTTTTCGCCTCTTTGGGCCTCTCTCTGTCCTCTTTTCCACGGCAGCCCTACTTGCCGAGGGGCAGAGCGAGGAGGTGGGCAGGGACTGGGCTGCCCGTCTGTGGAGAGGACCGCCTTGCCCCCAGCTGCCCCCCAGCCCCTCCAGTGCAGGTGCGCGCCCTCCCCCGACTTGGTCTCCGCGCTCCCCAGTGTAGATGCAACTTCTTCAGCTTGTGTTAATCCCAGCTGGGCTTCCTGGGGGAGTGTCCTTCCGGGGCCCCCCAACGTCACCGGCGAGAGTGTGTGTGTGTGTGTGTGTGTGTGTGTGTCCGTGTCTCCTGGGACCCTGATAAGTTTGTGCTTCCGTCTCTGCAGTGCTCCAGGGTAGGGAAGACTTGGCTTAAGTCACGCCCATTCTGGCGAACTTTCCCGAACCAGTAGCCACGTCGCATTCATTTCTCCAGACGTTTTCACTGTGCCGTCCCTTGGTCCAGTAGCAAAGCATGGCAACCTTGCTATGGTGCCTGTAGCTTTGCATCTTGTGTTAGGAAAAGGGAGTGTGGCACGGTGCTGTTATCTTCCGTGACACCTTAGCTTGCTGGAACTGCTTCCTGGTGTGTTAGAGGAGCGGCGTGTCGGGGCGGCGTGGCCGCCAGCTGCTGCCTGCCTCCTCTGCTTGGCTGCCTTGATGTCTTGGTGGAAGGTAGTGCTGTGACCCTGGACCTGCTGCCAGCGTTGCACGCGGGAGGCCCTCCTTGTGCCCCTGCTGTTCTGCCAGGCCCGAGATGGTGTCGGGGCAGCCCTGCTCTGCAGGGAGAAGGGGTCCCCAGGACTGCAGCCTCGCTTCTTGCGTGTGCTGTGCCCTGCCTGCCGGGCTGTTTCACACACACTGTCTAATGCTGCATACTGTGTTTTATGGGAGCAGAAACGCACATCTTTGCATTTAGGAAAGTGGAACACTGCTTGGCATGTGATGCATTTTAAGAAGGGCCACATGAAGTGTGAGGACCTGGTTCACAAAATGGTATTGAACACAGCTTTGCTCTCATTTTTTTAGGTGGCTTTTTTTCAAGTATTTTTTCCAGTCTCTTTGGAACTCGGGAAATGAGGATACTGATTCTGGGACTCGACGGAGCAGGAAAAACCACCATTTTGTACAGACTGCAGGTTGGAGAAGTCGTTACCACCATTCCTAGTAAGTGTGGCTGCAGTGACATCACAGGCACTTTCTGGTCTCTCGCTGTTAAACTGTCGGAACACACAACTCACAGATTGTTAAGGCTTAGCAACTGCAGTGTGCACATAATATTGATAACTCTTTTTCATAAATTTTCCATTCACTCATGACCTTTTAAAAAATTTTTATTGGAATGTCAGATCTACAGAGAGGAAAGAGAAAGATCTTCCATCCATTAGTTCATTCCCCAACTAGCTGCAACAGTCTGAGCTGAGCCATTCTGAAGCCAGGAGTCAGGAGCTTCCTCTGGTCTCCCATGCGGGTGCAGGGTCCCAAGGCTTTGGGCCGTCTTTGACTGCTTTCCCAGGGTGCTGGATGGAAAGTGGAACAAACGGGATTAGAACCATCGCCCAAGTGGGGATTCTGGTGTGTACAAGAGGAGGACTTTAGCCACTAGGCTACTGCACTGGGCCCTGCCTTTCTTTTTTTTTTTTTAAATTAAGATTTACTTATTGTATAAAAGAGTTTGGGGGAAAGACTCATCTTTATCCTTTGGTTCACTTCCCAGTTCATGCCCGAGCTGGGGGCTTCATCTAGATGTCCCACATGGGTGCAGGGGCCCAAGCTGATGGGCCAGGGTGCTGGATTGGGAATAGGGGAGCCGAGACACGAACCTGTGCCCATGCGGAACACGGGGGTCACGAGCCAGCACCATCTGTTTGTTGACCTCAGTCTAGATAGAGATTAATACATTAACTAAATCAAAGGGATTATTTAAACTCAAAGAGTTTGTTTAGTTTGTTCCGGTTGAGTTACTATGTAAGTCAGGATTTTTATGTTGCTGCTGAAATGTACCAATTTTAAAAACCTGGCATTTCTGAAACAACTTCTGAGCCTGCAGCACCTATTACTTCTTTTTCCTGCCTTCAGTACCTTTATTTCTGTTGGCTTTGGCCTCTCAGGGTTGCCCCCTGCAGTGCGCAGCGCAGCCCCTGGGAGGGTTGGGGCGCAGCGAGGCTCTGTGCCTGGCGCCCTGGTGCCTCGCACATAAATGCTTGTCATAGGGCCCGTGGTGCTGGCGCTCCGGCCCTTCCGGGGGCACCTGAGCGCTGGGCTGCTTTCTCCGGTTTGCTGTGTAATTGTCTAATTGGAATCTACAATCTAGCCAAATACTCACGATGCACACTTTTAAATATATATATAAAAGGACTGTCCAGTTACAAGAGTCAGATTTTACTTTGAGTTTGTAGTGTGTCAGCGACCCTCTGAGCTCTTGCAGCCTTCCTTCCACCCTCAGGTTCTTTGCAGCGAGAACACGGGCATCGAGCCTGAGCCTGGTGGCACCAGAGCTCCACATTCGAAAGGCGGTGGAGGAAAGGCTGGGTGCCTGCCCTGTGTCCACCCGCCATGACCGTGTCACATGGAGCTCTGGGGAGTCCGAGAGCCCAGCTCCCTGAGTTGTTCATGTGTCCCTTCTCAAGTTTAGGACCTAACGGTTCTTGGTTTTGGTCTGTTAACTTGCTGCCTGCCTATAGGTGTGTAATGTCTGTTATACGATGGCAGCCATGCTTCCTGAATGTAACCCTTTACATTACTGCTGTGTGCCAGTGCTGAACTGAATTGGGATTTCCATTGCATAAGAATTACGTATTTTGAGCCCAGCGCGATATCCTAGTGGCTGTTCACCTTGCACGCTCCAGGGTCCCATATGGGTGCTAGTTCTAGTCCTGGCAGCCCTGTTTCCCATCCAGCTCCCTGCTTGTGGCCTGGAAAAGCAGTTGAGGACGGCCCAAAGCCTTGGGACCATGCATCTGTGTGGGAGGCCTGGAGGAGGCTCCTGGCTCCTGGCTTCTGATTGGTGTCGCTCCAGCCATTGTTGCTGGGGGAGTGAACCGTCAGATGAAAGATTTTCCTCTCTATATATCTGACTTTGCAGTAAAAATAAATTGTAAAAAAAAAATGACATATTTTCATATGTATCCAGATTCTTAGGAGCTGCAGTGGTGCTGGTCTTGGTACTGTGTGCAGTGCACTTACATAGCACAGCGTATTAGCTTGTCTTGAGTAGATCCCAAACAGTGGTGTGATGTAATAATTCCCTTTATTGCTGAAACTCAGTAAAGCTGAGTACTGAATGCTTAGCAGGCACCACGCTCACGGAGCACCACGCTCACGGAGCACCACGCTCACACAGCACCACACTCACACAGCACCACGCTCACACAGCACCGCACTCACACATTCACACAGCACCACGCTCACGGAGCACCATACTCACGGAGCTCACACAGCACCACGCTCACACAGCACCACGCTCACACAGCACCACGCTCACACAGCACCGCACTCACACAGCACCACGCTCACACAGCACCACACTCACGGAGCACCGCACTCACACAGCACCACGCTCACACAGCACCACACTCACGGAGCACCATACTCACACAGCACCACACTCACGGAGCACCACACTCACACAGCACCACGCTCACAGAGCACCACGCTCACGGAGCACCACACTCACACAGCACCACGCTCACAGAGCACCACGCTCACGGAGCACCACACTCACACAGCACCATGCTCACACAGCACCACGCTCACGGAGCACCACACTCACACAGCACCACGCTCACACAGCACCACGCTCACGGAGCAACACACTCACACAGCACCATGCTCACACAGCACCGCGCTCACACAACGGAGCACCACGCTCACGGAGCACCACGCTCACACAGCACCACGCTCACGGAGCTCACACAGCACCATGCTCACACAGCACCACGCTCACACAGCACCACGCTCACGGAGCACCGCACTCACACAGCACCACGCTCACACAGCACCACGCTCACACAACGGAGCACCGCGCTCACACAGCACCGCGCTCACACACTCACACAGCACCACGCTCACACAGCACCACGCTCACGGAGCACCACGCTCACACAACGGAGCACCGCGCTCACACAGCACCACGCTCACGGAGCACCACGCTCACACAACGGAGCACCGCGCTCACACAGCACCGCGCTCACACAGCACCACGCTCACGGAGCACCACGCTCACACAGCACCGCGCTCACACAGCACCACGCTCACGGAGCACCACGCTCACACAGCACCACACTCACACAGCACCGCGCTCACACAGCACCACACTCACACAGCACCACGCTCACACAGCACCACGCTCACGGAGCACCACGCTCACACAGCACCACGCTCACGGAGCTCACACAGCACCACGCTCACACAGCACCACGCTCACACAGCACCACGCTCACACAGCACCGTGCTCACACAGCACCACGCTCACACAGCACCACGCTCACACAGCACCGCGCTCACACAGCACCGCGCTCACACAGCACCGCGCTCACGGAGCACCACACTCACACAGCACCGCACTCACACAGCACCGCGCTCACGGAGCACCACACTCACACAGCACCACGCTCACACAGCACCACGCTCACGGAGCACCACGCTCACACAGCACCACGCTCACACAGCACTGTGTTTGTCTTGCAGCCATCGGATTTAATGTAGAGACGGTGACGTACAAAAACCTGAAGTTCCAAGTCTGGGATTTAGGAGGACAGACAAGTATCAGGTACGAAGTAGATTATTTTGTGGCACGTAGTAACCTTTATTGGTCTCCTTAAGGGAAACAGCAGTGAACCAACATGTAATTACGTTGTAATTTCAACGGGAAACACCTGGTTTAAAAGGGAGCCAGTATTCGAAATCACCTGTTTCCTCACAGCCTGTGTTAGACTTCAGTTCTGCCGGAGCCAGTTTTCCAGAAACAACTGAGAGAAAAAATTTTTTTCAAGAAAATTTCAAGACCTAGTTCCTTCAGTAGCTTTTAACTAAAAGGGACCCTCTGTGTCATTCTTGCCTTCTTCCTTTTTGAAACAGGCTGTTAGTGCACCTAGGAGGGACCCCTGTGACTTCTGAAGGGCCACTGTGGACAGTCACCTGGCCTGCTGTCCTGCCCAAGCATCCTGTCTCCTGTTAATTCTTGCATTGTAACCATTGCTGTTTCTCAGGATCCCCAGGGTGTGACTCAATCTCATGACGACTGCGTTGAATCACAGTTTCGCCAAATCCACTCCTCTTCAGGGACTTTTGAAGATTTGTAAGCTGTAACAGTCAGATCTATGAACAATTTTTCTAACATTACACTTAGGGATTTTAGATAGTCTCTGGCATAAAATTGTGTGAGCTCCTTTTAAAATGGTTCACACGTGAAGAATCTGTGTACATCCATCAGAAGGAGTGAGTGAATCACGGTGGGTCGGGACTGACCCAGTCCTCGCCCCCGTCACCGTCCTGGCTCCTGGCATGTGAGCTGAGGTGAATAACAATAATAATAATAATACGTTTTCCCATTTTGCATCTTCTCAGGCCGTACTGGAGGTGTTACTACTCAAACACAGATGCAGTCATCTACGTCGTGGACAGCTGTGACCGAGACCGAATTGGGATTTCCAAATCAGAGCTAGTTGCTATGTTGGAGGTGAGAGAGCTGCCAAAATGTGGGGACACTGTTTTGGAATGTACTGGCTTCCTCTCTCCCTCCAATGAAAGTCCTTGGATTAACCCAATAGTCTCGATGAATAGCACTTGATTTTAAGATTTTCAGTACCCTTCACTCACTGGGGCTTTTTAACCACATTTAGAAGAATCATTGAATGATTTTTGAAATTTTAGAAATTTTTTTACTTTTTAAGAGGAGTGGGTTCCCCCCACTTCCCAAGATTTATTTTTTGGAGAGTCAAGAGTCTCAGAGAGAGCCATGAGAGAGACCTCCCATGCACTGGGCTCACTCCCCAGATGCTGAACTGCCGGGGTGGGCTGCACCAGAGCCAGCAGCCTCATTGGGGTCTCCCTCCTGGCTGCAGGGTCCCAGCCACTTGGACCATCTTCTGCTGCTTTGCGCCATGAGGGAGGAGAATTGGAAGTGGAATAGCTGGGATACAAATGGGCAGCGACATGGCAAGCTGGGAGTGCAGGCGTTGGCTTTACTCGAGAGGCCAAAACAGCAGCCCCTAAACATTTTTGAAATAATCATATGTGATTAATGAATAAAGAAGTAGCTTTTATTCTAAATAAGTACAGGAAAAGTTTTCCCACCAGAAGTATTATTCTGAGCTATCCGGTCATTAAATGTTTCAGTTTGCGCTCAGGCCACTTGGGCCTGCCTGGGTCAGAGCCTTTCCTAATGACCTGCATGTTATAAACTGTATACTTGATGGCACAGAGTCAGATTTTCTTTAATAACTTCTTGAATTTAGTCAATTGTAAGAAATTTTAAGGGACTATTTCATTACCTTGGGTGTAGTGGATTTTTAAAATAACAGCTTTACTTGAAACGTACTCTTACAAGGTTTTGCTTAAAAGATGTGGATTATTATAATTCTTGAGTTTTGCTGGCCTGTTGTTTGGTTGTCTGTGGTATCAGGATTTAACAAAAATTTCAAGGGGAATAGAGTTAAATATAAATAATGGAAATCATCATTAGAATATACAGGTGAATGTACCTAAAACTTTTGGACAGGAAAAGCTTTTTTTAAGTCAAAGAATTAAAAGGAGTTAGAAAGGATAGATTTCAAGAACAAAAACCTCAAAAGTTCAGATGTGCTATGTGGAAAAAAGTGACAACCAGCCAGGCCTAACCAAAACCCACTGAGTTAGGGATTGGCATTTTAAATCATCAACACCTTTTCCAAATCAACAAAACTTTGCAAAAGGCATTTTGCAGGAAGAAGATTAACTAATTAAGTCATTGCACCAGCCCTGATATTTAGTAGGCAATTTTTAAAATGACATATTTGCTTTATTAAGAAAGACTTTATTATGTATTTGAAAAGCCGAGCAACAGAGAAAAGGAGAGAGATTTCTTCCATCTGTTGGTTCATTAATTTCAACTAATTTATAGTAAACATAGTACTTTAGTTGTTAGAAAATATACATCAAAATTTCAGGTCCAAGGTGCAGTAGCCTCATTGCTGAAGTTCTCACCTTGCATGTGCCGGGGTTCCATATGGGCGCTGTATCGTATCCCAGCTGCTCCACTTCCCACCCAGCTCTCTGCTTGTGGTCTGGGAGATTAGAGGATAGCCCAAAGCCTTTGGACCCTGCACCCATGTGGGAGAACCAGAAGAGGCTCCTGGCTTTGGATCAGCTCAGCTCCAGCCATTGTGGCCACTTGGGCAGTGAACCAGCAGATGGAAGATCTTTCTTACTGTCTCTTCTCTCTGTAAATCTGACTTTCCAATAAAAATAAATAAATCTTTTTAAAAACTTCATTTTTGACATGTTTTATTAAATTCAGGAGAGCCACTAAATTGATTGGAGAAAAAGACTTTTTTTTTTTTTTTTTTTTTTTAGGAAGAAGAACTGAGAAAAGCCATTTTAGTGGTATTTGCAAATAAACAAGACATGGAGCAGGCCATGACTCCCTCAGAGATGGCCAATTCCCTTGGGCTTCCTGCCTTGAAGGATCGAAAGTGGCAGATCTTCAAGACCTCAGCAACCAAAGGCACCGGCCTGGATGAGGCCATGGAATGGCGAGTGTCACGTGTAGACGTGCAGATGTGTGTGCGTCATGTGTAGACATGCAGATGTGTGTGCATCTGGTGTGTCTGCCCTAGGCACACGTGTGGTCCTGCTGATGGGGTTTAGATTACTTGGCAGTGTTTATCTCCCGCGTCCCTGCAGCCTTTGACCCACCTAGTGCCCACTTGCCTTTATTTTAGCTACACACTTATTTCCTTAGGGAAGTTGGTTTTGCTGTTTTAGCCCTTGCCTTGCCTCAGCATACATTTCAATTTTCTATCTATTAGGAATTAAGTTCCTTTTCTGATTTTTTTTTGGATTAGGGTTTTGGAGGGTACCGGCCCTAGGTGTGGCCATCCTGGGGACCATCCCTGCCAGCAGAGTGCTGATGTGGCACAGTGCCACATGCCAGAGGGACGGTGCATCTCTGTACAGGTGGCCTCTTATAGAACCAGCAGGATTAAATAAAGGGATTCCACTCTACCAGCTGAGTCCAGCCCCTTCCCAAAGCCTTCAGACCCCTTGGATTAAGTTTTCACCCTCTTTGGACATTAGGATAAAACTATGGGGACCAAGCCTTTACCATATGGGCCTTTGAGGGGTACGCATTGAACTGGTGTGTTGACCATAGCAGGCCTCATCATCTCATTCTGTGTTAGCTTTCACCATTTTAAGTGCTTTTGAATCCACCCCCAGCATGCAATTTACATCATATATAATTATGGCTTTATAACAAAGTAAACCCTTCATTTTCTTTTCACAGGTTAGTTGAAACACTGAAGAGCAGACAGTAACTCTGGCTGCAGGTCCTCTGAAGTGAAGGCTGTGTCACCTCTGCAAGCAGCCCAGTGTGCCTCTCGCTACCTGATGCTGCACCTGTGTGATTGTTGGCACACCCTGAACTGACTGCAATGTTTGTAATAAACAAAGAATAAGTATTTGGTTGGAGGGGTAACTCAGCTGAATCACCTGAAGTTCTATATAATGTAAAATATTCCTTTCTTGCTTTCATGTGTTCAGATATATATTCTATTTGTATGGAATTCTTATTCAGATACAGTCCTATTAAATACACTGTAGTTGGAGGGCAGTATCCTATTTTTGAAATAGTAGTTGTAGCTTGTTTATATAAACACTAACAAATAAACTCAGATTTTTTTTTCCCCTTTAAAATGAATTAAGTCTACCCAAAGGGACGTAGTGTGTTACGGTCTTTATTTGGTTATAGGCATGAATATTACCTTGGTGGTGGACCTTCCTGTGACTGTAATTTTATAGTGCTTTATAGCTGCCAAAAAGTTTCACCCACATTGACCTTGTGGATTTGTCCAGGGTAGTGGGAGGCAGGTGGGCTGGGCCACGTTGTCTGCACTGTAGGAAGTGCACCCAGGTGAGCGGCAGGTGGGCTGCTCAAGGCCGCCTGCCAGTGGGGTGGAAATAAAAGGGCTTTAAGTGGGACTCACGGGTTGTCCATTCTAGTAGAAGTGATTAATGACATTGTAAAAACAACCCTGAGCATTTAGTGTTGAATGGATTTAATAGCTTATTAAGACAATTCCTATTAAAGGACATTTTTGAGAAACCTTATTTCAAAAAGTGTTTTGAAAGATGTCTTTCATTCCTTTTACCTATAATTAGCTATGTAAATTTGATTAAAAGTAAAAATATCCCTAGTTCTACAGGCATTTTTGGTGTTAAAGCTTAGGGTTTCTGGCATCCCAGAGCGCAGACTGTGGTCCAGCTCCCTGCTGCACACCTGGGACAGCAGCACCTGCTCCTGGCTTCAGCCTGGCCCAGCCCAGGTTCTGGTGGCCATCTGCGGGGGGCACCCCAGTGGACGGAGGCTCTCTGCTTCTGGCTTTCAAGCCAAAATATTAAACAAACAAATCTAATTAGGCTTCTGCCAGGTTTAGATTTATGTATCAGGGAACTTTCCAAATTTCCCAGGTTCAGCTACAGTCCAGAATGATTAGAAGTTTTGTTTGTTTTTTCCGCTTTGGACAGCCAGCACTTCAGAAGTCAGCTGCTGGTAGAGGATGCCATAGCACTGTGCCCCTCACGTCTCAGGACACTGGTGGTTCCTCTCCTGGCCCTCACTGTCCTGGCAGATGTGGCCACTGTTTCAGCTCACGTGAAAACAGCTTCCCAGTCCCCAGCAGCCACTCCTGATGGCAGGCTGTGCTTTCCACGTGATGTCATCTGTACGCAGGATAGTGCAGTGCCTGCTACACGAGAGCATTTCAGGATCCATATTTTTGTCGGCCAGAAGGCTCCACTGAGGTGACAGCAGCACAGGCTGGGAGGTTCCAAATCAAGAACAAGCTCCCTTGCCCCCAAGGAGCTGGGTTTTATTCACAGTACGGGGAATGAAGACGCTGAGGCAGGTGTCCCCACAGACACATGGCACTGGAGCTCCTGACTGGGCACACAGCTGTCCCGAGCTTGGCACCTGGGGGATCCTCCCCCATCTGGGCACAATTACTTGACTAGGGTTTAAATTACAAGGTCTTTATCTAGCAGCCAGGACCTGAAAGTTGAGAAATACTTTACAAAAGAAAGACTATGAGAAGCCTGATAACCAACTTAGACATGAATTCTAGATTCAAACGTCCAAGCCTTCAGCTTTTCTATGAAACAACCCAATGATACCAAAGGTTTTCTCGAGCTCTGACATTTTAGCTGTATTGTCATGATGATTATGCCAAAAACAGGAGGGCGGGGAACAGATGGAAGTAGAAGAACTGTTAATCTGAATACCTGAGATGCACTTTAACTGTGGAAATGTGAACTCCAAGGGCAGGGACCATCTTACTGTTAGTGTTCCTTGCATCTGATGTGGTGTACCTGGCACAAAATAGGCACTCAATAAATACTGATTCAGAACAAAAAATGTGCTCAGTATCTTTGATGTATTTGTTCTTTCAGATCTTTGTTTTTAGAAGTTGTTGTGGCAGCATTACACGCACTTATTCCAAGTCAGTTTGAACATCAGCCCTCTGGGGACAGCAGTGCAGGTTAAGTCACTGCTTGCAATGCTAGTGTCGCACACTGAAGCGCCAGGGAGCTTCCCATCCGGCTCCTGGCCAGTGTTCCTGGGAAGGCAATGGGAGATGGCCCACATGCTGGAAGACCTGGATGGAGCTCTGGGGTCCTGTCTTCAGGCCTGGCCTAGCTGACTATCGTGGCCATTTGGGGAATAAAGATCTCCGTCTCTCCTCTAACTCTTCCTTTTAAATGAATACATCTTAATAGTACACTTAAATATAATCTTTATATGTGTAAATATAAAATACACTCTTCCGGGCCCGGCACAATAGCCTAGCAGCTTAAGTCCTTAAACACACCAGGATCCCTTATGGGCACTGGTTCTAATCCTGGCAGCCCTGCTTCCATCTAGCTCCCTGCTTGTGGCCTGGGAAAGCAGTCAAGGATGGCCCAAAGCCTTGGGACCCTGCACCTGCGTGGGAGACCTGGAAGAGGCTCCTGGCTTCAGATTGGTTGTGGTCACTTTGGGAGTGAGTCCACGGATGGAAGCTATTCCTCTTTCCTTCTCTCTGTATATCTGACTGCAATAAAAATAAATCTTCAATAAAAACCAAAACCTCTTCCTGGCGCGTTCAAGGCGAAGACTTTAGCTGCTAGGCCACGCCGCCAGGCCCAGAAAAAAATAAGGTGCTGGCATTCCATATGGGTGCCGGTTCTAATCCCAGCTGCTCCACTTCCCATCCAGCTCCCTGCTTGTGGCCTGGGAAAGCAGCAGAGGACGGCCCAAAGCCTTGGGACCCTGTACCCACACGGGAGACCGGGAGGAGGAGGCTCCTGGCTTCAGATCAGCTCAGCTCTGGCCACTGCGGCCAGATGGGAAGTGAACCAGTAGATGGAAGACCTCACTCTTTGTCTCTTCTTTCCATAAATCTACCTTTGCTATAAAAATAATGAAAATCTTGTAAAATAAAACATTTGGTACTCAGAATATAATCTCCCAGAGGGAAGGGGGTATCTGGCCTGATGGGCGAGTCGGTGCTGAGGGTGCCACCACCTGTGCTCAGAGCACCTGGCTCTTGCAGTTCTCTTCCCGCCATTCACGTGGGATGGCTGCTTGGAGTTCCTGGCTCGTGGCCGTGGCCTGGGCCAGCGTGCCCACGGTGGACATCTGAGGCATGACCCAACGGGTGAGAGCTCGGGAACTGAATACCACATCTAAGACACGAGAACGTCTCAAGTTCCCCTCTTGTCCTTTCTCAGAAGTAACTGAAATCGCCTTTTTTTTTTCTGTATAGAGTCTAACATACATTCATAGCCAGATCCCCAAGTTCTCCTGAGTATTACACTGGTAAGGAGTTTCCCACATTCACATTATAAAGCATGCCAAACTGTTTTCCAAAATGGCTTTTACAAGTTCCTAGTTGTCAGAACTTTGTATTGTGCTTTCAGCCTTGTCAGTCTGATGGATGCACTCTGATTCTGCTGGGAGGCACTCAAAATCCAGGCATTAAGTTCGTAAGTTCCAGGGTGAGGGGACACACGAAGTTCAGGGGCTTACAAAGCCAGGCTGGCGCTAACTAGCCAACAGCACTGTAAGAACCAGCAGAGCAGCAGCAACTCGGCACCGATGCTTAAGGGTCCTCTACGTTTCTTTTTTTATGCAATGCTCATCTTTTTTACTACTTTTGGTACTGAAACATTTTTATATGGCTTGGGCACTACTAATTCTTTTCAACTTAGAATGGGGATAAGCCCTGATCATTTTAAATCGAGAATACACTCAACGCTTATCAGACCATCACAGCCTGGAGCTGCAGTGTGCTGTGGTCCGTTTGCCTCTGTGCTCGTGTGGCTGCCTGGACACTGCCCCTGCTGCCGTGGCCTGACATCTGGGAGAGGATGTCAAACTGTGAGCCCAGGAAAGGGACAGAATTGAAAATCAGAGGTATGGTTCCCACTGGATGCATCCGAAGGTGGAGTCAAACCATGCTAACTCAGAGACCATCTTTGTGATATGTGCCAAATCCAAGTTGTGTCTTCAAAACAGAAGTGCTTAATTTTAATGAAGTATAATTTACCCTTTTCCTTTACAAGTAACACTTTTTGTATCTTTTGATATCCTCTGGGGCAAAACTCTACAAGAGGGTCACTACTATTCTTGGCTTATTATCTTCTATATAGAGTTTAGGATCATTCTGGTAGCCTACCAGTGCTTTTGCTGCTCAGAAATGCATTTACCCAGGGGGATGAACTTGGGAAGATCCAGCATCTTATGACCACATGTTCTTATTCATGAACCAGGTCATATTTGTGCAGATTTTTCCTAATGCTCTGGCAGTCTCCATAAAACTGGCAAATCGCTTACCTGGTCTATCCCTAACAGCTGTATTTTTTTTTCTTGCAATTTTTATGTGTATTTTTTGATAAAAATTTATGTCAAATTCTTTCACCAGTGTCAGATATTTTAGATAATGAAGATATGGTACAGTATGCAGCATTTTAATTAAAAAATATATGCTCATGTTATATTACACATAGATATATACAATCTATGCCAAAAATATAATTTAAATAATCAAACCTGGTACACACTTAAACCAGCAGACCAGAAAGTTCACACTCCGGAGTTAGAGTAAGTCAGCTATTCCACCATTGCTAACTGCTTCAGGCTCTGAGTTTTCTGTCTCTTGGCCTTATAGCCTGGACGTAGAAACTCTATCTTTCTCTTCTTGGCTTCACTTTTATTCTTGTGTTTCTTCAGCTTTTTCTTGGCAGCAATATCAGGATTGGTTACGAACTTGAAAAGAAAATAGGAAGTTCATATTACTTTTCAATGTTAAGGAAAGGTTAAATGGACAAAAGAACAAATGAAGAACACACAGCACTGTGTTCTCCTTTAAACATCCTGAATGCAGTAACGCCCGCAGTCGAGTCCCACGTCCCAAGCCCTCCTTGCGGTGACACACACACCGCGCACACTCCCGGGGAGGACGGCTCTCGAGCCAGCGGACATGGCGCGGTGTCACCCAGCCGACTTACCTCCAGAGCCTTCCTCTTTTTCCGCAGCGCTCTTTTCTCATTCGCCTGCTTTTGCACAGAGGCAAAGGCTAATGAGAAGTTCTCAAGGCCAACGAGTTTTTTGAGTAAGTCTATGATTTCCTGGGACAGATTCTTCAGCAGAGGATCTACTCACACAGAGCAAAGAGCACAGTTAGGTGGGACATACCAAACATCATCAAAAGCCAGCGTCGGACCGCACTGAAGCTCCACTGGCAACCTGTTACTGCTCAACACCGAACACTGGCTTTGGCAATGGGAGACACAGCACAAGTGTTGGACACAACCCTGCCAGCCACCAGCTTGCTGAGGACGGTAACACGAGGCCACAGGCCAGCTTCCTAGACAAGGGCGCAATGTTTTCGGTTACCCTGGTCTATTTGCTCAGCCTTGGGCAGCTGCAGGCAGATGTAAGATGGCTTCTCCAGTCCCTCTCTAACCTATGAATCACAGACTCAGCTCTGCCACAGTGACTCAGTAACTTTTTTTGTAAGATCAAAGAATGACTCCTTCAAGAAAGATGAAACGCTAACCCCCCCAGCACTTCTCTGCGTCCTGTCCTCAGATGCAAGCAGCCCACGGATGTTTGTCTGCAGTTTCAGGGTACCTTAAGACATCTGTGTTAGTTTATAGGCTTTTGGAGCCAGCGCTTTGCCACACAAGGCTAATCTGTAAGCTGCTGCTCACAGTCTTAGCATCCCATATGGGCGTGGGTTTGAGACTCAGCTGCTCTACTTTGGATCCAGCTCCCTGCTAATGACCTGCTAATGGGGAAGATGGCCCAAGTGTTTAGGCCCTTTCCATCTGCATGACAGATCTGGATGAAGCCTGGCCTATCCCTGGCTGTTATAGTCACTTGGGGAGAGAACCAGAGAATACAAAATCTGTCTCTCCCCCTCTCTCTATAACTCTTTCAAATAAGTAAATAAATCTGGAAGGATAAAGAAGAAAAACAGGAAATATTGAAATGATAGTTAGGAAATATTGCAAATAAAGATAATGCCTATGTTTTTGCCTTATGATTCTTGTTAAGTACTGACATTTGCAAGGTGGAATTACACAGGCAACAGAAATCTCCCATGTGCTGGTACACTCCTGAAATGGCCTCAAGGCTCAGGTCGAGGTCCAGGCCAATACTAGGGGCCAGGAGCTCCATCTTGGTCTCTCACACGGGGGACAGAGGCCAAGCAGCTGGGCAATCTTCCACTGCTTACTCAGGTGCACTAGCAGGGAGCTGGATCAGAAGGCAAGCAGCAAGACTGGAACCAGGGCTCATTTAGAACATCAGCATCACCGTGCCCCAATGCCAGCCCCTATGATCATTAAGAATGCAGTATTTTATGATTCACTATTGTTCATAGTTCTCTGAGGCTGAGTCACTTCAAAGAACAATTCCTTTGAATAATCTGTTTACGAGTGAAACATTAAAAAAAATCAAGAGTGCAACATTCAGTCTCAGACACGAGGAGGCTTATGAAGAGGGCCGGCAGACACAGCAGAAACAAGCCTGTGGGGTGGCTCACCACATCATCCTGAAACCTCACACGTTCTCCTTCCCGAGCTCTGGCAGGGAGGGGGACGGCGGGAAGAGGGAGGCACTCGGAGGAGCAGGTGCCCAGCGGGACGGGCAGGAGGCTTACCTTGCTCGGAATAGGTGCTGTTCAGTTCTCGAAACAGAGGCGCGATGATCACGGGGAGATAGGGCTGCACCTTGTCTACACCAAGGTCCATGGCCACGGCGCCGAGGAACTTGAAGATGCACGTTCTCTGTAAGGACAGACGGCGTTCACTGAGGAGGCATCGCTAACATGCAGGCTTTCAACTACACAGCACTGATTTGGAAAGCAGGATTCTGCCTCGGACCCATTTTGTCAGTACCAGTACTTGCAGCTGCAGTACCAGTTTCAGGTGGTAAAATTCTTAGGACTTCACATGTCACCAAAACCATTGCAACATATATTTTAAAGAAATGACTGATTCCGGTCTTCCTGAGTCTTCGTCCTACCTTTAAGGGGTTTCGGGGCGAATATGCGGCCTCCAGCTTCGCCATGCGGGATAATTTCTGGATGAGCCACAGCAGTGTGGCTGGCTTGGGAGACCCGTCCTTCACCTCTTCGGGGTCCCCCTCTGCCTGCTCCACCGCATCTTCTCCGACTTTACCTTCTCTGTCTCCACAATCAGGTTCCAGCAAATACAAGACTTTAGCTACAAATAACAAATTCTTAACAACCTTAAAAAAAAAAAAAAGGAAGACAGTCTGTGATTTTGAAACAAATGTGCTCATTAAAGTATAAGGTAAACTAGATATTCTACAATTAGAAAATAAAAACTGCTATTAAACAGATGCCTGAATTTTTTGATAATTATCTGAAGATCTTCCCTAATGGTGTGTAACTTCCTTGTACTCGGTCTAGTTCTGTCCTTTAAGGTCACATAAAATAAGTATTTGTTTGCATCTTAAAAGTAAACTTTTATCCCCATTTCTATTAAATTCATTCGACAATCCTACAGAAAAATAGTTTTTACTTGAGTGCTGATGAGTTGATTTACTGTAGCATTTCAATTCTATTTTAACACATTCCTGTCAGGTACGAACAACAGGAAAGAACAAAGGCTCAGAGTTATTAAATGACTCAACATGAAAAGAAAAGAAAACGAAAGTGGCTGGTCTCAATTCAAAGGTCTTCAGAACGCAAGTCTAAGTTCTTAACTGCTCGGGAAGCGCTTCCGTTCCTGAGTTCCGTCTGATCCAGCTGGTGAAATGGCCCCGTGGATCAATTTTGATTTTACAATGACCGACTCATGTACTGAGAGCATCTCTGTGACACCTGCCAGCCTCAGATGGAGGCATCGCATTCATTACCTGAATGAGGAAACCAAGCCTATTTTGAGTTTTTTCCTCGTTTGGCTACCCTGCTAGATGTCATGTGTGTCAAAAGTTTTCCCAGACACAGTGGTCAGAAGCCTATACTCTCTCCAAGACTAGTCTGGCCACAAAAAGTCAACGCCAGGCTTTTCCTTGCTTTCTTGACACTTGGCCTCCATGAATACATATGAGGTCTGGAGGCCTTTTCTGAACCTTGTGGTCACCAACACACATCAGTCTCTTACCCAAAGACCCATGATCAAGGAAAGGTCCCAGTTTCTCTCCTGCTGAGTTAATACTAGTTCAACTTGGCACCGCCTCACCCCTGTCTACCCTGGCAGGGTTTCTTGTGTCCCCTCTGCCACTCACTGAAAGCCTCCCTGCTCTTTCCTGAGCCCGCCACAGTGCCCAGGCACCACAGGTTCAGTGTTCGTGACATGACACCTAAAAGCAGTCTTTAGATAAAGCTTTGAGGAAATTCAGCATTACAGGAATGGGAAAAAAAAATCAGCCAATCAACTCTCTTCAAAATTTTGGTCACAATGTGGAACAGATACACGAAGAGCAAAGATGAAATGAGCTTCGTCAGCTGCCCCTGCATGTTCTGTCTGGGGATTTGCAAATGGAGCCAAGAGTTATCCCAACCGTAGACTCAAGAGTTGACCAGATACACCTGCATAGCTAAACATGTATGTGGATGTATGTCTGTATGTTGTCCAACTTTCCAGAAACAGGTTGAAACAAAGCAAATAGCAAACGCTGGCCTAGTCCTAGATTGCCAAACAGGAGCACAGTAGGTCTCTCCTATGAAGCCAGGAAGACTGTAATTCTTACCTGCTCCCCCAGAGACTGATCTAAGAACTTGGAATGCAACTGATGGCAAGAGGCTAGAGCGATGCTTTTCATCTGTGAAGAAAACAGCAAAGAATAACATATGGATTATTTACAAAACACTAACCCCAGGGGCTGGCATCGTGGCACAGGGTAAGCTGCCATTTCCAAAGCTAACATCTCACACTGGAGTGCCTGGTTGAAGTTCCAGTTGCTCCACTCCCAATCCAGCTTTCTTCCGACGTGCCTGAGAAGGCAGCGGCCGACGGCCGCAGGAACGGAGACCCTGTCACCTGAGCAGGGGACCTGGCTGGAGTTCTTAGCTCCTGACTTCAGTCTGGACTAGCCCTGGCTTTCATGACCATTTGAGAAACAAATTAGTAAACGAAAGATTTATCCATTTTTCTCTTTTTATTTCCTATCTGTCTTTGAAATCAACTATTTAGTAAAAAACAAAACAAAAAACCTTAACCATAATAACTAATCATACACCGGAGGCACCAGGTTTTGCTCCCAATGACCATCTCAGCAACCCAAAGAACCAAAGATTCTCAGTCAGCAACGACGCAGTTGCCTCCTCTTAGCTTCCCTCAGCATTTCAGCTCACAGGATGTTTTCACACCCCAGTCAGGTACTTGCAACAATTCTTAAATTCTAGGTAGAGCACTTTGATGCTTTTTTTTCCCTGCTTCCTCTTTTCCTTTCTATGCCTATTCAATATTTAGAGTTCCATTTATAAGACAGACATTGTGTCAGGCCCTAGGAAATCAGAGACAGACGTAACTGGCCTCGCCCTAACATTTCAAGGCCATGTTCTCGCTCGGTGACTCACAAAGCTCGGAAGGAGGGAGGACGGTATTCATTTCCAGCAGTATGAAAGAAACAAGATGGCCATGCTGAATGAGCAAATTAGAGGCCTGAATAGACTCACAAATCTAATAGTTATCTTTGGAAAACCTACGGTCTGGGGTGACCTGTGCAACTGCTGACGGTCCCCTACTGATGCACCTGTTCAAGAGTTGCTGGTTGCAAGACTTTCCCAGGAGACCGCTCCACGAGAGGGCTGAGTCACAAGGAAGTCTCCTGAGGGTCACCAGAGAAGGAAAAGATTTTGCGTTACCTTCTGGTCAAGGTCGCTTGTTAGGAACTGGACCGCTACCGGTTCCGAGAGCTTCTTTTTAGCTTTTTTGGCATGCCATTTTTGAACGAGCTCCTCTGGCTGACAGGAGGAAAACAGCAATCCAAAGATCTGGGCTGCTGTGAGCCACACCCAGCTGTGTGGGTGTCTCAGGTGGGCATGCACGTGACCTAGGAAACCAAAAGACAACTTCAGATGCCCCAGAGATCTGCGACTTCAGCGGGAACATGACTAGATGACGCAGGCCCCGTTATGTGCCTGAGTGAGGAACCGAAGATGAAGGAACTCAAGAGGGGTGGAGATGCTGGGATAACTGGAGAGTCAAGCCCAGGGCAACAGATGGCCACGAAGAGACACGAGTACCCCTAAAATTGGACCAGTTCCAGAAGGCCTGGTTTTGGATTCCATCGGTATCCACACTCAATATTTTCATACTTTCTGAAATGACTAATGCACATTTGTAGTTGGATATATTTGTGTCTGATAGTGACACTGGTAGCTTCAAGTAGCTCTCTGGAAAAGTATTATTTATTGAGGGCTTTCTATGTGCTACCCATAGGAACAAGTGTTTTGAGAGGTCTCAGTGGAGCCACCACACAGCAGGTCACAGTGACTGCCCTGCTTCTCACGGTCGCTGGGCTCGTCACGAGGGGACTGTGAGCATCCATGCCAGTGTCTCTTTTTCTGGTGAACCAGAGTTGGACATGTCAAATTAAACATCTTGAATTCATATTTTGTTTCCTTTAGCGAATCCCACAAAGTTTAAATAGATTAGACATATTTATACCATGGGTTACATACATAATAACTTAGATACCTAATATGTTACAGCACAATATTAGGCTTACTCAAGCACAACAGAAGAGGACAGGAAAGTCTATATGGAACCAACAAGCCTCTCTAAACCCCTGGCTGGAATCAGACGACATGTAGGTCCGTCACAGCATCCTGCTGCATGCTGGGGTAAAACTGCAAGGATGCGGAATACACAAATACAAGCAAGGAAAAAACACGCACATTACAGTATCATCAAATAGCAAACAGCACTGAGAATTTTTTCCCTTTTATTATATAATTATTAATGCCCTCTTATACAATGAAATCGAGCAGTCTTATTTCTTGGTCATAATATTTTTTTTCCAGAAAAAGACATTTTCACCATAATTAGCCTGAAAGAATCTTTCAATTCTCAAGTGTTCTTATTCTAAGTTCCCAAGTCAATTTCCAGCAGTTCTACTGTAAGTAATATGTTTGTTTTCAGCTTTAAATAAAAAGGAAACACTTACTCCAGATTTTGCTCCATGTCTCTGCAGGCTTGGTGTGCTGGATAACGTTGCATTCCTTGATGAGCTTAGTCATCAGCGTGAGAAAGCTGAAGAGCAGGCGGTCTGCAGCCTTCTCCTCCGCCTCTTCCACGACCTAAGACAGGACGCTTACCTCTGTTAGGTTACACAGGTAGATGTTTCCACGGCAGCCTGCAGTCACACCTGGGTGTCCCAAGCTCAGCACTCCTGGCACTCTAGGTCAGAGAGGGCCTTGCTGGGCAGCGGAGGGCTGCCCTACCCACGGGGGGATGCTCAGCTGTACCCCTGCCTCTCCGCCCACCAGGCACCAGCGGCGCACCTACCCTGTAGAGTGGCAGGCATTTGGCCTGGCAGTTACACCAGCTGGCATCCCTGCACACCTTATTGAGTGCAGAGTCCCAATCCTGCTCATGACTCCAGCTTTTGCTGGAACACCCTGGGATGCAGCAGTGGCCACTTCAGTGATGGGGTGCGTGCCATCCCTGTGGGAGACCCAGCTTGCCTTTCTGCTGCTTGCTTTTGCAGGCATTTGAGCAATAAACCAGTGTATGGAAGCCCTCTTCCTGCCTGCTTTTGCCCCCTTTAATAAGCAGACAAATAAAAATTTCTAAAAAACTCAGTGGAACAACTAAAAAAAAAAAATCAGGTATTGCCAAAGGAACAACACTGCCCAAGTAAGAACTTTCTCATATACTGTAAGAGACAATTTACTTTAGCTCTTATTTTATGTATTTATTTATTTTAAATGTGTTCTTATTTCTTTGAGAAATGGAATGACTGAGCTATACAAAGAGATCTTCTACCCATTATTTACGCTGCAGCAGCCAGGAGTATAAAATGCCACCTGGTCTTCCACACGGGTGGTGGGAACCAGGTGCCTGAGCTCGCACCTGTAGCAGGAAGCTGGATCAGAAGTAGAACCAGCACGTGAACTGCAACATTCTGCATGGGAAGCAGGTCTTTAGAACCTCCAACTACAATGGATTCTTGTTTTTACCACTAAAAAAATTAATTTCTGAATGCAAGTGATACGCTATCAGCCATACCATCATAAGGTGAGAAAGTATAAAGCTCGGCGGCAGCTCCATTTTCCAGAAAAGCACTTACATCTTGAAAGTTGTCAGGGTCAATCGTCCTTTCCAGCACAGGAAGAACAGTGCTAAGCCTTCTCTCAAAATCGAGGCCTTCGTTTTCCACAAACAAGCCACAGATGAGGGCAGCAAGCTGTCTGTTCAGGCTCTGCCAGAAAGCAGTGAACCATCACACAGTGTTCACACAGGTTCACACGGTCCCCAAAGTGTAAAACAAAGTGCACGTTATATCAACTTTCAGAAATACCAGAAACATTCTTCATGTCTGAAATCAGCAACATAAAAACATACTGTACACAAACCTTCGCGCCGCCCCCAACAGAGCAGTGTTCCTTTGTAAGTGACATGTATTGTTATCCACTGAGTATTTATATGTACATATTTTTTTCACATTTTCAGTTAGAAAGAAAAAGGAATAGCAACAAGTCTCATTCTTCCTCCTAAATTTTGGGGGTCTGCCACAAAAACATCGCAGCAGATGGCGTAGCCGTACACGGTCTCTCATCCGCAAAGGCGGGCCCCTGACGATGGGGACAGAGTAAAGAACAAGGTGACAGAATGACACAGAGTACACCCCAGAAACCAAAGGAGCAAAACTGGAAAGGAAGTTATTTATCAACAGAGGCAGGTTAAGTACGCTATGCTACATTTATGCAGTACTTTGCCAACTTTACTGAAATAATAAGGACACAGCTGATTTTTTATGCTACTTTTTATAACTTCTGACACTTCTTAAAACTTTAAGAATATATTTGTTATAGAAAAAATTAAAAAACGAAAAACAAAACAACCCCCCACACAAAAAAAGAACAGATTCTTTGTGTGACCAGATAATAATAAAGCTACCTGGGACAAATTAACTTAACAATATATGATATAATATTCATATTCGAAGCATGTATGCCAAAAAGCAAAGCCTTGATGATGAAGTATTAAGAAAACAGTCCTTACTTTCTTTGCTCCAAGCCAGGAGGTGACCATTTCAAACAGCCAGTCCTTCTTCTCCAGACTGATTTTACTGAGCAAGGATTTGATTGTCATGGACGCCATTTTTTTGCACATGGCAGAGTCATCATTCACCACCATGAGACAAAGAGGAACAAAGAACATGCCACAGTTCTCGTGGAGAAGTCCCTGGAAGAAAAGAGCCATTGACGCCCAGACTCCAGGAGGACTCCCCCGGCTGCTGTGACAGGAGGGGGGCCGAGGGTTTTCCGCCAGCCAGGGAGGCAGAGGGCAAAGGGTCTGTCGGGGTGCCCCGCAGTACCTGAGGGAATGTCTCAAAGAGATAGGCGATCATCTCCAAGGTGGACTCTCTTCCGGTCTCATGTTCGTAACTAGGGCAAGAGCATTAGCGGATGGGTTAGCAGCCCGTGCATTTACCAATAATCATTTAAAAAAAATTAAAATAATATGTCAATGTGTCAGTCTATTTCTTCAAGAAAAAGGAAGCTGCATTCATTTCTTCAATATTAATAGTTGTATATTTCTACCAAGCTACCCAGTTTTAAAATGCCACTTTGATAAATCTCCAACGTTCTCCTAAGTGGATTCTAATGACATCCAAGAACCAGATGGGTTAACAAGCCACTCGTACACTCACACAAACACACAAGTCATAGGACTCAGCACAATGATAACCAAGCCCGAGTCATCCACGGTGTCTAAGCGACCACGTCTCTACATTCAGACAGCTGCCTCATTAATGCGAAGAAAGGACAATGCCCCTGCCTTGGAGCTTGCTTACTTCAGCTGAGCCAGCAAGAAGTCCAAGTTTGGTCTCAATTTGTCGCCCAGGGGATAGTCAAGAAGGTATTTCAGAAACACCTAGGAACGAAAGCCATCAAGATGATTATTTGCATCTCCAGTCTCCAGGATTTCTATGTTCTGAGCTGCTTCCTAGGACATACTGGTAGGTTTTAAAAATCCTTTAAAAGAGTCACCCGCCAGCCTTTCCAAAGGTCACAAGCTCAACCTGCCTGGAAGGCCAACACTGTAATCCAGGTCCTGGTCCCACACGGAGGACATAAACCAGTCCCGGTCCCCCTCGGGCCTGTCAATCACGGCTCCCTCCCTTGCACGTTGCAGGCAGATTTCTCTTTGAGAGGTGAGGGGATGGACTAGTATGGGCTGTGCTTCGGTCCCATTTCCTCCCCTTGTGTGACTGTAACAATGGGTGACAATACTAACACCAATGACAACAGCTAAGGCATTTGCTAAATCCCTTCTGTGCACCAAACATGGCGTTAATTTTTCTTAATTCTTACTGCTCTCTTAGGGAGCAGTGATAGGAGTATCTTCTTAAATGGTTGAAGAGAATGAAACTGGCACAGAGGTTAAATATCTTGTCTATGTGACAAGGCTAGAATTTGGTGTCTAATCTGGGTCCAAAGGCTTATTTTCCAAGCCATGATTATCTTCCTCTTTAGTAATAAACTATGAGAAGTAAGGCAAATTATTAAACTTTCTAAGGTCTGACTTGCTTCCTCCATCCCCTTTAGGCATAAATGAGGACTCTGTTTTTTTGCAATATAGTTATACAAAGCCATGATGTGTGGAATACATTTTTTTCTCCCTTCCACTCTGGCCTCCTCAGCAACTCAATTATACCTTCAACCCCCAAGTTCAGAAATCCTCATTCTGGGTCATCACCTGCACTCACACCATCTTGGCAGGACAAATGCACAAACACAAATCAATCACGGGTCACTCCAATGCCCACAGATTTCAATATCTCCTTACTGGTCCTGGAAGAACTCCCTGCATCTTTAACAAAACATCAGGGCCTGCCCAGGCGCCTCCTCCCGCTCCCTCACTCCACCTTCTGCAGAAGTCACTGCTGGGCATTCTTCCTTCCTCACATTTCGGTTGAGCAAATCTCTGATCTCCTGCACGAAGGCACCCGAGTCTCAGCACAAGGCAACCACATCCCCAGTGCTCTTCACAATTCAGCCATGTGGACACCTCTAACTAGAAGCTGAGTAGACAAGGCAAGACCCAGGTCCTGCCGTGGGGCCATCTCTCAATACCCACCTGTCTGCACTGGACTCTGGCAGGCTCGTTTTGTGCAGAAATAGCCAACTTGGATACTTTCCGCATGACATCATCAATTTCTGGAACCAACAACTTTCTTGATAAAATAGCCTAAAATACAAAAGGAAAAGATAGACTCATTCCAGTGTGTTTTAGTGCAGACAGAAGGAAGAAGCTTTGATGCCATTTCACTACTTATTTTCAGGAATTGTCTACTAATTAAAGTGCTATATTCCAACACTTTCTAGACATTTGATGCACGGGCTGACATGCTGTGGTGTAGCAGCTTGAAGCCACCACAGAGCAGCAGTTCAAATCCCAGTTCTCTCTGCGAATGTATCTAAGAAGGCAGTAGCCATAAGGGAGTCAAGGATGGAGTTCCAGGATGCCGGTTTTTTTTTCCTGGCCAAGCCTCACCTGTCAGGGTCATTTAGGGACTAAACCAGCAGATCAAAGATCATTCTGGAGGCTCGGTGTGGTAGCTTAGCGGGTAAAGTCTCTGCCTTGCATGTGCCGGGATCCCATTATGGGCACTGGTACATTCTCTGGCAGCTCCACTTCCCATCCAGCTACCTGCTTGTGGCCTGAGAAAGCAATCGAGGATGGCCCAAAGCCTTGGGACCCTGCACATGTGTGGGAGATCAAGAAGAAGCTCCGGGCTCCTGGCTTCAGACTGGCTCAGCTCTGGCTGTTGCAGCCGCTTGGGGAGTAACCCAGCAGGTGGAAGATCTTCCTGTATCTCCTCTGACTTTCCAATAAAAATAAATCAATCTTAAAAAAAAAATCATTAGCCTCTCCTCTATCTCTGAAACAAATACACAACAAAACAAAATATAAAGTGAAAAACAGATGTCTCTCTGTGTATTTCTAAAATAAACAAATACAAATCATTTTTAAACCTGGGGTGAGAAATTTGCACAAGCGGTTGCAGCACTGGTTAGGACACGCGTGTCGCACATTAAAGGTCCCCGCCTGACTCTGACCCTAGGGGCATCAGCATGGCTCAAGCAGCGGGTCCCTCGGCTACTGAGCTCCCGGTTCCTGGGTCTGGCCCTGGTCCAGCTCCAGCCATTTAGGGAAGCTCTCTGCCATAACCTGCTGTCCACAGTGTAAAAGCCAGTGCTGCGGTGACACGGTACCTTGAGAAGACCAAACGCAGTAGCTTGTCTCGAAGTGTCGTAAATGTCTTCCTCAGCGTACGCCAGGAGGACTTGAAGCTGTTTTTCAGTTATTTGGTACGACTTGACTTTCTTGACAAGGATAGTCACACACTGTAATTTATGACAGTGAAGTCAGCACTCAGCACATTCCACACTTTAGGTACAGAGAAGTAAGACATAATACCTCAACATTTTTCTACACAAAATAGCAACTGCCTGAGAAAACGATCCTGGAAAACACTTGGACCAAGGCAACACGGGGCAACCTTGATGCTGTCTGTCCTGGTTTTGTCAAAATGCAAAGTGAAGACAGCTCACCTTGAAACAGTTGACCACCAGGTGGAAATTCTGACCCCTTGCTGCCCCAAGTTTTGCGTAGTTCTTGAGCAAAAGGAAGAGGTGTTTCGTGAGCTTTTCTGCCTTGGTGTCGATGGCAGGCAGAGGGAACCTCAGCACCCAGATGAGGCACTGTAAAGCACCTGTGGTCACCTGCAAGGACAATGCCAGTCAACGTGGCCACACTGACGATGCGGCAGCTGAGGCTGCAGACACCGCAGGCAGCTAAGCTGAGTAAACGAAGCTGTGCACAGCTCACTCGGGCAGGACTGTGGCCTGGGGCACAGGAAGCTTCCCACTCCCTGATGCCGATGACATTACTGCCTGTCTATAAACCAGTGAGAGCAGATCACAAGAAGCAAGGACACTGCACATGTATGCCTTCTCTGCTTCCTAGACTGGCACTTCAAGTGAGCCATGCTTACTAAGCTAGTGTTTTGTATACAAGGCACTCCACTGTATAATTCAGTGACAAGAAGGACACCACTTCTGCAACAGAAATTAAGCGTGGGAAAGATGAACTATTACTTAACAGAGTGAAATGCTATGCAAAGAACAAGCTGGGGCTGTGGGATTGCAAAGAATCACCAAACCTCTGAGGCCAAGCCTTCTAGAACGGATCAGCTAGCTTAGCTCTGCACAATATAACCTGCACTGGCTGTTCTGGGGGCCTCTGTGGGCTGGATCAGACGAAGCAGGGGGGCCAGAAAGACCAGAGTTTACACCCTAGCTCCGTCGCCGATTTCCTACTGCCTGTGGGGATGCAGCTGACCTCTCGGTACCTTCATCTGTAAGGCACGCGATGGAAGAAGTGCAAGTAGTACAGGCCTCTGGACATGAGGGATCTAGGTTTATATTCTACACCTATGACTTGGCCTTAGCTCTAGCTTTTTCACCTACAAGACAGAAACATGTCTGTCTTGGCTCTGGTGTTCTGGCGTAACAGGGAAAGCTGCCCAGGGGTGCTGACATTACAGATGGCCTCCAGGTTGGGCCCCAGCTGCTTCACTTCCCGTCTAGCTTCATGCTAACTAACAGCCTAGGAAAAGCAGCAGAGTGTGCGAGACCAGGATGAAGTTCCTGGCTCCTGGTTTCAGCCTGCCCCGAGCTATGGCCATCCACAGTGAGTCAGCAGATGGGAAACGTCCAGTATCTATGTTTCTCCCTCTCTTTCAAATAAGAAATTATTAAAGAATAAAAAGATACTGGGGCCAGTGTGGTGGCATAGTTAGCTAATCCTCTGCCTACCAGTGCTAGTATCCCAAATGGGCACTGTTTCATGTCTTGCTTGCTCTAATTCCAACCCAGCTCTCTGCTTACAGCCTGAGAAGGAAGCAGAGAATGGATCAAGACCTTAGGGCTCTGCCCCCATGGGGGAGATCAGAAAGAAGCCCCTGGCTCCCAGCTTTGGATTAGCTCAGCTCTGGCCTGTGCAGTCATTTGGGGAGTAAATGAGCAGATTGAGCAGATGCTGTCACTATCTTTCCTCTCTCTGTACAAATCCACCTTTCAAAACAAAAAAGAACGAAAAGCATGCAAGTATATGAATGCATACTTAGAGGCCGAGACGATCAGAAAGAATGTCTAGTTTCGTAGCTTGGAGCAGTGGCAGTGACCGCGGTGACGGTGGCGCTGCCCGACATAAAGACACACCACGGCACCCCTCACACTCAAGTCATGAGAACCAAATGAGACAATCAATACATCTAGAAAGGCTTTGGCAACGATCGCTGGCAAGCCAGACAGGACTGCAAGTAATGCAGAAAACAGGGGTGCTGGAGCATGTCCAAAACCCCTTTCAGTCCTCTAGCCGCTCCAGCACTGTGCAGGACACGCTCTCCCAAGCGGCAGCACTCACCTTCACGTCCCGGGACGCCAGGCAGTCTATGAGCAGAGGCACGAAAGGGTCCAGCATCTCCAGGGCATGTTCACACGAAGACTTGATCTTGGAAGTCTTCAGGCTCAGATGTAACAGCTAAAAGGTTTCAAAAGCACACTTTGACCCATCTGCCCCCAAGACCAGATGTGGTAGAAATGGGAAGTGATTTTAAGAGGTAAGAAAGGTTAAAACGTTTCTGTTTAAGTCATTTTTTAAAAAAAAAAAAATAAGAAGCTGCCAGAGATCACGCTGGTGAGCCAAGAAGGAGCTTGCAGGCAGCTGAGCCGCTAAGTCCGTTACCCAGTGTTTGCGCGGCCTGTCCTGTGACTCCAGGCACGAGCTCAGAAGTAGGACTTAGGCAGGACCAACACATGCGGTTCCTCTCTTGAGGGATGTTAGCCAGGAACAAAGACTCTAACGAAAAATTAAATGCAAACGCTGGGCCTTTGAGGGGTGAGTGGCTGGTGAGGTCCCACGCTAGCATGGGCACGATGACGGAGCAGAGCTGAGGGGCAGTCAGCAAACTGCCCGGTGTGTTGTAGGAGCACAACATGAAGTTAGACTCTGCTGCCCAAATGAAGGACTGGGTCCTCTCTACAGACACATCAAATGATCGGACCTGCGTTTCAAAAACCTTCCCACGGGCCCAGCGCGGTAGCCTGGTGACTAAAGTTCTTGTCTTGCATGTGACAAAATCCCACATGGCTGCCAGTTCATATCCCAGCTGTTTTACTTCCCACGCAGCTCCCTGCTTGTGGCCTGGGAAAGCAGTAGAGGACGGCCCAAAGCCTTGGGACCCTGCACACACACACGGGAGACGCAAGGGAGGTTCTTGGCTCCGCATCAGCTCAGTTCCGGCCGTTGTAGCCACTGGAAAAGTGAAGCTGTGGATACAAGATTTTTGTCTCTGAAATTTGACTTTCCAATAAAAAAAATAATAGATCTTTAAAAAAAAAATTCTATCTAAAAATAATCATTTAAAAGGCGTCTGAGCAAGGCAGTTGAGAAATCCTAATAAGCGCTGCATCAGAACCATTAATCCTATGACAATTATTAACTACTGGAAGAGATATACAAGAAATGGACCAAGCCACCTTATGCACAATTGGGCATTTCCAGCAGAAGTGTGCATTCCTGGCTAATTCTGCGGAAGACTTACAAAAGGTTTGTGGTCTCTGAAAGCAACCTATCCCTTTTAATGCTAATTCTTACCCGAAGTCCAGATTCAATAAATATGTGCATGTTGGTCTTCCTGCTCACAGCAGCTTTCGGTCCGGTCCGAGTGGGAGTCGGCGGAAGCAGAAGGCAGCTCGGGGGTGGCAGGCGTGGATCTGGTGCAGGGGGTGCTGGGTTTCTGTCAATCATGATGGAATGGAAACAGCAGGCGCAGGCGCGTTAGCTGAATTCCAAGAAGCTGCCCTGGGGTCTGCACGGGGATGGCAGCTCAGCAGAGCCTCACACGCCGCCAGCTGCTCCCTCCGGCCCCCACGACCACAAGAAACCCAGAGATGATCAGATTCCTAATCAAGGTCACGAGCGTAGCACCCAGGAACACAGGGCAGAAGGGCAGCCCTGCAACTACAGTGACAACATTCCCTTTGTCGTCTGCTCTGAAAACAAATGTCAAGGAATCTTTGAGAAAGGGAGGCAAATCCCCATACCTTACCAACACTCAGCGTAGTTGAAAGTCTCTGTTTAAATCTCTGTTTAATTACAGTAAGAGGTATATACTTACAGTCACTCTGAACGAAAAGTGAAAATGGCAACAGAAAAATACAAAAATAATGGACTGCTTTCATGGCTACCTCATTCATAAGAGAAGCAGTCTGAGAAATTGTATCATGTCACAGAACAGCACCATCCTATAGCTCAGGTGAACATATTTTTTTTTCACTAAAGCAAATTGTTATAAAATGACCCACTGAAGAGTTAATGAGAAAGTCAAATAAATAAGCAAATCAGAAATAAGCACCTAAAGGCTTTCTTTTTTTCTCCAAAACTTACTTTTCTTTCTCTGTTAACAGGGGGAGATTTTCGCTGACCAAGCCGTAACTGAGCAACAGGATGGCCTCCGCCGTCATGTCCTGATTGACGATCAGGCCTGCTATGATTCGCCGTAAGGCTTCATGCACCTTCCGGGCCACTTTCAGACTCGTGGTATTTTGTAAGATCTAAAGGCAAACATAAACACCACGGAGATGTAACACAGAACGCAATGTGTTTCCCAAAACATTTTTTCCCCCTAATTGGAAAATACATTCTTCATAAAATTTCAAATGGAGATACAACATATACAGCAAAAGTTACCTATAACCCCAGACCCGACACAGGCCCCTGTGAGGGCTGCCTGCCTCTGCGCTCTGTCGCTGACACCTGGGGACACACAGTCCAGATCAGATGAGAGAGACACTGCCACGGCACCAAGCAAAGGCAATGACGAATGAGAGCTGCAATCTCCAAGCCTCAGGGCTTGCTATCAGCTCCGGGTAAATCAGAACAACCTGGCAGAAGCTCAGGCTCACCAACGCCAGCAGGAGACCCAGTTATTATTTTTAGGTACTGACTCGACCAGCTGCAGCTTCCACCAGTACCGAGGTTTTCACTGACTTTCCTTTCACATTTTTTGGTTGTCATTAGGAACTATGCTCCTTACATTAAAGCACCTAATTTGGTGACTTTAAAAGCAAAACAAAAGAACCAGGGCGAGCTGTACATCAGTCCCTTGGGACCTGTCTGGATCCGGATTTAAACACCTTGTGGACATGCAAAACCACAGCTGCTTCAGTCTGTCATGGTGCAGGATTTTCATACGAGTAGGTACCAAAAAGTTCATGAAAATTCATCCTGAATTTTCATTCCATTTCTCCACGACGTTTTTTTTGAAAGGGAGATTTTTATAGAGAGCAGCAGATTCAGAGAGAGGTCTCCCATCTACTGCTTGATTCTCCAAGTGGCCTCAACAGTGGGAGCTGAGTTGATCCAAAGTCAGGAGCCAGGGGCTGCTCCCGGGCCTCCCATGTAGGTGCAGGAACCCAAGGTCTCAGACCATGACCCACTGCCTTCCCAGGCCATTAGTAAAGAGCTGGATTGGAAGTGGAGCAGCCAGAACTTAAACCAGTGCCCATATGGGATACCAGTGCTTGCAGGCATTTAGTCTCCTATGCCACCACACAAGCCCCAGGCCTCCAATTTTTTTTTTTTTCAATTTCCCTTATATAACCTACTCTCAAACACTTGAAATCATCTCTAAATTATTCATGACATCAATGCAACGGAAATGCTTCATAAATATTTGCTATATTATGTTGCTTAGGAAATAATAAGGAAAAAAAAAAAACCCTGTACATGCTCAATACAGATACAATTTCTTTTCTGACGTATTTTTAATCTGCAGTTGATAGAACACACAGACGTGGAAGCCCTGGGTGCTCGGAGGGCTGGCGGCAAGGCTCCTTTCAGAAGCTCCTGGGACTGGGAATGTGGGGATTCCCTACATCGAATTCCTTACCTCTTTTAATGGAAGGATAAGTTTTGTTACTTGATCTTTTCCTATAAACTTGCCCAGGATTTCGTAGGAATCATAACTCTTGCTCCTCCGTGCCTCCATGACTTTGGAGAGGATCTGTTTTACTTCCTTCTCTTCGGCAACGGCACCAAACAACTCGCGGTTAAAAATCTTGGTGGGGGAAAGAGCAGACAAACACCCGTCACGTACGGGAGAACATGCAATGTCAGACCGCGCAGATCCAAGGAGGGGAAGGAGGGCAAGGTGGGCTGCACTGCAAGCCAAGGGCACGACTTGGCGCACTTCACTGCAGCCTGGGTCTAACTACTACGAGAGAAATCCAGACAGAAACAAAGGCTGACCCTAACGGGAAGCAAAGGCAAAACACCTCGCAGACACAGGAGAACACTTCAAAAAGCTCATGGGAAATAGAACTAAAAGGTAAATTTATTTTCATGCAAGAAAATTCTTAAATATATCCATCTGAAGAACAGTCCACAAAAAAGTTCAATGAAAATGTGTTTTATGAAAAAAAAAAAACAAAAAAAACCCAAACATACAGATATCAAACTTGCCTCGTAGCAGAATTGACGTATTGATTCCACATGCCATGACCGTTCAAAACCTTAGTTTGTTTTTATATACTTGAGAGGCTGAGTGACACAGCCCAAGACTGGGACGGACTGAAGCCAGGAGCCAGGAATTCCTTTCGGGTCTTTTTGTTAGAGACAAGACCTAACTACTTGTGCTATGTCTTGTGCCTTCAAGGCTGCGCATCAGCACGACCCTGAATCAGAAATGAGGCAGCTGTGCCCCAAAGCAGGTGCAGCAACAGGAACACGTGCGCCCCAAGTGGCAGCGGCATACACTGCTGTGTCATGATATGCACTTGGCAGGAACCTTCGCAAGTCTCATCATACATACATAATTGTGTATCGGCAGATTTTTCTTTTTAGATAAAACATTTACAACTTAATTATACAAAGCAATATAAATATTTAAATTGAGATGCAAAATGTTAATGTCCACTTTTTAAAAAATAAATGCAACAAAAGGTTCTATAGCAAAATTATTCTATTCCTAATCAATCGGCCAAGCTATCACATCGTCTAATTTTAAAAGTTGATCTTTAGGGCCCGGCGTGGTGGCGCAGTGGTTAAGGTCCTTGCCTTGAACGCACCGGGATCCCATATGGGCGCCAGTTCTAATCCCGGCAGCCCCGCTTCCCTTCCAGCTCCCTGACTGTGGCCTGGGAAAGCAGCAGAGGACGGCCCAAAGCTTTGGGTCCCTGCACCCGCGTGGGAGACCCGGAAGAGGCTCCTGGCTTCGGATTGGCTCAGCTCCAGCCGTTGCGGCTGCCTGGGGAATGAATCATCAGACAGAAGATCTTCCTCTCTGTCTTTCCTCTCTGTATATCTGCCTTTCCAATAAAAATAAAATAAATCTTTCAAAAAAAAAGTTGATCTTTAATTTCTTTACTATTATTAACAGAGCTTAGGGAAACACATTTTCATATAAATCCTATAATCAGATCTCTAATTATTCCATTCATACTGATTGTTGGAAGAGAGTTTTTTGCTCATTTCAAAAGCTCTTGGTACAGAATATGAACTTTGTTTCCAGAGAGACTGTACCAATTTATAATCTGTGAACAGTGGCAGAGTACTTACTGTATTTGGGTTTTACCTCTTAAATGTTATTTTTATTCTTAGAGCTGCTAGGATTTCTTATTTTGCAAACTTTTTTTTTTGCATCTTTTGCCTACTTGAGAAAAAACTGGGATTCCTTTCTTTCAATCTTACCTCAATCATTATATCTAAACAAGAGTCCAAGTCTCCGACCTGGAGCTTGCTGCTGAGGTTTTGCAGCAACATGTAAACGGTGAAAGTCAGCACGTGCACCTGAAATGATAAGCAGGGTAACGACATGAACATTAGAACACCCTGAGGAGCGCCGACGAGCATCCTGGCCACAGGAAATGTCCGACGTTCCACCTGAGAGGGCCACCCCTTTCTCTGCTCACTGGGCCTGCAAGCTACAGCACTCCCCCAGGGGCCAGCTGCACTAGAGTCGCACTACAATGCAATGTCCATCAGGTCCCTGATCGCTAACAACTCCGGGCACTGTTGGTTCAGTGCCTCGCGTGCTGCAGTGAGGGCCTGATAGCCAGAGACACTCAGAGGGTTTTGTGTTCTGCCTGGAGCTCCTACTGTTTTCATCACGTGGATGTTTACAGATGAGTGTTTTTATCCTTAATATCTGTGGAACTAGGCTTAGTATAAATAAAAATTATTACCAAGGATTCAGAGAATAGAAAACATGAAATTAAAGAATTTCAGTCATGTAACAGATTCATAAGATCTTAAAAAAAAAAATCAGAAATAGGAACTTTCCTTAAAACTAAAGTCTTTAATGTAAACTGGCACCTTTTGAATACGGCTGCCTGTTACCTTTGGTTCTTCACTGAGGACAGGCCAAAAGCCCCTTGATGCGCACTGTTCACCTGCAGGTATCCCACTGCAACCTGACTCGCCCGGAAGCACGTGACGCCTTTACCTGATAGCCGCGGACAAGGGTGGTCTGCAGCTCCTTCAGGACGTACTGCAGGAAGTGCACCCCCAGATCCTCTATGATTTTTGCCAGCGTGCTGCGGGCAATGTCTCGGATTTCCTGTGCTCTGTTCTTGAGGAGGGCACACACTTTCAGCAAAATGCTAGGAAGTGAGCAGGGAAGACGACCATTCAAATCCATGGCAGCAATGAGAAATAACATTCTTTCTGTCTCCTAATCACTCATCTCCCAAAATTCCCAGTTTGGACTGTGAACCACGGCAAACAGGATTACTCTTCCCAACCAAAGGATTCGGGATTCAAGGAAGAACCAATTTTGAAGGCTCACTAAACTCTCAGATTTCGCTAACCAACATACCTCGGCAGGTTGGCCTCCATGACGTCTTTTGGAAGGGAGTGCATTAGCTTCACCATGGCAAACGCTAAAGGAACTCTGACCACTTCCTCATCATTCACAATCTTTGACTTGATGAGCTTATGCTCTTCTTCTCTTTTAGTCTGTAAGAAAAATTTAGGTTAAAGTACAATAAAGCATTAGGACTTAACAAACACTGTAACCTTGCACAGAAAGATTACATAGGAAGACAAGCTCTTATTGTATACTATAAGCCCACTTCCATGTTTAGTATTTTCTAAAGAAATTAATGATAATTTGGGAATAAACCTTTAAAAATTATAAAAGGAATAGGACTCAGAATGTTCTGTCATTCCAAGAAACACATGGAAGAAAAAAAAAAAGGCCAATTTTTATGTCTTATGTTGAGACTATAATGAAATATGCAAAACATCCATAAGGGCCTGACACAATGGCTTGATTGGCTAATCTTCCCCCTTCAGTCACTGGGATCCCTTGTGGGCACCAGCTCATGTCCCAAAAAGCGGCAAAGAGAATTAGGCTGATTTTTTAGTACGGTTTTTGGCAATGTAAGTCATCTGATCATGCACTTCAGAGAGGCATGGGCACGGATCAGTCACATGGAAACCACAGCCAAGGCGTAGTCCTGCCCAGCCACAGCAGGCAACGAGCCAGAAGCTGCTGAGAGAGGAGATGACCCATGAAGGGCTGAGGCAGTGTGACACGCAGAAGCTGAAGTCCATTAGGGACCAACAGGAGTCCTGGTCTGACGGGCCCCAGCAGCAGGATTACCGTGGATGCGAGGCATTTATGGAGCCTGGGTAGGATATCCCCGGTGATGGCTGTTTGGATATTTTGAATTGTTCTCTCCAACTCTTCCTTATTCCGCGGGAGGGAGGAGACAGACCCCGCGGTGCACTCGGGTTCCTTAGGTGCTGCCCCTTCTGGGTCGCCAGGCTCGTGACTTCCTGGCTCTCCGTCGTGGCCTGCCAGACTCGTGTGTGGAATTGCCTTCTCTTCCTCATCTGGGTTTCCCAGCTCCATGGCCTCCTGCTCCGGTAACTCGGTCAATTCCGTTGTGTCCATGTTTACATCACAATGAAAATCCTCTAGAATCAAAAAACAAAACAAAAAACCTTTGCAAAAGCTTCTGAAGCCCTGCGCTTGAGTTTCCGAGAGCAACAATCTACACTCACGAGTGTGAAAACCAATGGGAGCCAAAGGTTTTTATGCAGAAATTTCCCTGATTCCCACACTCAGCTCCTTAAACAAATTGAGGCAGTGGTATTCGGGGCAGGTGCACTAGATTTGAAGGCTGACAAATCAATGTCCAGCCACTGGGTTTTGGCTTCATCTTAACTGCCTGCCTGGCAAGGGTACTGTGTAGGTAAACAAATTAAACTCAAACACAGGTCTGGTTCTTTCCAGTTTCAGAAAATTAATTTGTATTTACTGACTATGTAGCTTTGGAGAAGTCACTTTACAATTCCAGCACCTCAGTTTCTCACATCAAAGATATGGGGCAGGGCTGCCAGCGTGGCACCACAGGTTAGGTCGGAACTGCACATGGGCACTGGTTCAAATCCTGGCTGCTCACTTCTTCCCTAACTACCAGCCACTATGGCTGGGAATGGCTCAAGTGACTGGATCCCTGTACCCTGACTTTGGGCTGGCCCAGCCCCCACTGCAGCTATTTGAGGGGTGAACTAGCACATGGAATCCCTCTCGCTTTCTATTTTTTTTTTTAATTTTTTAAAGCATGTTTCAAAAAGTATTGTAAAATATAGATTCATTTAAAGATAATAAGATGCTCCATAAATTATGATCTGGTTATAATTCCAGAAATTCACTATTAAGTTTGAAATATATTAAGTAAAAAATGCATTTAATACACGGAATCTACCAGATATCATAGAAAATAACACATTTATGTTGGTTGCTTATTCCTGTGTAAATCTGCAGCTCAGGATTCTTCACTAATAAACTATGTAACTTTTCACTCCAGATAAATCAAGTTTTGCCAGAATATGTAAACTGTTTTAACTCCCTCATGACACACTCTGCTACAAGAATAGCAAAAGAGAGTAACTGGGATTTTGCCATCTTCAGTTCACAATCCCAAATTATCCAAGAATAAGGTGGCAATATAGTTTTAGAAAGTTTCAAAAAACTTACTTTCTTCATTCTGAATTTTTGCCATTTGCTCCTCAAGTGTTTTGTGGTCAAAGTGGAATGCGTCTAACACGATTACTAGCAAACTGTTGGAAAAAAAAATACACAGAAATGTTTGACTACTTAAAGGAGAGAAAGTTTAAAGAATTGTACACAATTTCATCAGCAGTCTTAACATTAATAAGCATTAGCATGACCTCCTTAAAATAAGGCAAAAAGCAATGGAGATCATAAAGACTAATTCAGGAAGTCATTTTAAAATTACATTTTAAAAAAGAAATAAAAATGTTTGCTTATACCTGACCCCCAACTTTTGGTTGATCTGTCCTGTCTGTAAGACATGAATGAAATGCTTCAAGTAATAGATGTATGCTGGCCAAGAGAGATGTTTGCACACGGCCCCAATGGCCTCCGTGGCCGCTGCGGTTATGTTTTCATGCTGTAAAGTAAATCAAGAGTGTCAGCGTGGGACAAGCATTTATGAATAAGGCATGAGGCTAAAAAGGCAAACGGAGGATGATCAGCAAAGACGAAAGGGAAAGAAATGACTGTAAACCCCAATAAATAGCTAATCAGCCAACAAACCAAATAAAAAAATTACAAAAATGACCCAAGTGATCCAACAGAGGGAAGCAAAAGGGAAAAAAAAACATACGGTTAATGAAACACAAAGAAAAAATTAAGCTTAAGCCCAACATTAGTATATTATTAACATACATATATCCTTAACATAATTAAATAGAATAAGTATGTTAAAAAGACACCGTTGGATTGCTGAAAAAGTGTCACCTATAAGACTCAGGCCAGAAAGAAATGTAAATTCACAAGTAGGTTAAAAATCTAGAAAGTGTATTTCGGTGCCCAAAATTTTGAATTGGTTGTGCTCGCTGGATGTTCAAACTGAAATTTAAATGAAAAATCTTGAACTATTTCCCTACAGATTATTTATATCCTCAGAGAATTCTTTCAAGCGTTTTTGAAACAACAAAGGAAATGAACTATTGTTGGAGGTCATATAATCAAAAGTATAAATTCAAGCCACAAATTTAGACATTGCTGCACTTAGACTTGAATTTTTGTGATCAGAAATGCCATCACTTATTAATCTATTCAATTAAAAAATATTTATTCTGTTCCAGTGCTGGCATAATAGTCAAAACAGCTCAAGTTCAAAACCCGATTTGGAACAGTCACCTCACGTCTCAGTGTGTGGTCCTCTAAAACAGTGGCTGACTCTGCACGGGGCGCGGGCAGGGGTGAGGGGAAGCGCTCGGGACACCGCCCGAGAGCCGACGCAGTGCTGGATTCAGACAGGGCCAGACTATGCATTCAAGTCCCTAGTGGCTGATGTATCAGTACAAACAGTTTTGTTTTATTTAATTTCTAATGAGCTATTTGGGAAAATAACATACTCTGTTGACCAATGGAAGCTGCCAAAAACTAAGTCCTATGATACAAAAACAAAATGATATGCGACAATTTCTAGGAAGATCAACCTTTCGTGGTTAGCCTTTGTGAATTCCCAACAGTGAAAACTACAAAGAACAGACACCATTTATGCCAGACTCACTATGCTGCCAGGAGCAGCTGAAGGGCTCCAGCTCACTCTGAAGCCTCTCATCGTGGCGATGGCATGGCAATGCATGCCACCAGCTCTTTCTACATTCTGTCCAGGCAGGGGCAGAGGTTCATGGGTTCTAGAGCTGATGCCCTACCTTGAGCATCTTCTCATCAAAGACTGGCGTCATGGCATAGGGCATGATGTAATTCTGAAGGGATTTAGAGGACAGCGCAACCTTGCCTTCCAGCAGCTGCTTAGCCAGCTTCTTCAGGGCCCTGGCTCGCCGGTGGATCTACGAGTCAGATGCATGACAAATCAGTTACTGAACAATCTCTCCTACAACTAGCTTGCTTCTAGAATCACGTGTTCCTTTCATGAAAAGATCAGAGTGGAGCACAGTCCCTGTGTTACATGACCCAAACAGCTGTGCTCGGATTTGCTTCCACAGACGTAATCTACAACTTCTGGGTAGCAATGGATCCCAACACACGTAAAGTTTCTTAGGAGAAAGCACAGAAAGGTGACACGGGTATCAGCCGTGGTCTGTAACACAACCAAAGAAACCCAGCCCCAGGAAATGATTATCTCCGAGGCAAATTTGACTTATGACCAAGAATGAGAAACAAACCTTCCGGGGGAAGTTAGAACACATGTCTCTCAACAAGGCAGAAGTGTTCAAACTGCTTATTCTGCAGTTCCCAAAAAGGACAGCCATCATCTACCTGAATGTGCTTCATGTTCTCAAAGAAGTCCATTTCCGGATCCTGGCGATGAGTGAGCTGTACCAAGTCTTTAAATTCTGGTTGATTCGGAAAGGTTTGAATTAAACAAGAAAGTATGGTAGTATAATCCTGTTGGATACTCTGCAAATATCAAACGGAGGCAAATTATTTTTCATGATTCTGTTGCCTATGTAATATCAGGGAACACACACACACACACAAACACCATTAAATATATATATATTAAAAAAACTCTCTACATTTCTACTGTTTTACAAAATATCAAACACACACATAAAAGCAAACATGGCTCTCATTTCTGTTCCCATTCCCTTGTTACCCAATCCAGTGTTGACTTCAGTGTCCTAGGCCTGACCACTTTTTTCCTACACATCCAGAAAGGAAGTAGGAGAACACGACTGCAGCAGACCTCAGCAGACCTACAGAGATGGGGTTACAACAAGTACCTCTGTCTGGCTCTTCAACCCTTTCCTCAACTTCTCCAGTAGCGACCGATGAATGAGTTCTTTGTATTCTTTCTCAGCAACATTCAAGGCTGCCAGCTTTTTAATGATACTCATCAAGCACATGCTGGCATTATCACTTAGAGACATATCTCCTAGCTGGAAATGAGAAAACAAAGCATTCTGTGTAACAACCACATACCGTATGGAACATTCAACTCCCAAGCAACGTGACCTGCCCGCTCTTTGAAAGCCCCACCGTATGAGGTCAGCACTGAGAGATAACTGGCTAGTGATTGCAGTTGGTTCCTACGAAGTTCCTTGCTTGAGGAACACAGATAGTATACACAGGGTATTTCCAAGTCAGCCAACCAGGCACTGACTTAGAATTTCTTGTACTGACAGGCTAGCTCTGTAATGTAGCTGTTAATGTCATTACCTGTAATACCAGAACCCCGTGCGGGTACGAGGCAAGTGCCAGAGCTACTCTACTTTCAATCCAGGCCTCTGCTAATGCCCTGAAAAGTAGTGCAAGATGGCACCCACACGGGAGACCCAGATGAAGCTCCTGGCTCCTGGCTCTGGCCCAGCCCAGGGCTGGCCCTTGCAACCATCACGCGAATGCATCAGCAGATGGAAGATGTCTTTTTTTCCTCTTTCTCTGTAAATTCTTTCAAAATAAACAAGTAAATGACTATTTTTTAAAAGGGGCATAATTCTGAACTAACAGATGAGCAGTTGCTAAAAGTCACAGAGACTGTTAATGCCAGTACAAGCTTAACACAAATAAAGGCTTTGATTTCTCCCATTTTAGGATTAAACTCAGCTCAGAAACACGGCGACTACTCTGACACATAAACACCTACTTTTTCAAAGTGCTTCCACATTTATTATTTACTTTCAAAATGTTTGCCTTTCAGGTTCTGCGCGAAACAAAAAATTCTGCATCTAAAAAAATTTTTATTCTGAAAACCCTAATACCTCTCAAGAACCAATTTCCAGATGAGATCATATTATAGTAGCTGTATTACCATGGCAACAAAAAATTAATACATGTTGCTTACAAACACCTACCTCCATATTATAGAAACAATTATGCATGACCGGAATTAGGTAGTTAGCATCCACCGCCTGCATGTCTTTAACGTGGGAGGCGATGGTCTGGAAGGCCGCAAAGCGGACATCAAAGTTGATATCATCAAGATGTCTGTGATCGAATGCATTAAGCTGCAAGAAAACGCCATTGGAACAATGTAAATGAAGGCACATAAATCTTCAATAAGCAAAAATGACCATCCCTTTTCGAGGCGGAGAAATCAGATTTCTTTCTTACCTTGACAACATCAGTGATGTACTGTAGATCACTGTCAAAATCAGAAAGAGTCTGGGAGGAAAAACAGCGTAGTTACCAGTAAATAAAACCTGAATTTTTCTGCCTTCCTCCCCTCAGCTTCATTCCCCAAATTCCTATAAATTATGATTTATGCACACACACCCTGCTCAAATGCTTTACACGTCTTTTAAAAGAAAAAAGGGACTTGGAATAACCAATGGAAATTACACGCACCTGGAAAACTGTGCAAAGCAATTGTCTTGATAGTTTATTCTTAATAATGGAGAAGAGCGCCGCCAGTGGCTTGAGGAAGTCTGTGGGCTCCACACAGTGGTTTAACAAGTTCTGCACTGTCACCAGAATATCCATCTCCGTATCCTTCAGGAAAAAGAGAAAAAAGTCACATCTCTGTAAAACTGATGAGCCTGAACTTCAATATATTACAGTACAGAAAATAATCACTCCTAGATTAAAAAAAAAAAGTCATTGGAAAAATAACTTCATTTTTTTTTTTGACATTTTCAGCACTTTGACTAAACATAAAACTCATAACAATGCTCCATATCTTACTTCAATTCTAACAGAGAATATACATGGTTTTGAAAGCCAATTTCTTACACCACCTAGTTCAAATACAGTCAAGAAAAAATGAGCTTGTTAAAAAGTTAAAATCCTTTTTCTGCAGATTTGTTGTATCTCAAACTGAACTCCCAGATGGCGAGATTCCACATCACCACTAGGTCTTACAGGTCACCTTGGGCCTTGGAGGGTTTTTTACATTAGGATTAAACTAAGAGTTAAAAACTGTATCAAAAACTCTACTTTTTGCTGGACATGAAGCCTGGCCTTTGCTTAGGTTTCTCACCAAGATGCATATTTCATATTATACAACACACGTCATGGGTTTCAGATCTGTTACTGATCAAAGTCAAAGAGAAAAGGCAAGCTTACAATGAATCAGAAGGGAAATGAAGGAAAAGCAAGGGGCCTCTGCTTCCCACGAAGGCCCATGGTGGTGTCTTCACCAGCGGGTCTGCCCCATTCCCGTTTCTGTACCAACTTTTTTCCTTTTATTTCTAACCTTTTATTACGGCATAAAACTTTTTTTTTAAGATTTATTTTATTATTTTTTTATTGGAAAGGCAGATATACAGAGAGCAGAGACAGAGAGGAAGATCTTCCGTCTGATGAGTCACTCCCCAAGTGAGCGCAACGGCCGATCCGAAGCCAGGAGCCTCTTCCGGGTCTCCCACAGGGGTGCAGGGTCCCAAAGCCTTGGGTTGTCCTTGACTGCTTTCCCAGGCCACAGGCAGGGAGCTGGAAGGGAAGCGGGGCTGCCGGGATAGAACCGGCGCCCATATTGGATCCCGGCGTGCAAGGTGAGGACCTTAACCACTTGCACCATTGCGCCAGGCCCAAAACTTTTTTTAAACTTTTTTTTTTAAGGCAAAATGCATCAAATAAAGTAACAAATAAAACCGCTGCTGACAAACAAATCCGGTGATACACTGGCATTGCCCACACAAAGTAAACGTTCTGTACATCTGTACCTGAGCAATATTGCCACGATGGAGGAAAGGAAGCAGAAGTGTAACAAGCAGCGAACTTTGTTCTTTGTCTTTCATAAACTTGCTGATCCTACGGAAAGGAGATATGCAGAAAGACACATGAGTTTGCCAGCACTACTCTAGCAAGTCAAACTTTGGGTAGAAAATCTTTACGACCAAAAAGTTTGGACAGAAAATAAAGGGGGTTTTGAATTATGTGTGTATGTAGCATTGCTTAGTCTTATTGGGCTTATGGCTACAACTCCATTTCCTCTGCAATATGTAATTGTGTAGATGAATTTTAGTGAACTTCAGCGCCATAGTTATATGTGTAGTGTGTGAATTTAAATTTCCACAACAGAAAGCAATTAAGGCCTTATTTGCCTCAGATTTCACACGCAATCACTGAGTCTCAAAGAGGCTGATGTCACACGGCACGTGTCTCAGACTGTCCTGTGAGTCCTTCTGTGTCTAAGCTCTGCTCTTCTTTCAAATACTAGATAGCCTGGATGACAGTCCTGAGTGCACTGACCATGTTTCCTCAATCTGTGTAACAGAAATGTAACAATATAAAGAGAGCAGTGTAAAGCAAGTAGGCAGAAGACTCTACCACATTTTGTTCATGTTGAAATTAACAGAATTTAAAAAAAATGATTAAGCCTTGTGACAGTCTATATAAAAATAACTTCTCCATTCAGGTTTACTAACTTCAATCATTAATATTAGATATCAAAGTCTTCAAAAAGCTCATATGATGTTTTCTGCTCTTTTATTTTTATTAACTAAACTTAAAAACAACCCCCCCCTCAAAAAAGCCACAAAACTCAAAGCTTTAAAGGGTCAAACAGTCCAACCTCCAGTCCGCACGAGGATTCTGAAGTCTGCTCCCTTTAATACAATCAAACAGAGGCAAATAGTATAAAAGGCTTCTAAAGATTATATCAACATTCTGCACTGAGTTAGAGAAGACAGCACTTAGAACACCGAAAGCATCTTTTGCTTCTCACTGGCATTAACAAGATAAAACAAGAAAAAACTAAGACCACGGATGATGATGTCATCTTTGCAGTCACTTACCTGGAAAGAATGCCTAGTTCTTTGCTGACTTGTGCGCGGTTCTTCTTCTTTTTCACTTTCTCTGCACTTATTGTGGTTCTGCTGAGATACTGCAGAACTGCAGGTACGTGGGGCAGGATCAACCTCCCTCCCACAGTGATGGACTCTGAAACAGACGGTGACTAGCGTTTTCATTTCAGAAACTCTGAGCAAATTTCCAACTATAGAACATATTTACATTTGGATAAGGAAAGCACTCAACTACTGTGGACATTTTAATAAATTTCAACTTTAAACATCAATCAACGAATGGAGCCAGTTCAGCTGCCTCATGTGATGTAGGTATCCTATAGGAGGGGCTGGTTCAAGTTTTGGGCAGTTCACTGCTGAGCCAGCTCGCCACTGATGTACCCAGAAAGCACCAGGAAATGGCGTAAGTACTTGCCATCCACATGGGAGTGCAGGAGGAACCTACTGGCTCCAGGCTTTGGCCCGGCCCAGCTTCAGGAAGTTACTGGGGTATTGGGAGAGTGAACCAGAGGACGAAAAATCTCTGTCTCTCCCTCTCTTGCTGTGACTTGCCTTTCCAGTAAACACATGTCACCCAAAACAAAATTAAATAACTTTCTTCCTACTCAAGAGCTGTCTCTTTAGCTAGTTTAAAAATGAAAGAGACTCCACTTGGGTAGCCGAGAAGAGCTGCTGGGCTGCAACAGTGCATGATCTCAGAGATGTCAACACTGGAAATCACCCGTCATTTCCTAGAGGACAGTGGAAACTTCCGAAGAATAACTGATCTGAATTTTTACAACTGCAAGGAAAATTCAGCTTATGTAAATCAGCATTAATTGCCAGAGAAACTACAGGCAAGTTATTATGAGAACCATACTGATGGTCCTTTCTTTTCAAAGGCAAATGTTCCTCAGATGTCTCACGACCATTTCCTTTGTATAAATACACACCGTCCATATCTTCGGACACATCTGCATATACGCATCCAGTTACTGGCAAGCTCAACACTGTTTCTGTGGGCTCGAAGTCCGGAATGTTAAGCAGGTCACTGACAATATCCATCACAACACCAGCGGTGGCATCAGAGAGATTCTTGGCTGACAGAATTGCAAAGACATTGGTTAAGATATCATACTCTGGATGCCCAGGCTTCTGTTTAGCCAGAAAAGGAAAGTATCTGTGAGGAAAAAAACAAACGAAAGCAACATTGGAATAATGCTTATTTACAAAAATACATACGCAAGTGGATCTGCACATTTAACACATGTGTATGTGTGAAACTTAAATCTAAAACTCGATGGGTCCTAATTCAAAGCACCTTACAAACCCCCTATGACTGAAATGTTTTATGTAAGATTTTCATTTAATACGCTTTAACAGCTCTGCTGGGCAATCGCATTGTCTACACATTACAGAGGAAGAAACTGAAACTCGTGCAAAGCCACTGCGCCAGCAGAGCTGAGACTCAAGGCAGTGCAACTCCAAATTCTCGGGCTTTCTAAAAGAAACTTCTTAAAGATTGCTTATCTCTTCAGTTAGAGGCAGGATTCTAGAATGTGAACATTTGTACATTGATATAAAAACTTAAGGGTGTGTAGAGACCAAAACTAATCTGTTGAGAGATGCTTTCTTGGGAGGAGGAATGCTTGTGGCAGGAATGGATCCATCTTCAAGGACCCACACAAACACCCCTCCTGCTGGCAGCTCCCAAGCAGCGCGGAGCGCACAGGGGCTGCCTGAAGGCCACGGGCATGCCGGCAGCTGCCTTTCAGGTGGAGACACAACACTAACACACTGAAGCTAGGCTGGCTGGCTGTTATTTCATCCCTGGAAAGAGGTCAAGCACCAACACCCTTAGCCGTGACAAACGGATAAAAGAGTACTAAATGGTTGAATGCATACACCTCTCTGCCCGACAGAGATTGTGCAAAGTACGGGTAGATAGCAAGCAAGATACTTGATATGTTACCACAGAAGTAGAATTGTTATTATTTCCCTTTTGCAGGTGGCAAAACTGAGGCTTGGAGATACCACCTTCATACGACAATGTAAGGCTCAGTGAAAAATTTCAAATACTCATTCAACACTCAACGAACGATAATGAAGCCTGGACTATAACCCTTCGCGGAGGACGGCGTTCCTGAGCATCCTTTGTTCAACAATCCGAAGACTTGGTAAGTTTCAGATTTTGGAGCATTTTGGATTTTTGCCTGAGGAGTCCTGAAGCAGCAGAGTATGTACAAATATCCCAAAATGTGAACAACATGGAAATCTTAACTACTTCTGCCCACAGCATTGTGGGTAAGTGACACTGAGCCTGCGCAGCAACACGGGGGGGTACGTTCTATGCCCTCAAGGAGCAGGTAAGCTACGAAGACCCCGTGCACATCCAAGGCAAGGACTGCGGGGCCGTGCAGGAGTGAACAGGCTCAGGAGGCACAGGTGAATCACCCAGGGTCCCCTAGGGTCAGCTGCATCAGGGCTGATCAAAGAGTGATCAACAGCAGCCCCAGCTTAATTATTTATAGAATCTCATTCTGTTTCATGAATGTTTCACTCTGCATAATGCATTATATTATCACCCTTATTAGTACATTTTTATTGTCATGAGTTGGCCTTATTTTTTGAGATGATTTAAGTTTATTTGTAAGTTTTAAAACGCTGGCTTGAAGTGCAGCCCTACCTTCATTTATACAAGACTAAAGTAAAATGTTAGACTTCCCTACAGATGGAATACATGTTGCAGTTGCCGAAATTATGGAAGCCACACTTCAAAATCAAAATTGACTTCTTACTGAATACTAACAGCTCAGTGATGTGGTTCTGAAATATTCTCTCTCTCTTCCTTGCTCCTCCATCCCTCTTAACCGCTAACTGTGCCTTTCGAATAAATGAATAAAAAGCCTTTCTAGCCACAAGAGCTGTGTATTTACAGTTTTACTAACTGTAAAGTCTGTTTAGTAAGTCTGTCAAATTTTTCTAATTTTTAGTGGGAACTGGGAAAAACACAGAATGCCAATTACAAATCAGTTTTTATTTTTGAGCAATAATATAAAACATGATAATATTCCTATTTATGGTATGATTCTTGTATGTTTAATATTGCTTCTCTCTTTGCCAGACTATATCAAACTGTTGGCTTATTACACAATGAAAGACCACTTTTATCAATTCTAGTAGTTCCAAGTTTCAAGTTTTAATCAAACTATAGGATTATAACAATCTATTATATACAACCCACAATTTAAATGTATATTATATAGTAAAATGCTATTTAACCCATTTCTTTGATAAACTAAATTTAATAATTAAAATATTACAAAAGCTACATCCTGAAGTCTACACTGTTTAGCAACTTGTATTTTTCCTTAGAAAATAGATTTCAAGCTATCACTACATTTTTATCCAGCTGTCCATTCTCTTTAACTACACCTACAAAAACTTAATGTATGAGAATGCCATTAATTACATGATTAGTTCCCTGGACTAGTTTTTATTAAGTAAATTGAAAGGGGAAGGGGGACATAAAAAGGTCATACCTTGCATTTCTGCCCCAGACACTAATTAGTTTCAGCAGAGGCGTAGGAGAATACGGACTCTCTGACCCAAGCCTGCAGATCTAGGGACAAAACAAAAACACTAAAATGGAGACACACATGAAATTATATGACACAGATACAATAACAAAAAGAAGTGACAAGGAGAACAGAGATGCCAGAACAGGGGTGGCAGAGCCTAGAGATGAACATTTAAAACAAAGATTAAAGGAGAAATAAAGGGCCCCAACACAATATTTATGATAAAAATGGTAGAGAGTGCTGGGAAACGCTAGACTCGGAAGAGGAGGTGTCCCGTGGTCAGAAATGGCTAAAAGTTCATGCAACCAGGAAGCCAGGCTCTCCTGCAGGCTTCCTAGCTGTCACTAGGATCTTTAGGATCGGTTACAACCAGGGAAACTAAACACGGGAACACGTAAGAAAAACACCTGCACATTTCTCCTCTTCTGTCAACAGCCACGGGCCGTGTTACATGAGGTGCTGAGGAAGTTACATTGCACTAAGCGATTCAAGTGACAGAACGGCATTCCCACAGGCTTTAGCTATAAGTGCCAGAGTATTACCGAAATGAATGCCTGGTCTTCAAGCGTGCTTGTGGAAGCAAATCAGAGTGAAAAACTTCCAGAAATGAAGAAAGGCTTACTGTGAAAGAAAACAAAGACACAGACAAGCACTGCCCTCTGGGCAGCCGACAAGGCTGGTACCCACAGGTGGGCAGAAGCAGGAGCAGCAGGGCTTACCTGGGGCCAGACGACCCCGTGAAACACAGCATCGATTTCTTCCGCTCGGAACTGATGGGACTCCCAGTCCAGAAAGATGTCAGTCACCATCTTGATTCCAAGACGTCGCAGGTTCTTCAGCGGGTTAACAAACCTCAGCTGTATCTGAAAAACGAAGACTTCGTGTTTAAAAAACAAGCCCACACATTCTGTACACTCATGACCAGCACATTTGTCCCCGGCTCTTCAGAGGTGCACTTACTCAGGAGGGCTGAGTAATCAACCTGGAAATCTCTGATTTGCATGGGAACATTAAATAGGCAGATTCATATTGCTTTCCTCATTGAGCAAGAAGGGAAAGTAGATTTTTTTTTTTAAATTAGATGGCGAGAAGCACTTCATTATTACTGCCCAGTAAAATCATGCTGATATCCTTGGGGAAAAACATAATCATATCTGTTTTGTATTCTACGTTGTTTCAGAACGTTTTGAACAGTGCTTTAGACCAGCAAAAAAGAACTCTCTCTGCATTTCAAACCAAAGTAACATGATTTTCAGTTTCACATTACAATTACTCACTTTTAAAATATATTTACTCATATATATACTCATTTTAAAATATATGTATGTATATATACATATTTAAAGATGAAATCCGTACTAAAAGTAGTCTAGGGGACAAGTTAAAGAATTTATGTTTTTGGAGCTGGCATGGTCAAGTAACAGCATTCCATAAGGGCACCGGTTCATATTCCAGCTGCTCCACTTTTGATCCAACTCCCTGCTTGTGGCCTGGGAAAGCAGCAGAGGACGGCCTGAAGCCTTTGGACCTTGCACCCACGTGGTAGACCTGGAAGAAGCTACTGGCTCACAGATCCAGATCAATTCAGCTCTGGCCATTTTGGTCATTTGGGGAGCAAACTAGCAGATGAAAGACCTCTCTCTTTGTTTCTCCATCTCTCTGTAGAAATCTACCTTTCAAATAAAAACGAATCTTAAAAAATAGAAGGAATTTGTTTTCTTTCTGCCTGTCTCTCTCTGTTTGTTGAACGGCTTTTTGAAAACATGGAACAGCACTTAACCTCTGTATCTGAGGGCCTGGGTTAGCATCCTGCTGCTGCTCCTGACCCTGGCTTCCTTGCTAATGTGCACCTGTGGAGCGAGCAGCAGATGGTTCAAGCATTTGCGTGCCTCTCACTCCATGGGAAAGGCATATTGAGTTCTGGGATCCCAGTTGCAGCTGACTCAGTCCCAGCTATTGTGTGAATGAACCACTAGATGGCAGCACTAATAAGCACATTTTTAAACAAGGAACTTCTGGTCTTCTCAGAAAGAATACCTTTGTGTTTTAAGAGAATGAGGAGACTGAAACAAGGAATGTGAAGATTTCAACCGAAAAATGCAATTTTGAAGAGATTGTGTTTGGAGGCAGGTTCACAGGCTGGAGTGGGTCAGAATTCAGATCAAACTTTCTCTGTAACAGATATCACTACTTTTTGCTCTCTCCTTTCCCACAGGCTACAAAATCACAGACATGCAGCCTGTTCATTCAGGTTCATGGAAAAACAACTCCAGTCCCCACTACTGGCATTATAGCCATACTCCTGACTTCAACTTAAAATCATGCTGAAGGCAAATTTATGAAACTATGTGGGAGAGTGAAAAGCAAAGATACGCAGTTGGGAGGATTTATAACAAGGTCAACTACAAACGAGGTAGACTCCATTAAAAAGAGAAGAGAGAGACAAATGCTTGAGATTCAACTCCTAGCTGTTTTATCACTTGATTAAACACATTCTGGCTTCCAGACAGAAAAGTAGCAACTTTTTTTTTTTTTTTTTTTTTTTTTTAGCACATAACCTTTATTATCAGTACAAGAATCTAAAAGTCACCCTGAACGGAAAGATTAGGTCTTCTGGCCAACTTCTCATGCGGTGAATTTATAGAGGAGCTAGGCGTCATGACAATCAACCTGTTTTAAAGATTAAGTGATGGTAACCTCACTGAGACAGCCTGGGAAGATTCTCTCCCTTTCAACTGTTTTCAATAGTTTGAGAGAACTAGACACCATGATGCTTAGTGAAATAAGCTAGTTCCCAAGAAACAAATATACGCTTTCCATGTACTGTGATAACCAATATATAGTATGCAAACATGCAATCTACAGGCGTGAAAGTGACATTCTGGGATTTAATACTGTGCACAGTCCTTGCTTACATTCCTGAGGGATACCAGAGATGTATTGTTTTAATTATTATTTGTTATTCGTTATGCGTTGATATATTTACTAGCAGTGTTAAACCTGTGTTTGTGAAGTTAAATGAAAGTATGCTGGGTCCAGTACGGTAACCTAGTAGCTTAAGTTATCGCCTTGAATGCGCCGGGATCCCTTATGGGTGTCGGTTCTAATCCCGGTGGCTCTGCTTCCCATCCAGCTCTCTGCTTGTGGCCGGGGAAAGCAGTGGACAACGACCCAAAGCCTTGGGACCCTGCACCCATGTGGGAGACCTGGAGGAAGCTCCTGGCACCTGACTTTGGACTAGCTCAGCTCTGGCCATTGTAGTCACTTGGGGAGTGAATCAGCAGATAGAAGATCTTTCTCTCAGTCTCTCCTCCTCTCTTGAGCAGCTCAGCTGCCTAGTAGCACTCAAGAATTGCTGAATAAACTGAAGGAGATTTCTGAAAATGAGAAATTGTGTAGAGGTTTGATTGCTAGAGAAATAGTCCTAGCCGGATTTTATAGGTTTACTGGTTAACATACTGCCAAAATGTACAGCAAAACCAGCAACCTTCACAAGACGCTGTTTCAATGTCACTCAATGCCCTGAAGCATACAAAAAGACATAAAAAAGTAAATGTCTAACTGAGCTCAAACAAATAAATGTAGAATTTTAACTCACTTAGGCAAAATTACTGTGAAATAATTTATGATTGAAGTTTAAAGAATTCATTGAACTTGTTAAAAAAAAAAAAAGCAAGCTCATATCTGTGAGCAAGCTTAACACCTCACTAACTAATGAACTGTGAAATTGCACAAATGATCCTTTCTGTTACTGACTGCTGACTTGGGGGTAAGCCGATATTACTGAGTAACTTCTCGGTTTACAAAAAATTCAAGAATTTAAAGAAGCTTTACAGAACGTCTCATCTTTCACAATTAACTATTTCCATACCCAGACACAGCCAGTACAAGGCATAAAGCAAACTTCTTTTATACTTTTTGTCCATGGCCCTTAAGCATTTATCTAACAAAGGCTCTTTTGAGTCTTGTTTCCACTCTTGGTCTCCCCCGACAGGAACAGCCATGCCAAGATTGCTCATGCTCCAGGGACTTTGCACTGCCTGCCCTCGTTACCTGAAATAGTGGCCCATGGCCAGTCAGGCCCAAGTTCAAATATCACATCCTTAGAGGGGACCCTAGTAAAGGCAGCACTTATTCACTCCAATCCTGGGCATCGGCTTTGTCTTTGGCATAGTGGTTGAGGATCTTCTAATTTTTTTTTTTTTTTTTAATTTTACTTACCTCCTCCTTGTTCTGCTAAAAGAGTCCTTATTCTCACACAGAGAGATCCCATCTGATGGCTCAGTTTCCAAAAATACAAGAAACAGCTGGGGCCTGACTCGGTCAAGGCCAGGGCCCCAGGGCTCAGCCTCTACCTCTCACGTGAGTAGCAGAGACCCAAGAACTTCAGCTATCATCTGCTGCCTCCTTAGTGGGCTGTATTGGAAGAGCGAAAGCCAGGACTTGGAGCAGGCACTCCGCTATGGGCTGTGGGAACCCCACGCAGTCTCTTTACTGCTATGCCTCAAACCCACCCTCTACTGTTTCTCCATAATACGAAATTCCCGTGAAGTTTCAGATCCCTTATATATAGAAGTAACTTATTTCTAATACATGTTTGATACAACTTGCATTTTTTTAGTCACCCCTAAGGGACTAAGGATGTTAGTAATTCAGGTCTCAACCCAATTCTCAAGTAAAATAGACTTCATCAGCCCAAAAAGCAAGCATCCACAGCACATCCGTCACCTTCTCCCGCTGGTCAAGGATGTGTGAGACAGTCGCTGTCATACAGAGCAGTATCTGCAAAATCTTCGGTAAGTATGTGCCGATCAGATGGCTGATGTTCTTCAACACGATTTCAAGGCTGTTTAAGACACCATGCTGACGGCCCAAAGGAAGAACTCTGGACAAATCCAAATCTTCTACTGCTTGCACAACTGCATGCTGGCACTCTCCTGTTGAAACAAGGAAGAAATTGTGTAAAAAGTGAAGTATTAGTTTGTTGCTATGTACAGTCATAATTTCCATCCAATTTCTGCCAGGATGCAGTGCTATCTATTGCCATAGAGTGACTTATCGATGGCAATCTATTTTTCTTATGTATTAATGTCCTTTTGACTTTTATAAAAACATCCAGTGAGCTGGTTAAGTTAGGTTTAACTATTTCCATTGTAGATGAGGAAACTGAGGAATAAAATAGAGTAACAAACCATGACAGAACTATGACTCTACAGCCATTCTCAGTCAATTTTTAAATTATTCCTGAATAGTTATGTTACTAATAGTCTTTATCTGTCAACAACATTCCACATGTTTTTCTTATTTTCAGCTTTCATTGGGCTGGTAGATTCATAGAAGATGTTTAGCTGCAATATAAGCTTCCTGATAGCTGAGAATTAAGTGTTTTACTTCTCTTGATGCCCCTGGTTTAAAAAAAAAAAGCTTTTTATCAACAGTTGACATGATACTGATTTCAGAATTTATCGAAAATATCCGAATTCTTATAGTCTGAGCTTGACTTCAAGCTTGTTGATTCGTACACTAACATGGTCTGCCATGAGCAGCATCAGTTCCAGCTCCCCTCCTTTAACAGGGACTCCACACTAAATGGAAGCTTTTGAGTTCATTACAGCCAAGCTCCTTCATAGGTTCCCATGCTGAATGGAAGCCTATGGAACAGATGGACCTCGGGCATAGCAAAAATGCAAAGCAGATGCATACTCCACTAGAAATACATACCCCACGTGCCTACAGTAACGTGACTGGGACCGCGCGCAGGTTTTGGAGCCACAGTGCTCTAGGTTCTACTCCCAACTCTAGCACTTTGTAGCCAGCAGTCCATAAGCAGAATACCTCCTTTCTTTTTTTTCTCTCTCTCTTTTTTTTTAATAGAATACATCCTTTCTAAGCCACAGTCTTGTCATTTGTAAAATAGGATAACCAAAGAAATGACAGCTCACATAGCTGTTATAAAGATCGAAACTCTATAGAGAGGCCATAATAACAGTTGGTTATTATGGTTATTGTGGTTATAATAACAGTTGGTTATTCACACTTGGGAAATGCTCGTCATTACTGTTATCACCAATTGTTAACATTTTATAGCAGAGAACGTATCACACAGCATCATAGCTCAGGGTCTACCCTCATACATCACTGCATCTCATCTGTGAGGCTGAAGGCAGATTATAAACACATACTTCTTTATTTTTAACCTAGCAGTGTCTCTGGTGCAGGTTACTCAACAAATCATACTTAAAGGCTAAATGACTCAATCAACAAATGCCAAAGCAGTTAAGATTAATTTTGCAGCCTGCTCTGAAGTTCTTATTATCACAAGGGTGCTGGTAATCCCCAGGGCCAAGCATGAGCTTTATTTAATTCAACCAAAGTTTGGGACGAGTTGTTTATCAGCGGAAAGGCCAGCCCTGGGTCGGGGAACGTGGGATGGGCACAGCTCCGTTACAAAGAGGCCTGGGAGAGAGTCATCGAGCCGGAGACACCCCACCAGCCTCACGGGAGCTACCGTTCAGGAAGTGCTTCACAGGCTCCAGCAGCAGGTCCAGGAATATCTGGATCTCCTCGGGCTGAGTCCCGGCGAGGAAGCGCAGCACGATGGCCATGCGCGTGCCTGAAGCCGACTTGCCCTGTGTTTTACTCCCAGTCTTGTTCTTCATGCGCCCATACAGAATTCTGCAAAGGCAAAAGAACATCGTTGGCTTGCACATTAGTTTGGAAACACAAGACTAGTTGGTCTTTATTTTGCAGAAGCCTAGCAGAGGGACTCAACAATTCTGAATCAGTGCATTATAAAACAAAGGTGGGAGGTGGGGGGGCGGGGGCAGAGCAATAAAATAAAACCAAAGGAATCAGAAAAAGGAAAGTAGCAAAGACCAGGGTGTGATTCTTTGTGTGAGAAAAAGCAATAAAATAAGCAAGTCCAAGGTAAGTAATCAAGCAGAAATGGAAACAAGAATATACACATTCAAAGGAAGCAATAGGTTATAATCAAAAGCAAATAAGGAAGCTAAAAAAAAAAATCAATTAAATTATCAATCTTCAAAACATAAGAAACAAAAGAAAAAGGTACACTAAGAGATCAATAACCACTGGAAAGCACTAAACACAGTTTAACTGGTAAATTTTTTAAAAACTTTCAAGGAAAAAAATATTTTCATATTAAAGCTTTCTCATTGCAAAACGGTAAATTTTTATTACTAACATAGGTTAATGACCTAAAACAAAGCCACACGATTATATATATATATATAAAACACAACTTTGTTAAATATAGTTTCAGTGCTATATCAAAATCCAGTAAGGGTTATCCCTGGAAATGTTCATATACTCATTTCAATTTGTGCTTTAACAAGTATTCTAGTAAATTTCAACATTCATTCTTGAAAAATTTAGAAATAACCTAACAAAGGTTACCTTTTTTATGTGACAAAACTTAACTGATTTGGGTCTAGTCATGTGGTGCAGTAGGTCAAACTGCTACTGGTTTGTGACATTGACACATCACATCAGTGTAAGTTCAAGGCTTGGCTACTCCACTTACAATCCAGCTCCCTGCTGATGTGCCTAAGGAAGGCAACAGGGTAAGGACAAGTGCTTCAGCCCCTGCTACCCATGTGGAGGACTTAGATGAAGCACCTGGAAGAGACCCAAGTTTTGGCCACTTGGGGAGTAAATCAGTTGGATGGATGATCTCTTTTTCTGGTTCTCCCTTTTCTCTGTAATTCTTTCACATAAATGAACACATATTTAAAAACAACCACAATAACAAAAAACTGACCATACTGAAAATTCAGATTGTGGTTTTCATCCTTTCTGGAAATTACTGAAGTCCTCAAAGATCTTTTATATATGTGTTTTTTATCCATTAATAGTTACTATATTTGAAACCAGACTCAAGGAATGAAAAAATGTTTAACAATAAATAATGTTGTTATACTTTAATATAAATAAAATATTTAATGAAAAAATGACTATTCCCCAAGCCAAAGAGGAAAAAAATAAAAGATTTATTAATTTATTGGGAAGTCAGATTTACAGAGAGAAGGAAAGACAGAAAGAAAGATGCTCTATCTGCTGGTTCATTCCCCTAGTGGCCGTAATAGCTGGAGCTGAGCCAATCCAAAGCCAGGAGCCAGGAGTTTCTTCCAGATCTCCCACATGGGTACAGGTCCCTAGGCTTTGGGTTGTCCTTTACTGCTTTCCCAAGCCACAAGAAGGGAAGTGGAACAGCTGGGATATGATCTGGCGCCTATGGACTTTAGCCGCTAGGCTACCATGCCAGACAATTGTAGCTATTCCATTTTTACAGTACTCCAAATCTCAATAACTGTTGCTATTAGCAATGTGGAATCTGAGGGCTTATAACAAACATCAAGAATTCTTCTACAGTAGTCTGTTTGCCTTGCACTTTGAACAGATGTTTTATTTATATATGAGTCTGGAAAGTCAATCATTTACTTGGAAAACATTGGTTCACTAAGTTATAGAAATGTCAAATGCTGACACATGTCACTGTAAGCAAAAATAAATGTTTATTAACATTTGCTAATATCACTAGTCATCTCATCAAAAAAGTCTTTTTTTAAAGATTTTTGTTTTAGCTATTTGAAAGAATTAGAGAGAAAAGTAGACACACATGTACGGAGAAAGAGAGAGAGAGATCTATGTATCTAATCTGGTGGTTCACTCCCCAAATGACCACAAAGGCCAGGCCTGGCCAGACTAAAGCCTAGGGTTAGGAGCTTCATCTGGTTTCCCAAATGGGTCTCCAGGACCCCAAACGGTTGGACCATCTTCTGCTGCTTTTCCCTGGTCTTCAGCAGGGAACAAGACTGGAAGTGGAGTAACTGAGAAACTGGTATCCACACAGGATGCCGCTGTCACAGGTAGTAAGCTTTACCTATTACAACAAACTCTAGTCCTCTCAAGTCTTTTACATACGGTGAACCTGTCAAGTTCACAGTAACAGATAAATTCTCCCATTTTCACTTGAGTGCTGGAATTTAGTTACTGAAAACAAAGGCTATCTGTGGATTCCCTTGCAGTGGCAAACTCACTACATTCACTGTGAAGTACCCAATTTTAGAAAGGATCACAGTCCATCAATGGGCTTTCAAACAAAAAAAGTCCTGTGAGAAAGTGCCTAGTTTAGCTTGCAACTCAAAAACTTATATAGGTGTTATTCCTTGAGACAACGCATGTGCAGAAGTTGTTTTATGCATTATGAGTACCTCCCACTTTGTCATACAGCAGAGTAAAAAGATAGATACTCAAAGGCCAAGATTCACCAATGACATTAAGTGAGGTTATTATTCACTTTTTATTTGAGTGATTAAAAATTAACAGTGCCTATTTCTGAATGTTTGGATGAAGAGATTTCTACTTTGTATTTTCATTGCTCTGCAATCCAACAATAATTTTAGCTTTTTATGTTCCTTCAATCAAATGATTTATATAAGGTCCATTATAGCAAAATTGTCAATGCTGGATGTGAATGGAATCAAACAGAACACCTGTATTGTAGCTGATTGAGGACTAAGAACACACATACTATCGCTCCTGTACTAAGGGAGCTGAAGCCCAAGGAATCCAGCAAACTTGTCCCAGGTTACACAACAACGCAGTCCCAGAGCTGGACAGCAAGGAAAGGTTCGTTAAATCCAGATGCTGTGATCGCTCCAACTCCTTTCACTGCAGAGCTGGTGAGCATGAAACTTCCAAGTTTTACTTTTCTTTATACCCAGCATATCTGATTCTCTGCATTGCGTATGAGCCATTTTTGTATTCTACCATTATTAATTAATAGAGTAAGACCATCATCAGGAAATATTGAGACACTGGAATGAATTATTTCTACTGTACCTCTACAGTACAACTGAGAAAAACACTAACATTCAAGGGTTTCTTTATATATATTACCATGGAAGGCTTTCTTAACACATATTAGCAACAAAACATTCTAAATGAGTCTCTAACAGCCTGACTCCCCCAAAAGTCCAATTCGACTAAAAGTAAGAAAAAAAGCAATCAAAAAAAGAACACAAACAAACAAACAAACAAAAAACATTACAGGTGCTAAAAGAACCAGATTAATACTATGCCCACAACTTCTTAAGAAAGCAGTTTTAAAACAGTACAAATACCTCATGAGAATAGGAAACAGATCTGCTCGGTGGGTTGTTTTCACTATAGTATTATCTTCCGCAAGGTTAAAATGGACGATCTCTTCTTTAAAGCTTTTGTCTTCAAGCAACCTTTGTAAATTTTCCCTTTAAAAATATCAAACAATACAAATTATCGATTAATGAGTACTACCTTAAAAAATATGGTAGTAAAATAGTAGGCACACAGAGTGAGAAGTACAGATAAAATACTGTGTAGTTCATGTCATGTCTGATAACATGAAAAGATTCCACAACAACATCCTCTAACATGACCGGCTTTCAGATTTCACAAGGTAAATGGATAAGAAGGGATTAGATGTAATCAATGGTTCAGCTGCTTAAACGGGTAAGATGCAAAAGCTTTCCAAATGATTACGCTTCCCTAAGCAATTACCACCAAGATCTTATGGCATTACATTAGCAGAGAGGAAGAATCCAACAACCTCCACAGTACTGCTATTTTCCTTTCCCCTTTACTCCTTGAGGAGAGCAGGTCTTAAAGGACATTTCCCAGGCCTTCAGGAAGCCTCTTTGTAAGGGGTTCCTTATGCAGAGAGGTAAGTCATCACAGAAATAGCATTTCTTCAGCTTCACATGTGACTTACCTGTAAGGGAGGACATGAGGATGTTTATATGTCATTATGCAATCCAGGGTTATTTTTTGTACCGTTTGATCTTGGTGTAGCAATAACTAGGAATGATATTTTAAAGAGCAAATTAATGAACTGACATACATGCATACATACTATTGGAGAATAACTTACTTGTGCTATTTTGTTAAATGACATTTCTTAAAATCTACATTTTTAGGCAAGGTTTAGAGTTGATTCCTGACAGCCTTACATTTTTCAGAGATCCAAATGAATAGAATAAGTGTAGAAGAACAAATGGAAATAAAACTGTGGCTCTTGCATGACACAGCAGGCCCACAGGAGTTTTTTGGCTGAAGCCAACTCCTGTATGAATCTGGAATTGTCAAGTGGGAGGGTCAGTGGTGGTAATCATCGCTCATACTATGAAGGCAGGCGATGGAAACATGCGAAGACGGGCTGCCATGATAGCTTACCATGCTAAACCTCTGCCTGTGGCTCTGGCATCTAATATGGGTGCCGGATCGAGTCCTAGCTGCACCACTTCTCATTCAGTTCCCTGCCTTTTGTCTGGGAAAGCAGTGGAGCGTGGCCCAAGTCCTTGGGACTCTGTGCCCAGGTGGGAAACTTGGAAAAGGCTCCTGGCTTCAGATCCTCTCTGCTCAGGCTGTTTTAGTCATTTACAGAGTAAACCAGTAGATGGAAGATCTCTATTTTATTTCTCCTTCTATGTCAATCTGCCTCTCACACAAAAATACACCTTAAAAAAAGGAGAGAGTGATACCAAGAAAAGAGACATGGAGACACGTCTCTGAGGCCTCTCTGAATAAAATGAGTTTAGAATTTTGCTTTTGTGGACAACAAACGAGCAATGTATTTAAAACAATGCCCATTAGAATTATGACCACAACATAAATTCCGCGGCAATTCCGTTTCATTCAAGAAAATTCAAGGAACAAAAAATTTTTATTTCTTTAGATGGTTTAGTATGACATCCAATATGTATTCCACTTCTGACATTAAATTTTTTCACTAGTCTTTTCTGGAACTCAAGGGCATAACATTGTGACTCTCAGAGACTATGATCTTAACCATCTTCTTTCACGCACTTCTCAGACCCTGAAATTCTAATCGTTCTTGAAGACTAACTCAACTACACAGAAAATGCAATCAATTGTTTTGGGTATAACCCCCATTCCCTTCTTTTTCCCCCATTTTTCATCTTACTATTATTTATGATACAGTTCCATAGGCTTTGGGATTTCCCTTACCCCTTCTTCACACCTCCTCCGCATCACACACTGATTTCCCCTATGTTATTGCAATACAGTAATCCTGCATAAACAGTCACAAATCCATCGTGCCGCTATTTAAGGGTATCCTGATATTGCAGGCATGGACAATGGCAGAGAGTACGGCATCCAACTGTCAAGATACATTTCACAGTTCCACTGGGGAGTCCATCTTTGATCTGGAAGTAGAGATGTACCCCCATTTCCTTCTAAAATACTATTCATGTTTGTTATTCTCATTCTTAATGTAACCTATCGAGCTCTACTTACACAAAACTCCTTTAAAACCCAGTATGTCAGTGCTTTCTAAATTGTTTCTGAAGATAAAAAAAAACTCTAATTTTTTAAAAAAGCCAGTATTTAAAATATAGACAATGACCCTATTTAAAAAATACTGAAAATTCACAAATAAGGTAAAAAACCCAGTTAAAAAAAAAAAAAAGCTCAATGAAGAAAATGACAGGAAAAAGTTCACAAAGAATTACAGTGTTGAGAATTTAACTTACTTACCTGAAGATATAACTCGTATAATTTGGATTCTAGATACAAGGCTCGAGGATTTGAAAATTTGGAAAAAACTTGCAAGTGGGCAATTAATTGCCTAAACAAAACAAAAAAGAGCAATACACAATTAGAAAACGAAGACAACTTTGTTACACTAATCCTCATCGTTTCATACTCTGACTCCAAGTACCTCCTACAGTTTCACTAATTACACAATCAAGCTCCAATTATTTGCATTTTGGACATTTGCTATAGAATGTCTAAATATTCTGAATTCTTATAGTTCCCAAATCTAGACTCCCTAACCCAGAAAATTCTTCTAAACGTGCTTAAGATGGCTGAAATTAAGTCAGAGTTAGAAATAAAGCCATCAAAATAGTATTATATTCCTAAGCTGAACACAGGTGGACTTTTTGGAATTATTCTTTATCTAGGTTCCACGTGGCTGACTACATTCCTCCGCCCCTGCAGGTGACAGACTTACGTCAGGCAAACAGGATCTAACCGAGCTATCCACAGCTCTTACCAACCAAGGAGGCAGGACTAACAGTGGTTTCTCTGGGTTTCACAGTCAAATCTAAAGATGTAAATCACATCATTCACTAAAACAGACTTAAAAGGAAGGCTTCTCCTGCATTCATCTGCCTGCCTTACACTCCATAAGACTTCAAAAACATTTGGAGAAAACTGCTTTATCACAGGGTATACTTCCTAAGATGTATGAGAACTTGAAAAGGATTCCAGATGAGTAAGCCTAAGACGTGAAGAATGCCATTTCCCTAATGGAGAACTTCAGCAGAAGAAGGCAGGTAAAAAATTCAAGCTGTAGGTGGGCCTCTGCCATCCTCAGGGTCTGACTTCAGGGAACATTAATTCATGCTTCAGTCTTAGTTTCCTTATTTTTGATAACCATGAAACTTCCTGGGAAGGATTAAAGGAAACAGAGTTGTGGTGCTATTATTCTTACATGTTCTGCAAATCATGTGTGTCTCTGCTCCCTGGCAAAATCCCTTATTTGTGTGCCAGTTAGACTCCCGGCTGCTCCGCTTCCCATCCAGCTCCCTGTTAATGCGCCTGGGAAGCAGTGCAGACACTCCAAGTGCTTGGCCCCTGCCATTGCTACCAGAACCAGGCTGAAGCAGGCCTCATACGCTTGAGCCTCCAACACTGAGAACTGAACAAACTTCCTTTTCTCTCAATATGTAGACTATGTCCAGTATTCTGTTCCAGTGATGAGAAATGGACTAATAAACTAATAGAAAAGGCTAGAAATCATGACCTCTTCAGATATTGCTGAGAAATGTGCTATAGTTTTAACAAATAAATTTAAAAATGTTACTAATCTTTGCTTCTCAGACTTTCTCCATCCCTACCAGAGGTGCGATCCTCGCCCTTACCTTAGCAATGAGCCTTAACAGTTTTACTATGAAAATAGATAAATGTGTCAAAACATTAAAAAAAAAACCACAAAAACCCTTGGGCTATAAACATATTTAGATGGCATCAAGTATATAGTTATCAATTAATTCACATTTTAAATGATAATGTTTGGTTGCAATACTCTAGGTTTGGCCAAAAGGACCTGGTTCTAGAATTTATTGTTTCAATAACCCAGGCAAGGAGCAGGGCCAGGACAGAGGGATGCAGGCTGCTAAGAAGCTTGAGCTTTTAGTAAGATAACCTGCGATGAACAAGGCTGGAGGAAAGTGTTAGCAAAGGAAACAGCACCGGAAGTGCGCTCTGAAGCAAGCACAAGTCACTGGCAGCAATGGGGCAGGAGCGCCACGCAAAGGGCCTGGGTGAGCAACGAAGGCTCGGGAAGAGAAGAGTCTTAATCTTGGGAGAAGAAATAGCAGCCAGCAACATTCAGTTTTAAACGGAAGGTGAGTGAGAGACACATGAACATGGACCAGGACTGTCCCACCCCTCTGGCTTTATGCACTATTCCCATTGGCTGGCACATTCTTTATTGTAGGAGCTGCCTGGCAAACTTTCATCTTTCATCATCAGAGGTGTTTTCTCTGGAGGAACCATGTCTTCATGGGAGGGTAAAGTTAGCTTACAGTTGCCTCTGTTCCAACAACAACTTTAAAATATCCCTCCCACAGAAATCTTTCACCAGGCACTCAACTGTGATGCCTGTGCAGCCGAGGCCTCTGCAGCCCAGCACTTAGCAAGAGGCACTCGATTTGGTGGCTGCAGGGACACATCAACTGGATTACAGGAAACACCCAAAGCAGACACGTGTGGCTGAGATACAAAGTGGTGACACAAAAGCACAAAGCCAGTGGGCCTTAGACTATTTCAGACAACTTTCAAGTATGCGGAAACAACATGTGAAAGCCTGAGCATTTCTACTTTGTTTTTTTTTTTTTAAGGTTTCCAATAATTTAGGTAAATGAATTACCAAGGGAATAGGACAAATCATGAGAAAAAATGTAACTAGGAAGGCAGAGTCAAACTGCTGACCTGCTCATTTAAAACAGAAAAGATGTTCCATTATATGTTCTTTTCACACCAAAACACAAACAATGCCCTGGTGCAATGAAAATGAGAAGCAAAGGTCAGATGGGATTAAACGCTGCAAGCCCCACGCTTTCACCTATACAAGGAGGATATGACTGGGTGACTGCCAAAGTCCTCCTAACATTCTACAGCTCAACTAGAAAAAAAGAGGGGGAAAAAATGAGAAAGGCACGTAAGCAAAACATTTAGCAGACAATTTCCTTTGAGCTATAAAAGAAAACCCCATGAAGACGTGGCACTTGGGTACAAGCCGATCTGAATGGTTCATCTTATGTACAGCAAGTCAGAGAACTCCCCCAGCACTGCCGATGGTGGCCTTTCGGCAACACCGAACTCACTTGGCCGCCGCCCTTCTTGTCTTCTTCTTCTGCGAGGGTTCATCTTGGGGCGACACCTCTTCCTCCAACTCTTCCTCATCTCCAGGGGCAGGTTCCTCTTCCACTTCTTCTGCAGCTAGCCCTTTGCCTTTTCTCCGCAAATCCTGAGTGGGAGCCACCTGCAGATCCGCGGGGTAGTACTCGTTGCTGGGGTAAAGACAGCAACAGGAGCCAGATGAGCTGTGCACACTGGCCGGCAAGGTCCCACCGCAGCCGTGTGATGCTGACGGCTCACGGAATCCCTCACCCAAGAGACATTAGAAGCACCCCGGCTGACCTACTGCAACATTAGTGTTTTTATTCAGTCCCTCTCAGGTACCTATCCGACCAGTCAACTATTAAAGACAGCCCACTTCAAATGTTACAAGTATTTCACATGTCTACTTCGGGCTGAGCTGAGACTAACCTTCCTGTGATTTGAACCACAATTCCAGGTAAAATGACTTCAAGGTGATTTACATTGCATAGTTCAAGGATAGCATTAAGTATCATACTGTCACCTTCTATCAGGTACATTCTACACTGTCAGCATCCATTCAAAATCAGTGTCACCACAAAATTCAGTCCTCCAGATATAATCTGATGAAGACCAATGGAATGATAAACAAATGGAATGCTATGGGTGTTGGGGGCAATCGTAACACAGTAGATTCAAATGTGAAGGCAAAGAAAACCTTCACGGCGTTATCTCCCTCTGATTAAGCTGGTGTTTATTCACACCTGTTCAAATTAAATTCCAGCTCTTGGATTTGTTCTTACTAGTCCTACGCTCTGCTGTAGTTAACGGTTATCATCTACAAGTTTGTCATTCAGTGAGTCAATGTCACTTCTACCCATTCATTTCTCAAAATGATATTTTTGCTGCGCTCGTGTGCAATGCACTGGGCTGGGAAGGTTAGGAAAATCATCAGATTGGCTTTTAAATCCTCACTCAAAACTACACTGCTGAAATAACCTGTCTGACATTCATTACCCTACCAGTACTTCTAAAACAAATGCCAGGTGAACTCATATTAACCTCCAGATTAACACACTAAAGTACAACTTGAGGCCTGAAACACCATTGTGCTTCATATTTTCATTCAGCAAACTCAGGCTCTTCAAAGTAAAAATCAACAAATATGTGAGATAAGCAAAGCTGCTTGTCAGTTACAAACTGTACCATCACCCACTCAATACCATTTCAACAGTCGACTAACGGTAGATATACTGCGTATTTTCAATCTCTCCCTCCAAGCACAGCAAGTTCACTCACTAATTAAATGCTATCATTCACACGAAGCACTTAACAGTACTTAGCACACACAAGCTCTCATGAAGCGTCACCGGTTAACAGGCTGTTCTTGTCGTCATTATCCATTCCTGCTCCTGGCTTAGTTCTTCTCTGACAATGTTTATAGGGATTCAAACTAGTCCTATTATCAAATAATCTGGAAAATATCACTCTCTAAAACAATTAAGTAAATAAAAATAGAAAGCATGTGATGTATTTCAGAGTCAGCATTGAAGGTGGCACTGGGTTCTCCGTTACATTAGAGAATCTTGTGTAAGGGTTAGTTACAGGAAGTCAGTGCCAATCAGTCTTCACTAAACATTCTTTAAAATGTTTGTATCTTGGGGGCTGGCACAAGAGCTCAACTGGCTAATCCTCCAACTTCAAGCACAGGTATCCTAGATGGGCTTTGGTTCATGTTCTGGCTGCTCCACTTTCTATCCACTTTCTGCCTGAGGCCTGGCAGAGCGGTATAGGAAGCTCCAAAGCCCTGGAACCTTGCACCAATGTAGGAGGCATGGAAGAGGCTCCTGGCTCCTAGCTCTGGATCAGTGAAGCTCTGATAAATGCAGTCAATTAGGAAGTGAACCAGCAGATGGAAGATCTTTCTCTCCTCCTTGTGAATCTGCCTTTCCAATAAAAAATAAAAACTAAAAACAAATCTTTAAAAAAACAAAATCTTTATTTTTTTCTTTTTTTAATTATTATTTTTTTTAAGATTATTTTTATTGCAAAGTCAGATTTACAGAGAGGAGATACAGAAAGATCTTCCATCTGCTGGTTCACTGCCCAAATGGCCATAACAGCCAGAATTGAGCTGATCTGAAGCCAGGAGCCAGAAGCCTCCTCTGGGGCTCATACTTACGTGTTCAGGGTCCCAAGGCCTTGGGCCATCCCTGACTGCTTTGCCAAGCCACAAGCAAAGAGCTGGGAGGGAAGAGGAACAGCCGGAATATGAACCAGCACACATATGGGATCCTGGTGCATGTAAGGCAAGGACATTACCCACTAGGCTATTGCAATGAGCCCCATAAATAAATGTTTAAGCAAAAAAAAAAAAAATTCCTGTATCTTGGGGCTGGCACCATGCTACAGTAGGCTAAGCCTCCGTAATGCTGCCATTCCACATGGATGCCGGTTTGTGTCCCAGATGATCCACTTTCCATCTAGTTCCCTGCTTGTGCTGCGGCCTGAGAAAGCAGCAATCAATGCCTCAGGACCCCGGGCCCCTGCACCCATGTGGGAACCCCAGAAGAAGCTCACGTGTGCTGGCCTCAGATTGCACAACTTCAGCAGTTACAGCCATCTGGGGAGTGAGCCAGCAGATGGAAGAGCTCTCTGTCTCTCCTGCTCTCTGTGCAATTTTGCTGTTCAAATAAAATAAAATAAATCTTAAATAATAATAATTGTTGTAGCTATACTTCCTAAGCTTCCTAAATTCAAAAAGACCCACTTCCTATTAAAGTTCCTCTTTCCATCTTTACCCGCATAGCACCTTATACTATATGATCTTTCATCCTTAAGCTAAAGGGTAACCTTTCTTTTCAGAAAAATCTTGCACCATTATCATGGTACAAAGTTTAAACCCTATAAACATCTTTAGTACCAGATTGCATATGCCTAGCCCTTTACAGTTTCATAGAACAATTGGCAAACTTTTTATGTGACCTTCAAAACAAGGCAGAAGAAGCCAAATACCACTGCTTTCATTCCAGAAACAAATTGATACCTAAACAATCTTCTGAAAACGAGAAAATCATTACACTTCCGCTCTTACGTCTACTGATCTTTTACATCTTTGCTTATAACCTTTGCTAGAATGAATTATTCATGCAAAACCTTTTCCCTTTAAAAAAAAGGATTTATTTATCTATATATTTGTGTGTTTTTTTTTTTTTTTTTTTTTACAAACAGAAAAGTTTATTTGCAAAAGGGACCAGGGAGCAGGGAGCAGGGAGCAGGGAAGGGAAGGAAGGGGAAGCACCTCCGGAAAAGAAGCCGGGAGGTGGGGTGCCTCTGGAAAGAGGAGGGAGAGAGAGACACCTATTTATCTATATATTTGAAAGGCAAAGTTACACGGAGAGCAAGACAAAGAGAGATCTCTTCACTGGCTCACTCCCCAAATGGCCACAAAGCCTGGCTGGGTTAGGCCACAACCAGGAGCCTGGAAGTCCATCTCACTATCCCACATGGGTGGCAGTGCTATCAGGACGTGGGCCATTCTTCAATGCTTCCCCACGTGTGTCACAGGGAAATGGACTGCAAGTGGAGCATCTACGACTTGAACCAGCGCTCATACGGTATGCCTATGTTGGAGGTAGCAGCCTAACCCACAATACAACAGTGCCAGCCCCACAAAACCATTTTACTTAATGCACTCGATACTAATTCCTCTTATCTGTCCAAAAGCATGGGCCTAGTAACTTTGTCCTCTCTTATATCATCAAATTTCCCTTTTACTTTGGATCTTTGGCATCAACATCACATGCTGTTTAAATCTCAAATTAACAGTCCAACTACAAAAGTTCCCTCTCTGTCCCCACATTTCCTTCCATCCATTACTCTACTTCTGCTTACTGTATTTATAAGTGTTCACATTTAAGCTTTTTCACTCTTTATTTCCCACGGAGCTGATTCTAACAAAGCATTTGCCTCTACTACTTTGACTGAAACCTTTCTTAAGATCACCTCTATGTGGGTCCCCGTGGTTGAAGTCATCCCTGAGGCCAATGGTCAATTCCTACTCCTCATCTCACTGGCTTTTCAGACATGTCTGATTTACCGCATTAATCCCTTCTGAACTTTTCTTTCGATTCCATGGCTGAGCCCTTCTCTGATGACATCTTGTTGTCAGTGTCAGTACTGGGAAATCTTGTCTCTACACTAATACCCGGAATGATGTCATTCCCGGCTTGACAACTTTAAACGCCTTCTCTCTACTGATGACTGCTGTTTTGTTCCCTCCAGATCAAATCTTTCCTTCTAATTATAAACTTCAGAAATGCAATGGATACGCGACACCTTTAGTTATGTATCTATTTTGTATGCTAAATCTTAACACACCTAAAAATAAATTCCTGGGGCCAGTGTTGTAGCTTGGTAAGTAAAGTTGCCAGCTACAAAGCTGGTACCTCATATGGCAACAGATTTGGCTGCTCCACTTCTGATCCAGCTCCCTACTAAAGGCCAGGGTAAGGCAATGGAAAATAGTCCAAGTTCTTGGCCCCCTGCAACCAATATGGAAGACCCAAAAGAAGCTCTTGACTCCTGGCCTTGACCTGGCCCACCTGGGCCATTTCAGCCATCTGAGGAATGAAGCAACAGATGGAGGATCGCCCTCCCTCTCTCCCTTTCAACTTACAAATACATAAATAAATCTTTATAAAACTAAAACAACAAACTACTGATTCTCTCCACAAACCTTCCCTTTGTGCATTTCTTCTAATGTCAGTATATGCTAACTCAGTATGCTCACTACAAACAGCCTCAATTCTTCCCCTACCTAATGTTCCCTCCCTTGTTCTTACCACCCCACACATTTCCTGCATCTGACCAGTGAACAAATTCTACAGGCTGCTACAGTAGCAATCCTGCAAAAAAAAAAAAAAAAAACCCCAACAACAACAAAAATACTGAATTGAAATCTTCCAAAAAAATATCCATTTTCATTGCTTTCACTCTGGTCTAGTTACATCGTTTCTTGATGTTTCGTCTTACAATCTCAGTTGACTTGTCTCTGCACTCACTACGGCCATTCTCACTTGATTCTCAGCACAGCAGCCAGAAGCATCCTGAAAAAGACTCAGGTCTTGGTCTCCTTTTGTTTAAACTCCCCAATGGCTTCCCATTTCACCAAAAGTAGAGGCCAAAGTTCTTGCTAATACTAACAGCCATAATTTGGTCTCCTGCTAACTTATGCCCAGCTCCAATCACTTACTCCTTGGTTCGGTCTACTTTAGCCACTCTGATGTTCCTTCAACAAGCCAAGCATATTGTGGTTCATGACCTCCAACCTAACCCCTATAGCACTTTTCCCGATAATGAAATGATCCTGTCAAGGCACACTTTCTACTTGCTTTGTACGGGTCTGCACAACAGGTTGTTTAAAGGGATCAGCCTTTCACACAGCAAAACCATTCAGAAACAAACGGATGCTCCAAAAAGGGTTCGCTCCTCAGCAGGAGCGATGTCAAGAGCTGAACACAGTGGGTTTGTTCACAGGGAAATACCTTCCAGGCCCTAACAGGCAAGACAACAAACAAGACAGGAGACAGCAAGGCCTTTGTTTGATGATCAGCCTCAATACGGACCCTGTTTACCTTACAAACCATCATTTCTTATTAATACCAAGTATGGGAAAATCAACTTAAGATTCACATAAAATTATGTAATGACAAAATCTGGTTGGTTATGGATAAAGACAATGCTTATTAGCTATGCAATGAATTTTTTAAAATGGCAAGTACCAGAAATGTAGTTCTCTGGGTTAAGCCATTACTTAAGATGGCAGCATCCCACACAGGAGTGCTCAGTTAAGTCCTGGCTGTTCCACTTCTAAGGCAGTGCCATATAACACCCTTGGAAGGCAGCGAAGGATGGTCCAGGTGTGTAGAACCTTGCAGGACACCTGGGTGGAGCTGCTGGCTTTGGCTTGGTCCAGCCCCAATCATTGTAGTCATTTGGGAAATCAATCAGCAGACAGCTCTTCTCTTGCCTTTAAAATAACTAAGGTGAATCTGTGTGTGTGTGTGTGTGTGTGTGTGTGTGTGTTTTAAAGAAAATGTGACAGATATATAAAGAACTCAACAAATTCAGACAGTTTACATTTTTTTTTTCTCTCTCACATCCCATGAGGGACATAATCCTACAGGAGAACACTTACTTGATGAATCTCAAGAAAAGCGGAGAGAGTTCCCTGGATCGTGGCTCTACTCTCTCTGGGAATTTTGCTAGTGCTCGCCAGAGTAAAAACCGGAAGTTGGTGTGGTCCAGTCTTTCCCGACAGTCAGTTGCCGATGCTAACTGGCTGTGATAAAGAGCTCCAACATCCCCGTCCTGGGGCCGCTCCCAACCTTCCTCTCCAGTAGACTTCTCTTCAGCCCTCAGATCATTCTGCAGCTCTTTCTCTACAAGACACGAAAGTCAAAGTCATAGCTACTACAAAAATACTAACATCTGAGCCCTGTTTCCTTACAGAGAAGTCATTCCCGTTCAGGCAGTGTAATATAAACAGTAATGCCAACCCAAAGGTTATAAAATTAATACATTCCTCATTTCTGGCTTCAATTCTACGTGTGATTACACAGCAGAAATTAGATACTTAGGATCAAGTTTCTTCTCGGCCCTCTTAGGCCCCGTCCATACCAGCTTGTGTAGCTGCTCTTTCCAGATGTTCATAGTAGACTTTCCAAAACTGCTTGTTTTCCATTTCATGTGCATGAGAACTAAGAGAAAAGATCACAAACAAAGTACATAATATGTTTTTTATTTTGAGACCGCCAACAGGAAAAAAAAGCGAATGGCCATAATGCAAATGTTAATTAGCTTATCCCTCAATTTGAGATTTTAAACAACTTTAACACTTATCTCTATTTTCCAAAATGCCTGCACTGCAATTTTTTTTTATGAACATAAAAATGTTAATTATAGCTCCTTACGAAAAGAATATTTTTAAAGGCATGGGACTGGAAATGGGTACTAAAGCAAAAGACAGACTCTGCCTGAGGAAAAAACTCTGGTTCAAAGCTAACTTAAGTGTTCATTTTTCCTCCGTCAAAAGTACAGAAGCAAGGCAAGCATTCACTATGTATGTGAAATACTTTCTAGAACTTAACGAAGGCAACCCTGGCAATCACGGAGGACAATGAACGTAGGCGTCCCAGGTCACTCCCTACCCGTTACACCAAAAGCCTGTTCCAATGCATGTCTCTTCTCTAGGAATTTCAGGTTCAGCTCTCTTGAGAGCTGAAGAATTTTGGATATTAGACAGCACTAGTTTAGAAACGTATTTTTAATTGGAAATTTGGTTCAGTGACTCAATTTACATTTGTAGTATAAAAAAATTTTTCAACTGCAAAAAACTTTCAATGCACAAGTTTCATATAAATTGAAAGACAGAAAGTAATCCAGTTTTTTCAATGCATATAGAAATATAAATACATCTGAACTGTTAAAAAAATGGCTTCAGAGAGAATAATTAACATTTACCTTTCTTTGCCTTGTCCTACACAAAGGAAAGGTAGTTGTAAATACAGCTAACACCTACCCATTTAAGTCACGCCTAACCATGAGTGCAACCCTGGCCCCATCATTGCACAGGTATTAGCAGATAAAAACATCATCCATTTAACCCATGCTCACCTTATGAGTTCGATAACAGGATCCCACAGAGCACTGAAGTTAACATACAACATGCCTAACAAGTAACGGAGTGGCACCTGCAATCATAGGAGAGGGGTTATATGAGCTCCATCAAAAAGTAAGATGCACTGAAATTCAAACATCCCTACTGGAAGAATATGAAGTTTGGAGAGCAGCTTGGACTTCAAGAAAACAGGTATTGGGGAAGGCTTCAAGGGGGAGCAAGCTAAGTCTTCCCCTGTGGTGCCACCACTCAATATGGGTGCCAGCTCACGCCCTGCTTGTTCCACCTTGCAATCTAGCTCCCTGCTACTAACGTGTCTGGGAAAGCAGTGGCCGACAACTGAACCCCTACACTGAGCTGTGACCGGGTGCTACGGCGACAGCCATCGGTGATTGTCAAGGACACGGTTCCCTCACGGTACCGTTCTTCAACACAACAGAAATTAATTTTCAGAGAATAGTGATTTTTTTCCCATACCTCCTCAATCTCTAACAAGGAGAAGGAAAAACAAAACAACCACATTTCTGGATACTTCCTTTCAGCGGGCTCCATTTTTCCCAGCCCAAACATTAGGCCAAGCAGTAGGTTGGTCATTAAACAAAGAAGTTAAAACGAAGTTACGTCTCAACAGATTTTCTGTTAGGAATGCCTGCAACGGCTTAGCCAAGGAATCTCAGCCTAGTTTACCTCCCGTAGCCTTTGAACGCTTGTCCTTGCAACTCAAAGTGTCTCTGATGCGTTGGCGTGACAGTACTTCAAACAACAAGAGAGGGGAAAGGGTGGCAAGGATTGAACATTTGTTCCACTCTTCCTCTCATCCACGACTTATCTCACCATCTTTCTTTACTGAGCTAGAAGCTGGCAGCAGAAGCCACCAGACAGTGCCAGTGTCAGTTTTGCCGCTTTTTGTGAAACCAGCACTTTGCACCAGTCCTGCTGCCTGGGCAGTACTATAAATAAGATACAATAAATAACTGAATGAATAAATGGGATTGCATCTAGGCAGAAGCACAGATACTCAAGAAAGAATTGTGTGGCTGACTGGCACAGTAACCTAGATGCTAAAGTCCTCGCCTTGCATGTGCCAAGATCCCATATGGGTGCTGGTTCTAATCCCAGCTGCTCCACTTCCCATCCAGCTCCCTGCTTGTGGCCTGGGAAAGCAGTCAAGGATGGCCCAAAGCCTTGGGACCCTGCACCCGAATGGGAGGCCCGGAAGAGGTTCCTGGCTCCTGGCTTCAGATTGGCTCAGCTGCAGTTGTTGTGGCCACTTTTGGGGAGTTAATCAATGGACAGAAGCTCTTGCTCTCTGTATATGACTTTTCAATAAAAATAAATAAATCTTAAAAAAAAAAATCCAGACTCTAGGACGGGACTTTGGCAGCCCTGAGCCCTGGTTATCTCCCTGCTGCCTCCACCTGCCTGGCTTCCAGGGCTCCAATAGGAGTACTGCCTGCATCTCCGAGTAAATCCGCTCGCCTGATACCACTTCCACCCAACTTGTTCCATCTGGCTGAAAAGCCCGTCTACTTGTGCTTCTGGATGCGTTATCCATTGATGGGATGAGGCTCCAGGGTGACTTTCTCCATGAAGACTCTGGACTGTGCCCGCTGTGCTTCCTGGCTCACATATCTGTGTCTCCCTACAAGACTTTAGGTTTCTTTACGCTAGGTTTATATTCTCAGTATCTTCCTCACCCTGGAGCCCAATCCGATACCCACAACGTCAAATGCTTACTAATGGACACATTCGGAACACAGAATATTGAATACAGAATTCACTCTTAGCTGAGGCTGGGGCCATGGTAGAAATACTCTGAATGATCATTGTATAAACCCACAAACCCTGTCCCCACCAGTTTTTAAAACTGATGACGACTGGGACCCAACTTGAGATGGATATCGGTATGACCATATTTGCTTAATCCTTCCACTTCTGATGGATTTAACAAAAATTTGTGTTTTTAAGGGGTAGTCTATTTTTTTTTAATCATTCCTATGTATTTCTAAGTTACTAAGCCATAAAAACATATTGAATTTGTAATTTTTAAACATATTTTGGGAAATGATATATTTTGTCCCAGAGAGTAAAACAGGGATAAAACGTATTTGTCATCATTTATTTACAAATCTATGAACATTGCCTGGCACAATGGCTCAAATAGTTTATCCTCCACCTGCAAGTGCCAGGACCCCATATGGACACCACTTTGTGTCCCGGCTGCTCCACTCCTCATCCAGTTCCCTGCTTATGGCCTAAGAAAGCAGTCCAATTGCCTAAGTTCTTGGGACCTTGCGCCCATGTGGGAGACCCAGAAGAGGCTCCTGGCTGCTGGCCTCAGATAAATTCAGCTCTGCTCACTGCAGCCACTGGGGAGTGAGCCAGTGAATGGAAAACTTTTCCCTCTGTTGAATCTGCCTTTTCAGTAAAACTAAAGTAATTCTTTAAGAAAAAAAAAGCACAAGAATTCTATAAAGAAATTTTTATTGAGAATTTTATTGTGAAACAGGGTATCAGGCTGTGAGGATTAATGCAAGACCCAAGGCCCTCAAGGAATAAATGATATAATGAATTTATTAAGAAAAGGATCTTCATTGACTGCCAATCAATAAGCAGGACAATCAGTGTAAACTAAAAACAGTAGAATGGCTGAACTAGGACGGGCAAGAGAGCATCCATTACACCAAACAGGACAATCGTGGCTTCCTTAACTGCCCAGGGTCTCTTGATTTGCAGTTTCCCCTAACAGGCCGGGCTCTCTGCCTAGCCTCACCGCCACATTCTCTTCCCCCTGAATGAGGTGCTGTCCCGTTCTGAAGGTACAACCGAACAGCATCCCTTCCAAAGTGCTCGTTCAATACTCTCACATAGTGCTATATTTTTTAGTTCTTTCTGGATCTGCGACTTTGATCTCTTTGCAAGTAGGAGCCGGGATTTTGTTTTAAAGCATTCAGAGATGGCTGATATTTATGTTTAGCTATCATCAATTGAGTGCTCTGTAGGTGTCAAGTTGTTTTAGCATTTTATATTTATCTTATGTAATGCCCACAGCAACCCAGTGGGATGGGAACTACTATTTTCCCTATTTTGCAGATATAGAAACCGAATCCCTGAGCAGTCCCAGGCTCAGCTAGTGGCAAATTCAGGCCTTGACCTTGGCAACACTTGGTCTCTGTGATGACACCAGAGACCAAAGCATTAGTCCTGCTCTATGCAATGTATTTCCACAGCCTACCCCAGGCTATAATCATTTACACTCCAAAAGCTTCAAAGCTTTTCCCTTTCCTAATTTTCTCTCTGACAGGCAGAGAGAAACATAGAGACCAAGAGAAGCTGAGAGCACAAGAGTCCCACCATCCACCAAGTCACTCCCCGCAGTGCCTGTGATGGCCTGAGCTGAGCCAGGGCGCGAGCCTGGAGCTGAGAACCCCACCCACCAGCTGCCCTGGAGGTGGCAGACTCAGCTGCTCCCAGGGTCTGTGTGGCCAGGAAGCTAGGGCCAAGAGCTGGAACCGGAAAGCAAATCCAGGCACTCCCAAGTGAGGTGTGAGCATCTTAACCACCAGGTTAAACACCTTTTTTCTTCTTGCCTTTTAAAATATGGAATCCACATTATGGCAACACTGAGTCTCTGAAAATCAGTTAAAAATGCCTTTTTTCCGATGAGGAATAATCTGTAAACTTACCTAATTCATTAGAATATAAGAGGCTGATGGTAAAGGCTAGAGAACCAATGAAAGTGAAGATCACATTTTAAAATGCTCAGACGCAACACAGCACAGCTGAGCAGGAGACACTGGGAAGGCCTGTCCAAGCCAAAGGTTCAAGCAGCCACCTCCCTGAGGTGCAGCCAAAGTGGGAGCTACACTGAGTGAGGGCTGGCTGGAACTGCCTCCCAGCTGCACACATCGCAGAAGCTACTCCATTATTTAAAAGGCTGGCAGAGCTATTTACGTCAAAGCATCTAAGAGAATTGGGCCCTACATTTTTTTGGTGACAACTCAAAAATGCTTCTCCAAATGGCGTTCAAAGCCTAAATTCAGATCAAAGTGCATGCGCACACGCACACACGCTCACACACACACACACACACACACACACACACACAGCGCTCCTGTTTTACCTCCTGCAGTGGTCCGGGAGGGACCGCTGTTTGCACCACGTCATGTCTCAGTTTTCTCAGATGCAGAAGCTTCTCCCGGTAATCACCCACAGTTGCCGGCACCAGCTCAGCCTGGCGCAGCACAGCAAAGGCCGACTGCTGCTCTGAGAGCCCGTCCTCCTGCACAAAGAACACCCACAGCACACGGCACGCTCGTCACTGTCCAGAGAGAACACTCAATGGAACCAAACGTTAAAAAACAGCACAAAGTCAGAATATGGCCATGTTTTAAATTGAAGAAGCAACACCCCCCTTTTTTGGGTGATTTTCTTCACACCACACAGTTTTTAGAACACGATTTAGGAATAAAATGGACATACAAATGACAACTATAAAAACTCAGATAACGACCCATTAACAGAGAACCAGTTAACGAAGATATTTTGAACTGTGTAGCATTAGTCCAACTTCAAACGAAATGAGGTTGAACTAGAAGTAATTATGTGGAAAACTTATAACACTATCTGTTCAAATTACATTTGTATATAGAAAAATTATGTAAGAATATTCTGAATTGGATTTTCACTGGTGGTCTTGTTAACAGGTGGGAATAAACATTACACAATATATCAGTTTTTAAAATTATGCATAAAATTAATCTTCTGCAGATACCATTTTGGACATTCAAAACATACTGCAGAATTATGTTTTCTTAAGAACTATCCAAACATTTAAAATACCTCTTTGATTTCTGGAAGCCGAACATCAAAATGGTTTAGGATCCTTATCGTCAAAAGCCGAATCTAAAAAAGGGAAAAGATGATGTTTCAAATTCCAAAGTTGGGCCACATGGAGAAACTGATTCACCATCAATTAGCTTAAAATTTTAGAGAATTAAGAAAAACAGGGGCCAGTGCCATGGCACTGCAGGTGCAGCCAGTGTCTTTGGTGTTAACACCCCATGCAGGCACTGGCTGGAGTCCCGGCTGCTCCACTTCCGGTCCAGCTCCCTCCTAGTGTGTCCAGGAACACATTAGGGGGCCCTGCCATCCGTGTTGGAGAGCTGGAGGAAGTTCCTGGTGCCTGGCTTTGACCTGGCCCAGATCCAGCCATTGTGGGCATTTGGGAAAGATCTCTATTTCTCCGTAACCATACTTATCAAATAATAAATAAATAAATCTTACTGACCAAAGTAAATATCAGGTATCTCAAAAAGTTCATTGAAAATAGAATTAAAAGAAAAGTTCATTTTGATGCCAAAAAATAAAAATCTTGAAATTCATATATTTTTAATTACTCTTATTTGAAAGGCAGATTTATATCGCAGAGGAAAACTTTAAACAAAGAGAGAGAGAGAGAGCTCCCTTCGTTCCGGCGGTTCCCTCCCTGAGTGGTGACAAGGGCTGGAGCTGGGCAGGCCTGAAGCCAGGGGCCATTTCCAGGTCTCCCAAGTGCTTGCAGGGTCCTATGCCAGGGGCCATACCTGCCACTTCCCCAGGCCATTAGCGGGAAGCTGGATCAGAAGCGGAGCAACGAGGACTTGAACAGGTGCCCATATCAGACACTAGCAATACAAGCAGAGGCTTAACCTACTGTTGCCACAGCAACAGCCCCCATATCAAATACACATTTTCATGAATTTTTTGAAGATTTTCTGTATGCATGGATTTCAAATTGATTTAGGTAATAAATTCTTTTTAATTTCATTTTCTATTTTCAAAGTACCCTGCTGTACATGCCCATACTATATCTTATTTCATATTTAACACCAACTAATTCCTAATTCCAATAGTGCATGACCACCTCAGGCTGAGAACATAAGCTTGCCCGTAACAGCATGCAGTGTGTCTGAGCTACAGGCTGCGTGATCCTAGTCTGAGATGTTTGGGTTCAAAAGGTTTTGGATCCTATAGTTTTCTGGACTTTGCAATATTTGTGCAGACTTTATTGGTTGAACATCCTGAATCAGAAAACTTTAAATCAAATGCTTCAAACTCAGAAACTTTGGAGAGTCAGTGTTCCAAGAATTTGGGATTTTGGGGCATTTCAGATTTCACTTCAGGAATAGTTAAGCCGTACGGCACTTCGTGTACCTCTGTATTAGGAAAAAGTAAGCCGACTGAACGAAAATCGGTCATTTTCATTATTAAATACTGTGTTCAGGTATGTCTATCCACCTGAGAGGAGCAGGATCACCTGGAGGACTTTTCAAAAGTGATGCAGACTTTCCAGTTTCACTCACTCCTACTGATTCAGCACATTTGTGGACAGGGATTTGGAATTTATATTTTTATTTACCTCTCTGACCAATCCTGCTGCCATGAGTTTGCAGGCAGTGTTCAGGAATCACTGTTTGGAACAGAAATCATCCCACAGGGGTGTTTTCTAACACATGGCAGTACACACAGAAGCAAGAGACTGAGTGCACACCGCAGAACAGCGTACCTTGGATACACCTGTCGAAATGTTCGCTTGTAACTTGGGAAACAATTCCATTAAAGCTTCCTCGGAGAGTGGCTCCTTGCAGCTGCACAAGGAGAGTCTCTGATAATAGAGATCAGCCAGCAGCAACACAGATGGCTCCGCAGGAAACAGTCTGCAATAAGATTCCTGTCTGTGAGACTCAAACTGCATCACACATCAAAAACATGTAGGTAACAGAACCTCTGGGAAATGACCATTGATGAAGGAAGCATAAAAGACAACAACCAGGGATGCCGGACATGCCCAAATCCCACGTGAGAATGCCTAACTTGGGTCTCAGCTACTCTGCTAGTCCAACTTCCACTGATGCACAACCTGGAAGAGAACGGGTGATGGCTCATGCATCACCTACAAAGACCTGGCTGGAGTCCTCAGTTCCAGGCTCCGGCCTCGCCCAGCCCAGGCTGGGACATTCAAATAAATGACTTGAAAGACAACACACCAAAGTTTCACACAGACATCATTTGAGAGATGAGGAACTGAAGGCCCAGCAACAGTTAGCATTGTGCTCAGGGACACAGGTGAGTACAGCCACTGGAGGGATGAGGATACGCTAGTCCGAGGCTTAAGTCCAACGCTGCCTCTTCAGTCCACACAGTTGCAGGCAGCAGTCACAGAAAAAGAGATACATATGTTTATTAAGGGTTTGCCACAGACTGCACACTGAGCTGATGAGAGAAGTAACACAGAAGAGTGGTCTGGGACCCACACTCCATGAGAGCCAATCCCATCACTCATCAGTGGCATCACCACAAGCAAGCCACCTACCTTCCGTGCACCATCTTCCCACAACAAGGACAAGGGCACTTCCAGCAGCTCGCAGGAAGTGGAGCTGGAAGATGCTTGTGGTGCAAAAATATTTTAACTATTTATACTGCAGGGTCTTCAAAATGATAATGAAAAAAAAATGAATATTATGGACAAAGAATAAATGGATTTAAAAAATGTTGTGCAGCAAAATCAGCTTATCTTTTTATTTTTGCAAAAACATTTTGAAATATCCTCATTTCACTGAGCACCTAGTATGTGTCACTGAGTTCTAGACACTGGACAGAGCAACAAACAAAAATAGTCTCTCTCTCCTCTGAACTTCTATTCCCGAGTCGGCCAATAAATCAGTCAGTAGGTGGGACAGTGATGAGAGACACAGAAAACCAGAGGCTGTTTGACACAGGGTTTGGAAAGCAGAGACTGAGCAGGGAAGATGCGAGCTGAAAGAATATGCAGAACAAGATACTTGGGCAAAGGGACAGGTGAAGCCGAGTCCCAGCTGTAAAGTCACTCAATTCTTGGTTAACACCAAGTGCTCAGCCTGGCTGGAGCTGCATTAACAAGGAAGAACAGGCTGAAAAGGTGGGAGGAGCCACACAAGGTCCCACAGAACCCCAACAGGCAGGACACTCCAGTTTCCTCCCCAGTGGGATGGGATACCACTACAGCAAGGCTTCCCAACAGTGGTGCTGGAGAACTCTTTGAAGGTGGCTCCCTGTGCGCTGCAGGCTACTGGTGACATCCCCCGCCTGACCCCTTAAAGTCACAAATGGTCGGTCCTCTGTTCTTCCCAGCTGTGCCCACCATGTTCTCAACCAATAACCTCAGCCAATAATCACCCACTGTGCTGGTGATGGAGTGACATGGTTGGCATTGATGCAATAAAGAATCACTCCGGCTGCTAGGTACAGCAGGGCAAGGGTAGCAGCAACAAAATCCACTGGGAGACTGGCACAATAACCCGGGTAGACGTGGCACCTTGTGTCAGGGCCTTTGTTCTGCAGCTGACCTCCTTCACCTGCAGTAACACTGCCAACCCCTCAGGGCATTGTTGTGAGGGTAAAATTAAATAACATTTATAAAGGACTCAGAACAGGGACCAGGATAGGATAAGACACAATAAACATGATTCATTATTTCATCATTACTGCATGTATTGCGCCAATTAACCACTTAAGAAAAAAACACCTATATCCTTCAGAGAGATAAGTTGGGGCTAACTAATTTATCCAAGAGTGCAAGATTATGGAGTTAAAAAGCAGTAACGACTTGAATCCAGGTGTCTAGCCGTGAGAGATGCTTAAGCAGTACACAAGGACAACACCATGAAGAGTCCTGCATCTACACTGGAGCGCTACAGCCCCACGCTCAAAAGCTGAGCCACTAGCAGAGATCTTCAACCCCTCGAGGCCAAGCGTCACTTGGCCACCCCCAGGGGACATGCTATGTGTACATTTTGTTTCAAACCTCTACAGTAAGTGTCAATCTCCCATACCACAGTCAGAAGTGTGGAAAATTCAAACAGAAAGGTCAACATAAAGGGGACACAAAATACAGTAAATAACCCTCCTGAAAATGAGTTAGTTCAAGCCAATTCAATTAACCCTGGGGAAACGTCAGCTTCATGCAGAGCTGCAAATATTGGTCTCCTTTATTTCTCTTCAGTCTCTTCTCAGCAGTTGGAGGGATCCAGTTTATTCCCAGGTTATTCCCCCTGCTAAAAATTCCCCAGGGCCTCCTCTTTCAATCACATAGAGGCAAGGGCTCTCCAGCAACCTGAAGGTCACTCGGTCAGCCACCTGATCCTCGCCTCCCACTCTACCTCCTGACTCCTCTGGCAACAATGGCCTCCCTGCTGCCCAGCAGTACCCAGACCAGAGCTCACTGATTATTCCCCCAATCACCGCCTTCAGGTTTCGGCTGAAATCTTCTTGGTAGGGCAGTCCCTCCTTAAAACCACCCCCACGTCCTGACCTCTGGACTCTCCCTTCACCTGGCCCTGCTCCATACTTGGCACCTTCTAATAGAATGCATATTTTACTTATTATTGTTTAGTGTCTCTTGCTGGAACATGAAGGCAGGGAATTCTGTCAGTTTCATCTACTATGTTTCCCCAGTACCTGAAACAGGATGCACTACATGAGAAAAGCCAACTAAATGTTTACTGAAAAGGTAAACAAATTAAATAATTCTTTTAATGTGAATTAATAAATCTTCCTTAAAAAGCATGGGAAATAAAAATGAGCTAGGCTCCAGAAAAACTGAAACAATTTTAACAAATTTCCAAAAGGTCTTATATTTAGAAAAAGATGAATTATTAGTACCTCAATAATGGTCTTGTGCCAAAATCAAGGGCTGACTTCAATTTAAGTATGAAACAAACCAACAACGGGGTTGTTTCAGCGTACGGCGAAAGGACTGCAGGCATATTTTTTGGAATGCAGCTTAAATCAAATTGAGGCAGACTGTGACAGCAGTTAGGCTGGGTGCGTTGGAATCACTGAGAAGTTACGGGCAACTCTTGAGCATTACTGTGGCTGGAGAAACTGGGCTTTGCAACACTCATTTATATATACCATAAAATGCAACGTTACAAAGACGAATCTGCACTTAAAGACTGTCAAAACTCATATTTACGACAGCTAGATTAAATCTCACCATGTGAATGCAACTCCACACTTGCATCTGTGGTATGGAGATTGACAACAGATCATACAAAAGCAGAGCACTCACAGCGTACTCACTATTAAGCCAGATGGAAGACATGCTTACTTACAGCACTAAATTTTTCACACGTTCCACAGGAACCAAACGAAGAAGCTCAGAAGACTCTTCCAAACTTATCAGGGTGCTTACGGCTTGGCAAAGAACAAATAAGCTTCCTAAGGTCAGAAAAACAAGGTGAAAAAAAAAAACCCAGTTACTTAATTCCTTAACATAATAACTATCAAACACCCAATTATCTAGCACTTGCTACAGGAAGTTGTTAAACTAAATCATATTCTGAAGAATTACAAGTCAAATGTCCAAATGTAACAGAAACGTACAGGAAAGAGAACTTTACAAGTCTTCTATTTATTTGCGTTAAGATACCCAAAAGCATTTTCAGAAACAGAACAGTAACATATGTTCCACTAATTATAACATGGATGGAGCATAATGGTTTCACCTACTCCATTCCTAAAACTAGATCTCCGTGTGCAACAGACTTGAACTTCTCAAACACTTAAGAAGTTTTCTATAAAACTTATGCTGATTTCACTTCTCTAATGTGTCAGAAGCCTCACAGCCAGTGGCTACAGCTGGCTAACAGACTCTTGTGCAATGGTTGAAATCCTGGGCTGATATACAGCCCCGATCCACTGGGGGACCACACTAAGTCACAGGTAGCCACTGGGGACTTGAGCCTGCAGAGAATCCACACTGCCGCCTGACAAATCTGCTTCGTACCTGATGGGAAATGCAGCACATTTAAGTGCTGCATTTAAGTGCATTATGCAGCTGTGTTGGAAAAAAATACTGAAGTTAAGTAAAATGCCTGTTTCTCAACCGCTGCTCTCAGACTGCAGGTGTAGCAGCATATGACAGGCAATGCTGTTTGGGGCAGGATAGTCTAACTCTGACTGGACAAAGAGCCATGAAGATCTTCCAACAGATGTTGTTCTTGAATTGATTTCTTTTTAAGCAAATAACAATCTTTTATTTGAAGGTTACAGAACAAGAAGGAAAGACAAAAATAAATAGAGTTCATCCATCCACTAGTTCACTCCCCAAAAGACCAGGCTGAACTAGGCCAGGCCACAGGCAGAAGCCCGGAGCTTCTTCAGGCTTCAGCTTCAATCTCCACTGCCTTCCCAGCTGCATTAGCAGAGACCAGGTATGACAACTGAGCAGCCAGGACTTGAACTGGCACCTATATGGGATGCTGGCATTGCACGTGGAAACTTAACCTACTATGCTTCAATACCTATCACTTGAACTGAGTTTTGAGAATAAGAATATGTATATACATACATTCACCTAGAGGAAGTGTATAATAGAAATATCATAGCAAGATGTGAAGATACAATGCAGTATTCATCTCCACTTCCAAATCAAAGATGGACTCCCAACGAAACTGTTAAATATATTTGACAAGAGGATGCTGGACTCTGACATTCTCCATATCTACAATATTAGGATACACTTAAATAGCAGAATGATGGACTTACAACCATTTTTGAAGAACAATACTATTGTGATAAAATAGGGGAAATTGGTGGGGGAAAGTGTATCTAGGGAGGGGAGTAGGGGGAAATCCCAGATCCTTGGAACGGTATCATAGAACGAATTCATTAAAAATAAATAAATAAGATAAAAAGAAAAGAAGCTACTGAATGACAAAAACCAAGAAAGGTCTCTGGGCAGCGGGATCATTTGTTTAAGGGCACTCAGATGGTTAGAATGTGTCTAACTTGTAGTGATGGCAATGCCTGCAGCATGGGCAGGTGTGAGGGATGGGGAGTAAGACACAGGCCAGGGCTTAGCCATGAACTGTCTTCTACACCCTGACATCCTTTTGATGTTTCCCCTTCCAGATGTTCAAGCCACCTTGACCCAGTTACCAGTTGATGGGGAACAAGTCAACCAGGAGCATCTTACCATCCTTCTGCACTTACTACACGGAGGAGGAGAGAGCAGGGGGTGTCCCAGCAGGACACAATGTTAGTATTATTCTCTGGAATCCCGTATGTTTAGTTAGTTGGGGTGTGTCAGAGAAGGAAGGAAAGAGAACAGGCAGTGATTGTGACTGACCTTTTCCATAGCAGCCTCGGTCAACAGTCCTGAAGAGTGACTCTATGCAGCTCGTGACCACGGCTGTCACCTTCTCCTTCTCCAGAGGTCTGGCCAACAAAGGGGGAGACAGCCACACAATGATTGTTCCCAAAGAAAGGCAAGGAGTAGCGAACGTATTTTAATCAGCACACTAATTATCTCTTTCCACACAGAGTGCAGTTTATTCCCTTACCTAACATGAGGCAGCACAACCAGGGCTGCCCAACACTGCGAAAGGTAAGTGCTCTCATTATCCGGGGGTGACTGAACTATGGATAACAGCTGGCTCAGTACTGGAAACTGTTCCTTTCCTCCTTTGGATCTGCTCTTCTTCTGCCTTAAATAGGACCTAAGGGACAAAAAGATCAACAGATATTCAAAGCGCAAGAATGTACTGGCTCTTGACCTAGAAAGTCTGATATAAAACTGGCCTCTTCCTACGGGGGGGGCCAGGCAGGGGAGCACGAAGCTGGTCATATTGTGATTGAATTTCAAAAAGTGAACAAATTTTCAGTCACAGGTGTGTCAGCTCAACTGGCTCTACCTGCTTTCCATTCTATTTCAATCTGCCTCCTAACTTCAACAGATTTCATTTTTTTAAATTGATTACATTGCATTATGTGAACACAGTTTTATAGGCACTGGGATTGCCCCCAACCTCCAAACCTCCTCCCATGGTGAATTCCTCCACCTTGTTGCATTGCCACAGTTCACATTCAGTTGAGATTCTTTCATTGCAAGCATCTACCAAGTATAAAGTCCAGCATCTTATTGTCCAAAGAAGTTCAATGGTTTCTTGGGGAGACCATCTCTGGTCTGAAGGTAGAACCGGCAGTGTATCATCCCAATCAATTAAAAGCCCTGACATTACATCAGTAACTATTTATAACGTTATGAAACTATTGACATGGTATTGAGTAACCAATATGTTAAAAGAGAAAAAAAAGAGAATGCAAGTTCTGAACCACATCCTGTGACTTCTACATTGACATTTCAATTATTAGTTTATATACAACTGGTTTCTATCACCTTAAAATAGCTATAGATTACTATTCAGCTGTCTCATGTCTATTTTAATTTTAGTATTTAGCAGTTTATAGTGTTGAATCATGATTTTGCTGAACCTGGCTGTTTTTCGGGTAGTCTAACTGTATAACAAGACATATGTCAACAGTTTAGGTGAACAGTTTTAGGAGGGGTGTGCAGAGAAATCTTCAATACCCTAGTGAGGAGTAACTAATCTTTGTGTCCCACCCAGTGAATTATAAGTGCATCCCTGCTGACCATTTCCTGTCTGTTTCTAAGCTTTCCTTGTTGTTCTCTTAACAGAGATTTCAAGTTCCATGTGTTCCCTTCACAGTTTTGCAAGTTTCTAACAACTGGAACAGCAATTCACTCAGTGAGATTTCTGGCTAGGGCATGAGGCTGCCATGAAGTTAATAATAAAAAGTCACTTCTTTTGCCCTGTGCCACTCTCCTGACATAAGCAAAGATACTAGCTTGGAGTATCCTTGGAGAGATGTCACGTCTCCTGAAAGGTTATCAGCAGACTCAATGCAGTTCCTTTAAGAAGTCTGTGTAGACACAGAAAAATTATTCCAAAATTCATACAGAAAGGAAAGAGATCAGGAATAGTTAAAATCATTTTGGGGGGAAAAGAGGGGGGGACAAAGTGACAGTTTCTGTATTTAAAGATCTTTTACAGTGACACTCAGCCAGCAAGGTGCTGGGTGAGGATAAACATGGAGATCAAGGGAACAGGACAGAGAATCCAGAGGCAGACACACATACAGATGTGCCTAACCGATCTCTGACGAAGGTACAAAGGACAGCTCAATCAGGGAGAAGAATATCCCTTTCTCATCAAATGCTGCCAGGGCAAGTGGACACCTAGAGAAAGAAACTTGATCTACATCTCAAATCTCACATAAATAGTAACTCAAAATGGATGATGGGACAAAATGTAAAAGATAAAATGATAAAAATTTTTAAACAAATATAGTAATAAAAGAAAATCTTTGGGATCCAGGGCAGAGCAAAGCATTGCATGAGCCACAACAGAATAATCTAAAACTATCCTCTGCAGACCAGAAGAAAATATTGGCAAATCACATTATCTGACAAAAGGATTTACATTTAAAACACATAACGCATTCTCAAAACTGGAGAAAAGAAATATACTTGTATCAAACTGGCAATGATAAAAAATAATGATAAATATCAAAAGTTGGTGATGGAAGAGAAAATAGATCACTCAGATACTGCTGGTATAAAATAGCACAGATATTATGTAAAACCAACACTTCTTACAGAACAAAGCAAATACCACACAACTCAAAAATTCTATTTTGGGGTACTGAAATGAAAATGAAAAACTGAATGTTCACGACATAAAAGCTCCAAGCTGGATCTAACTGTTCTTCATAAATGAATGAATAAATAAGTTATGCTACATGCAAACCATGAGACACTGCTTAGTGATAGAAATCAGTGGATACTGGGATGCACAACAACGAGGAGGAATCTAAAGCAATTAGCTGAACAAAAACAGCCTATGTTAAGATATAAACTATAATTCCACTTACATTTTTAAAAAATGAGAAATGCATATTATGAAAAATCTATGCATAATTTCCAAATTTTTTTAACTAAAACAAGCTGATGTTTTGAATATTATTTCCACAAATTTTTTGAAATACCCTATTATTCTTAAAATGGCAAAATGATAAAACATGGAACAGATCAGTGAGCCCACAGTTTAGGGATGGAATGGGAGGGGCAGGGTGACATGGCTACTAACAGGTAGCATGAGTAACTCTTTCAGGCATGGAAGAGTTTTACGTCTCCACCCTGTTGGTCCCACACACCTCGACCAGGGCTAAAACTGCAGAAGGTCATATACCCCCAACTGGACACATATTTAGATAAAAGCACAGACTACTGATGAAATATGAGCAACGGTAGTGGATTGTACTAAGGCCAATGTTCTAGTACAAGTTTCGAAGATGCTGCTAATGGGCGAAATTGGATAAATCAGATATGGAACTATTTCCATTATATTGGAGCTACAAGTGCAATTGTCATTATTTTCAAAACTCAAAAAATTTAACAATGACATCTTTCTTTTCCTAACCATCCTTCTAGTAACAAAATTAACAGGTAGTACAACCTTTGGTGTTTTTCTATGCTTACAAACAATGAATATATATATATTTTTAACTTTCATTTTTATTTGAAAGAGGGAAAAAGAGAAAAATGAGAGACAAAAATAGAGATCCTCTATCTACTGGTTAGTCTCCAAATGCCCCCATAGCCAGAGCTGAGGCAGGTTGAAGGCAAGAAACTAGAACCCAAGCCAGGTATCTCCCAAGGACAGCAGGGACCCAAGAGCTTGGGCCATGACCTGTTGCCTCCCAGGGTGTGTGTTATCGAGAAGCTGATTAAAAAATACAGTAGACAAGACTGAAATTAGTCATTTCTGGTATGGGAAACAGGCATTCTAAGCTTCAACGTAATTGCTGCAACACCACAAGCCCTTCCTTACTTTTTAAACAATTTCACAGAAACGATCACATCACATACAATTAGTATAAAGTTCACCACCTGTCTTTTTCAGTTACGTTATCACAGGCACCTTTCCAACTAATAAATGTAGGTTTTCATTTTTTAGTGTTTCTAACTGTTACAACAAAGACCGAGAACTTACCCCACGGTTTGAGCTGAGAAAACCAGGGGGTACTTCTCAATGGCCATTGAGCCGGCCGCGGGAGGGGCTGCTTTGTTCAGAACGAGCTTTGCCAAGATGGCCAGAGCTTCATCTTTGACCTCTGCGTCCTCCATCAAAAAACACTGCTCAATGTACAAGAGAAAGCTTGGTAGGAAGAGCTGAAAATAAGAAACGGAATGTATTAACAGACTGAAATCTCAGAACACCTAGCAATGAAAAGACTCTAACTTAAAGAAAAAAAAACAAAACAGAAATAATAAAATAAAATAAAAAGACTCAGGAACCAGTGGCATCAGACATCTCCACAGGAACGATGTAAGCCAGAGAGAGTGAATTCCAGTCTTAAAAACCGGGAGGGAAAGATTTGGAATCCAGAACCCTAACAGCCTACTAACAGCACACATGTGCGTACACACACACACACACACACACACACGCACACGGACATTTTCAGATAAGCTGAAACTCAGGGATTTGTCTCACACACTCCTTCTCAGGAATCTCCAGGACATCGAGACCATCAAAATGGGGCAATAAATTCTAACAAAAGGAAACCTGGGACCCAGGAAATGGCAGAGAAGCAGAAGGAAACTCTTCCAGGCCCTTCCAGGCACTGGCTGAGAAAGCAACCCATTCAGACCGGAAGTGCGCTTTGCCATGTGAGAAGCAAGTCTACTGCTATTGGAAGATGGACTCACGGGCCAGTGAGCTCTTCAAAGGAAACAATCTCTCATTTATAAACAATGACCCAATTTATCAAGTCTAGGGAAAAAAAAAGATGATAGTAAGAAAAAATATCATGTAATCATAAAAATACTTCTTGTTCACAAGGAATATGTATACAGTAAGCATGGCTTCAACCAAAATGTTTGTGCTGTGACTTTGTGAGAGCATGAAGGTATGAAAGCACGGGAATTCATCTATCAGTTTTCTATTAACCAGCACTGAGATGAACAAATCAAGAAAAAACAGTGGTAATAAGGTAATTAAAAAGTATCCACACTAACAAAAAAAGTTACAAATCATTAGATGCGGCTTCTGCTGGTGACCAGAACAGAAATGAAGGACAAACCATTACCTTCAGATCTGACCAAAGTAAGACAAAAGTAAGATTCAAACAGCGGGGGAAATAAGGTGTAAAGAAAAGATGCAGTTGCTAAGAAAACCAGAGTAAGATGAAGGAACCTCAGGGAGCACAAAGAAACAGGATCCAGGACACACAGAGAAGCAGCTTTTCTCTGAGACATCACTGAAACTAACCACTAGGATGGGAAGTCGGAGAGGGAGGCTTTCATGAAATGTTACAGGATTACTGGTTAGGGACAGTGCCAAATATTTTATGGAGATGATAAACTCAGCATTTGAGAAGATTTCTTTTAAGTACATACTTTGTAGCAATAAAATAATTTCTCAAACTTTGCACTGTAGCTTTTTCCGAGAGTATTTTCTTTGCCTCAAATAACTGTCTATTCAACTGTTTAGTTTCATCATCTTGTTCCATAACTATTTAAATCTTATGAAAAACTAAGTTGGCCACCAGATTTCATTTTAAATACCTCGGCATATGGAATTAGATTTCAACTGTGACCTAGTAGGAATACAATGTCTTAAAACTCACTAAAATATCAAGCATTTGTTTTACTCTTTTCAAAAGAGAAATTTAAAAACAAAATCACAGAATTTCAAATATTAAATCTCACGATAAGCTAAAAACAAAACAAAAAAAACCTCAAGCTTATTAGCTCACTTACCTGCTCAAATTGCTTCATGGCAAATAAGACTTCTGAAAAATCCAATATTAAACATCTTTCAAATCCACTCTCAAAAACCTGCGGAGCACATTAACATATTAATTAACATATTAGTGTGCATTCCACCCCCCCAGGATCTGGGATGACAGGGAAGGGCAGGCACTCCCACCAGTACTCTGTTTTTTCCCAATACTCTGTTTTTTCCCAAACAACAAGTTATGATGGGCACACACTTATGAATCTACATATGGCTCAGTCTAGATGTTGGTCAGTCCTCTTCCAACTACAAGGAACTATGAAAGGACAAGCAGTGCAATCTCTACACCTTCCCAGGTGTATGGCTGAACTACATGAAGCAGAAGGATGGAAAGGACCTATTTCCAATCCTACCTTCTTTCAATCCATCCTCCAAACTACCCGAAAGCAAAGCTTATCAAGTCACAGCCTGGCTTAGAATGAATATTTACAGGAACCTCAACTACTTGGTGGAAGAAACTCAATCCAACTTCTTGAGAACAGGCACTTTTGCTGGATCCTGCACCACACCTCATGAGTCTTGGCTGCACAATTATATTAACATATATCTTTGTTTTTCCCCCTCCCAATGGTTGTAATCTCTTCTCTGACTTGCTATAGAACCCTTGGCCATCCCTAAACCATGTACTTTGAAAATTTTTTTTCTATTCTTCAACCCTACAAAGAATTCAGAGTCCTAATTCAACAGATGTGCAATTGATTAGCTAACTAGCTTACAAACTGCTCATGTGACTCTTTTCACATCAATATTCAAAAACCATTGGTAGTACAGCATTCAACCTGGAATCTGTAGTTCACACTCAGGACAGACTAAGCTGCACAGGCTTGTTGAATATTTACTGTATCAATTAAACTTTTACTACACTTTACTGTGCTTATTTCCACGAGAGCAGGCAATTCACTACTCCTTAACAAGAGTAACTTCCTGACGGCAAAGACTTTGTCACACTCCATTTGTATTCCCTAGCAGGCTTACTCAATGCTAAAGACATTACTAACTGCTCAATAGTTGTTGAAGTAAATTACTTTTTCTATGGTTTCACTGATGAGGGTCTCCGCCAAGGAAACATTTTCACCAAGGATCAAAGCAGAAATTACATTCAAGAGGGTCTTCCGGCAAGATGTGGAGAGATTGGCTATATGTAATGTTTGACTTAACACCTAAAAAAAAAAAGTAAACCAATAACTTTTAGCAAGCTACTTAAAATATATATATATATATATATTAACTGTTGCTGCAAAGGCAGATCAGATTTAGAGAGAGGCAGAGAGAAGGAGAGATAGAGAGAGATCTTCTACATGCTGGTTCACTCCCCAAATGTCGTAATAGTCAGAGCTGAGTTAATCCGAAGCCAGGAACTTCCTCCGATTCTCCCTTGCAGGTGCAGGGTCCCATGGCTTTGGGGACCACTACTTTCTCTGGCCACAAGTAGGGAGCTGGATGGAAGTGGAGCAACCAAGACACCAACCAGTACCCATTTGGATCCCAGCACTTGCAAGGTGAGGATTTAGCCATTGAGCCATTATGTCAAGCCCAGCAACCTACTTTTTAATAAACAGAGTCAAACAGAATAAATTGGGAACTCACCTTACAAACAACATCAGGCATGGTTATCTTTGCTCCATTTCCATGTTTTATAAGTATCAGATATATTTCTAACAGCCTTGTAATCTGTTCAGAACTTTCACAGCAGTTAACTTTTGTTACTTTGGTATGTAGATCCAGGAGTGATTCCTGTGGACAAAGAAGTTAATAAAGTCTAAGTATAAAATAGCAAACTTATCTGCTAACCCAATAATGAAAACATTGTATGGAAGAGTTCAACTTTTCATCACTCTGCTGTGGAAGAAAAAGACGTACCTACCAGGGCATCACTAACAACGACAGGCAACCAACACTGAGGGCTCTAAGTGTTTTGGATGTACTTGCCCTGTTCATAGCATTCTGGAGGAAGAAAATATTTCCACTCCATGTAACCAATGGAAAGACTGAGGAATAGAGACTCTGAATAATTCCCCATGTCACACCAGGTCAAGTCATACAGCCAAGATTCCAACAGGCTCCAAGCCTCTCTTAACCATTATACTCTACTGCATCCCAAGATGCTCTTCGGGTGAGGACATCCGGCCCAGGCTGTCAGACTTGCTGGGACACCCACACACTGCCTCACAGCGCCTGGCTTCGAGTCTCAATCTGTTCCCCGAGGTCAAGCTTCCTGCTAATGCACACCCCGGGAAGCAGCAAGTGATGGCCCAAGAGCTCTGGCCATCCGCTAGGGAGACCTGGATGTAGTTCCTGGCTTTGTCTCTAGCTCCAGGCCAGCCATAACAGGCCTTTGGGGAGTGACTCAATGGATGAGGAATTTTAAGCTTCTCTCTGCCACTCAAATAAATAAATAGCAAGTATGAAGTGAAGAAAAGCCTTTAGACGCAAGTACAAAGAAAACAATTTTTCTTCTAAAGCAAGAAAATCATTGTTCCTCAGGAGCATGGACAAGGACAATAAATAATAACTGAATCTCAAACTGTCATTTTTTCTCATATACATTAATTTTTATATTCTGTATATTAATTATCACAAATGAGGAAAAATGCACAATCTTTGTCTTTTGGGGACTGGCCTAAGTCATCATACGTAACAGCCTCCAACTGCAAACGATTATAAATATAATCATGAAGGGTGCTTTGCTAAACTAAGAACTACAACAATAAACGAGCCTCCTGAAGCACTCATTGGGAAATCAGAATTTACCTGTAAGCAGTCAAAAAATGTACCAAAATGTTCCTTGTAGACGTAGGACACGGTAGATCTGACCATGCTTTTGAGCGTTTCTCCAATTAAAACCCATGGTAGTTGAGCTTCTGTTTCTGTAACTGGTCCCAACTTCTGCAAAATCAGCTTCATTGACTGTGAAACAAGAACCATTGAAATTACACACTGCCTCTCACATTTGGGCATTATACTGATCACCCTCATTATATGACAGTCGCCTTGAAAACAAATCTGTTCCGGGGCAGTGTGCCATAGCTGGTAAAGCCTCCGTCTGTGATGTTGGCATCTTTTTTGGGTTAGAGATCCTGCTGATCCACTTCTAATACAGCTCCCTGCTAATGGTCTGGGAAAGCACTAGAAGACGCTCCAACTGCTTGTGCTTCTGACCCAAGGGGACCTGAAGGAGAAGCTCAGGAAATCTGGTTTGGGCCTGGCTCAGTCCCACTTTTTCTTTCTTCCTTTCAGTGTAACTCTGACATTCAAAAAAAAAATCAATTATCTTAAAAAATAAAAAGGCTATTCTGGAATAATTAATACTATAGTAACTTCTATGGTTAACTATGTGTCCCCTCAAAAATAATTTCTAAAGTTGGATGGGGAATTTATCATACAGCTGTCTCCTCACTCACCTGGCCCATCCATCAATTTATGTTAGCCTCTGACATCCAGGATGAAGACAGCAGTCATTACCTACGATGACTAACTGCCGAGGCTCACACCAGGTAAGCACTGCACTCAGCCTGAACATCACTCACTAAGAGATTTCTGTCTATTTCAGGCACTCCTCTCTGCACTTCATTCTTCTCTACTTTCATTTCACACAAACTCCATGTACCCCTCCCCATGCCTCACCTGGCCTGTACAGGAATGAAACATATTTCTAATTCCTTTGCACATCTCAAACAGCAACTGCCCAACTCCTTCTGTCTTTTCTGGATGTTCATCAAGATCAACAAACATTAAGTTGAAAAGTGCATTTTTATCAGCAACCTAAAATGTCAAATGAAAAATTAAGAGTTACAACAGAAACATATCCAAGTGAAGAAATATTATTCTTCATATTCAAATTTAAATATACTTGGGAAAGAATTCTTAAAGGAACAGTGACCTTAAGCTACTAAAATAGTATATATTCTTACAGAATTCACTTAACAGTCAGAAACTCATGGGTATCACAGAAAAAAAAAAAAAAGAAAGAAAGAAAACCCACATAATGCTTCTTTTTATTATAAGAAATTACATATTTGTACTTTTTGAGCTTAAAAGAAACTTAACAGCAATTTTTTGTTGTTGTTCTACTACAAAAATTCTCTACAATTTACAATGGGAACTTAAGCCAAGCACAGGACACTATTACAAAAATTCCTTTTACTCTCACTGTTTATGTGCGTATTATCTCAAACTCAATAAACAGTGAAAGCCACCAAAACCTAAATAACAAAATGTAACCCAAATTATACTACACTAAATTAATGAGGTCAGCAAAACCTATGTTGAGAATGACTCAAAATAATGACAGATATTTGGTCTTTCTGTTAACTACGTATTAATTTATTTTCATCTATTTGAAAAGCTGAATGACAGAAAGAGATGACATGGCCCAAGCCACCATCTGCTGCCTATCAGGATGCACTAGCAGGAGCTGGATTCAAAGTGAAGAGTCATTGGGCCAGCTCAATGGCTCAACTGGTTCATCTTCCACCTTTAACAGCTAGCATCCCATGAGTGGTGGTTCATGTCCTAGCTGCTCCACTTCCTATCCACTCCCTGCTGTGGCCTGGGAAAGCAGTGGAGGCCAGCTCAAAGCCTTGGGACTCTGCATCTGCATGGGAGACCTGAAAGAGGCTCCTGGCATTTGATTGGTTCAGCTCCAGCCACTGCAGTCATTTGAGGAATGAACCAGCAAATGGAAGATATCTCTGTCTCTCCTTCTCTCTATAACTCTATAACTCTGCCTTTTCAACAAAAATAAATCTTAAAAAAAAAAAAGGTGGATGAGCTAGGACTCAAACAGGCACTCTGACATGGAATGTGGGATGTTGACATCCCAAGCAGCTTAACCTACTATACCACAACACTCCCCGTTTCTGTTTACTATGTACATGAAATCAGCCCATGCTAAGCACCTTAATAAAAGATACTTGTTTCTATTCGTCAGATTTCCAATTATTACTAGTAGCAAGCATACAAACTATCAGACTGACCTTTCTCATCAAGAAAGTAAAACTTTCAGCCGCAAAGTTTCTTATATGCAATTTTTTATGAGCCAGCAGTGTACTGTACATGCTACAAAAGAAAAAAAATTAAGAACCACTTAATTAATCAAACACGTAATTTTAATGAATATGGCTACATGTCAAATATACATCCAACAACATGCAGCGTATGCAAAAATATGCAGCAGGGAGAAAGCAGGCTGAAGCCAGAGACACTTAGCAAGCTAAAGGCCACAGGCAATCCGAGTCCCAGGACTGCTGACACCCATCCTACAGGAAAGATTCCATGTACAGCCAATCGTGCAGGGAGCTCTGAATGCCAGGATGAATCAGATCAGAACTGCCCTGCATATCAAGACAAAAGATGGGCAGACTGAGATGACCACGGACAATGGATGACCAGGAGTGAGTTCATCAGAAAGAGCGATGATGCAGCAGCTGAGGGCGGCTGAGCAGAAAGCTGTTCCGGTAGACGGGTAGCTCTGAACAGAAGAACTTGGGAACTAGTCGACACGTGCACAGGTACTCAGCACAACAGTTCTAGGGGATGCGTTCCATTATTGTAAAACTGACACAGAAAAGCAGCACAAACTGTTCAGGGCAGTAGAATTATGTGGCTTCAATGACAGGATACGAAACACCCCCTCCAATTTTTGCGACATCCCTAGTACCTAACTGCTCCTTCCTCACAGCAGGTATTAAAAAACAGTGCATGATGATAATGAAAATTATCACAAAGATCCATCTGGGAACATATACAAGATGAAATTCAGAAAAGAAGTTGGTAATGCAATTATAAAACAGCTCAAGCTGCACAGCTTAGGCTAACAAGGCCTGAAGAAGAATGGTAGTTAAGGGAGCTAACAAAAGGTGAACCAGAGATACACTCCACAATGCAGTCCTTGCAACACAGTTAGAGAGCTTCTGTCCCCCGGAACCTGAGCAGCTGGCCAACTCCCATTTCTGCATCGCTGAATCTGCACTTGACCTTCACACATGCTGCTTCACCTCTGCAACACTCCTGCTCGTCCTTGAACCTGCCAGGCCTGTGCCCAAGACGCTGTCAACTTTGGAGGCAAAGGAATTCTCTGTCTGATTTGTGATTCATGGCTGACACAGTGTTCAACAAATGTGTGGAGTGAATGCGTGCCTGACAGAATCAAGATAGCTGAATCCTGGGAGACAAAAGAATCAAAGGTACCCTGACAGGTACGCTAACACTGCTACCACTGATAGAACTCTGGCACCCAAACAGGGCCGGTCTAGAACAGGTGCTCAGTACAAACTCACTCAACACCAGGTCAATGAAAAGCTAAGAGCAATGTGTTGGAAGAGCAATACGTTGAGTTTGGTTTCTCTAATGTGAAACTATCCAGGTCATTCAAGGCCGGTCCTGCTCAAAGCAAACAAATGTAGAATTGTAAGAACATGACTTAAGAGATGACAACATTTTTAACAGATTAAATCACAAAATGAATTGAGCTACTGGCAGAACTTGGTATCTGCAGGGTTTCACATCCTTGGATTCGACCAAACGAAAGTGAAAATATGGGCCAGGCGGAGGTGAGGCAGGGGCAGATTCAATCTGCATGCAACATGTACTGACTTACTCCTTGTCATTACTCCCTAAACAAACAATAACATTTATTTATTCTTTTGTTGGCTAATTACAATACACTGAGGACAAAGTGGAAAATTCCATCAAATCCCTAATTTAAACAGATAATAAACAGATAATAATCTGTTTTCTACTTTAAATGACAAGCCACTGCAGAATTCATTCTATTTCCTTGTCTACATTTACTCATATACACCTGATTATTGTTACTTTCTTTGAAGTTTTATAACTTTTGAACGTCTCTTTTGACCTAATAAATTAACAGCTAGGAAATGCAAGTGTTGAAGATAAGATTCTCAAGAAGTTGACAGGTTTATAGAAGACAGAATTACTTTCTAAACATACAAGTACAATCAAAGTTGGGATATACTCTCCAATTGGCTAAATCTGATGGCATTCTTTCAAAGAACTTCTGACTGAGAGGATCAAGAATATGGCGCATTTTTGACAAATAAATGGCAGAAAGTTAAAAAAAAAAAAAAGAGAGAGAAAATTAGGAAGCATCAGAGATATATGATGTTAAAGGCAATAGAACAGAATACAAAAGTTACACTTCAGCTAAGCTGCCTGGGCAGACTGGGGGAAGTTAGGGAATTGGACTTTGGTGGGTGGATACAATACCAAAAGCTGGTGATGACAACCATAAGGTCAGAACAGATCTGGGTCAGACTGTGGACCACTTTGGATGGATAATCAACTTCTTATAGGAAAACAATTATGCACTGGGCTGGAAAGGCACTTTGAAGTCAGACAGAAGCCAGAGCAAAAAGCAATTTTAAAAAATTAGAGAGGGGGACCACTGCCGACTTGGCAGCAGACATGGTGACTGTGAATTGTCCCAGGACGTGGGGGAGACTACTGAGAAAGTACATTACAGATGAGGAATGACTTCTGGGGGGCGTCCGCAGACCAGGGCACTACAACTGTAAATAAACAAGGGGCTGAGACCAGGTGTTTCCAAGGGAGAAAGCCAGAGCACATGTCTGTGCCCACATGGGAAACCTGGACTGGGCTATCTGGCCTGGACCACAGCTCACTGGCACACATGAAAGGGAGGCTGGGGAGGGGTGAGCCCTGCCTGGCAGAACGAGGCCACAGTACCCATCAGTTAATGTCGGGACAGGGGTGGGCCATGACACTAACTGGCAAGTGAGAGAATTGGGTCTGAGGGGTATTTGTAGACTCATCCTCCTGGGACTACACTGCTCATGCTGGTTTGCACGACAGTTAGGGGTGGTGACCACCAAGCTAGACATGACCATGGAACTCACCAACACTCACAAGAACTGGGGCTCTGAGTATCCAATGTTGGCCAAAACTGCAGCACCTCCAGGCACAGCCTAGAGGTAGGTGTGGGAAGGTCCAGGACGCAGCATCCAACAGCACTCACAAAGGCGGAGACCGGGGGTGGACTACGTGGGACATGGTCTAAGCACCTGCTGTCACATGTGAGAACTGGGCCTGGTTGCAGGATGGTGGGGGAGTTTGCAGAACTTCCCTACTAGGCTATACCTACCACTGGTAAGCACGAGAGCTGGGGCTGGGTGTGAGACAGACCAGGAAGGGCTGCTCCACTCACTTGTCAGAAGGTTTGTGGATTGACTAGCAGGGTAGACCAGGCAAGGCTAGGCTGCTTTTGTTGCATACCACTACTGTAATTGTTTAGAATATATAACATGCAGATTATAAATAAAATAAATAAATTAGAAAGTACCAAAGCATCTCAGAGCTATCAAAACCATAACCCAGTCCTCCACACTGGGGGTCTCAGGATGAGATTAAGTGGCCATCCCCCCCATCCCAGGATACTGATGCGGTTAGGTTTCTATGAGTGACATTCTCCCTTCCTGCCCCAGATATAGGAAGAAAAAGAAGGAAGTTGAAGTAATTGTCTCATCCACTTTCCCATCCCTAATCGGTGACCCACATGGGCATGCATACCTCACAACTATATAAACATCAGCAAAAATGAAATAAATATATAAAATTGATGCTTTTTTTAAAGGTTAGGAAGAGAAAGGGTCACCTGTATATCCGGGACATGTCCTTCACCATCAGGCGCCACAGGTACTTGTAAAGATAAGACAGCGAGGTGAAAGCCCATTCTAGCAGGTCTGTGTCCTGAGTCTCCAGGATTGAGGTGATGGTGAGGAAAAAATCTCCAAAGTGTGGGTAGAAATCCGTCTGCAGGTCTCGTGCCAACTGTACAACCAGACTGGATTTCACGGGAAGCGACTGGTTAGGGATCACAAATGACTCTACAAATGCATTTAACAACAGAAAAATAACCTAACATCTTAAAAAACTATCACGTTTCAAAAGATATCAAGTTCTTCTAGTCTTCAAAGTTCAGTAAAGAAACTGAGGAAGAAAGTGCACTGCATCATGGGTCGTGGTCAACCGTCCGCACAGTGCCAGAAAAACAGGGAGCCTTGAGGAAAATATCAGCAGAGTAAAACTGTACCTCTAACATCCTGCTTTACGGTGATGTAGCTTTTCCTATTGTCTTGTTCTAACAGAAAAAGGTGACTTCTTGATTCTAAATTACGAAGTCCAAACCAAGGCATCCGTACATATACAACGTAACGTTTATGGGGCCTGGCACAAACAACGTAACGTTTATGGGGCCTGGCACAATGGCTCGATTAGCTAATCCTGCCCTTGTAATTGCCAGGATTCCATCAGAGCACTGTTCTGTTGGGTCTGGGAAAGCAGTAGAGGATAGCCTTGGGACCCTGCATCCACATGAGAGATCCAGAAGAAGCTTCGGGCTCCTGACTGGATCAACTCAGCTTTGGCCATTTTGGCCACTTAGGGAGTGAACTAGCAGATGCAAGATCTTTGTCTTTCCTTTTTTTTTTTCTACATCTCCCTTCCCAATAAAGAAATCTTTCAGTGCTACTTACTCCAATAGGGGTTGGTAGGCAAAACTGTTCTTGATTTGTAGGTGAGATTTTAGACTTTGGACGATCTCATGCTGATGATACACCAGCTGATTGAACGACTGGCATTTGTCAATGACCTCCTTGTAAAATTTCCCTAGGCAAAAGAACAAACATGCGCTGCTTTTCCAGCATACCACAACTGCAGTTGTTTGGAATATATAACACGAAAATTATGAATGAAATAAATAAATTTGAAAATACCAAAGTGTTCGGTAAGGTTTAGTTCTCTCCATTTCAGCAGACCCTCAAAAAAGTAGGTTTCAACCTCCTGAGAAAAATGAAGCAGTCCATTAATCAGGCAAGTCCAAGAAAATTTTGATCAAAGTAAACAATAATGATACATTAGTATCTTAAGGCAAAGAGGATACACAGTTTGAAAACTTCTATTTTTTTTAAAGACAGTAACTAGTACAGCTAAAAAGCAACCAGAACTACATCGAGAAATGATTAAACCAATTTTCTGTCAATCTGGCTGCAGCAAATGACAATCTCAAGCCCATACATTAGTCACGCTACAGAAATTTCCTATTTTTCTTTTTTTATTATTTTAAGCACAGAATTTGCAGTTCTTTATTCTGCTTTATAAATACAAATTCATACAACTTTATGGAGACGTAAATCAGCACTTCTATTAAAAATTAAAGTTTCTATCCTTTGATCCTCAGTTCTCCTTTGGGAGATATTATAAAAGTATGTAATTGTGTCAATGCAATGACGTCTATTCAGTTTTCCTACACCATAACAGGAAAAATACAAAACAGCCCAAATATACAGTTGGAAAATGACAAGAGTCACTAAAAGTTTAGACATATAATGGTATACTATGTAGCCATTAAAAAGTAGTATTATACTTGTATCTACTGAACTAGAAGGATACTGATGATAAAAGTTACATAGTGTAGGGTATGGTAGAATCCAAATTTATTTAGAACACGTTTCCATTGGCATTTGCACATAACTGCATGGACACAAGAGAAAAAGTACATAAAAACACAGATACACTGAATCATCAACCACAGTTTCCTTGACAACAAGGTGTGGGATGAGTTAGACAACAGCTTTTTCTAAGTTCACTACCATACTGTTTAGTTCATTAACACAGCATACATTCCTTACTTTATGAAATAGTATATTACATTATATCACATTATATTGTTGTATAATTAAAGACGTGTATGTAAATTTAAAAACCCAAAGTATTTCTGCAGAGCAAATGATACAGCTAGATTTTGGTTAGAACAAAAAAAAAAATGCGTAGTTTCATCCATTTCTTTTTACAGAGGAGGATACGGTTCCCCAGGAAGGAGACGTGTTCCCAATCAGTTTAAATGATAGCTGCACCTGTGAGATCCGTAGCAGCACAGACCACTATGGGCAAGGGAGGGCTGTGACCCCAAAGCCACCTGAGGAACAAGGGAACTCGCTCACAGAGGAAAATCAGAGGACCTTCCATGCTCATGGACTCACATTTGCACTGTCCAGGGGGGTAGTGATGGCCCACATGGCAATTAGGTACTTGAATTTTTAATTTACTGTGAACTTAACTGATACTTAATGCGTGGCTACAGTATCAAACAGCACAGACCTAAACCATTTCATGCTCACAAGAAAAAGTAATTCACTTCTACTAATACTGGAAACCATAAACTACAAATATCTGAAAAGTGGCTAGCGGCACACTCTCACCTCCTCATAGCTTGCAGTTCTATCGATGCGGTGGATTATATCGATATTCACATTCCCCAGCCGTTCCGCGAAGGTTAGAAACTTGGAAGGGAAGCATAGAAAGACATATTAACGTAAGGAACAGTTTGCCTGGAGCCTGGTGTAATCCTCACACGCTGGTAGTTTCCTAAGTTTAAATCTTCAATTAGTCCCAACAGAAGCGATGTTTTTCTGTCATTTTAAATTTGGGTATTCTTTCAGTCACAAAATACACCACTTAGTTTTTAAATGAAAAGAAGGTATCACCGATGAATCACAAAAGGCACAAATACGGGCTTTAAAAGCTTAAGGTGTGCAATGTACTGTGTTTGCAAAAACTTTCAGTTGTATCATGTGAGACTGGAGCAATTGGCCAGGTGAACAGGAGCAATTGGCCTCTCTGGATCTACTAGCTTTCATCCTGCAGGCAGAGATCCAGCTAAATCGCTCCAACAAAGTGTTTTTAAACAGAGACCGGCGGCTGTATCCTAAGGAAGATCTGAAAAGAAACTTATCAAGGAGCAGAGTGCTGGGGAAGCTTGCAAGTTCCGCCCGCCCTCTCGCCAGACCGCACCTCCCCCGCCCCCTCCCCTATCGGTGCTAGAAGATGAAATAGCAGAGATAGGTCCTAAGCAAGGTCCAGGGTTACTCACAGTAACTCTGGACCTCAGGTTTTTCCCCTAGCAGGGCTCCGACACTACAGGCTACAGCGAAACCTGCGCTTGGCACTTCTGCCCCAACCCGGGTTCACTACAGCCGGACTCTCACTTCGGCCAGAGCCCCGGGCAAGCGGCTCCAGCTCGGTGCAGCACCCTGCAGCCCCGGGAGTCGCCCTGGAAATCAGTGTCCCATGTGGCCCCCGGCCCAGCCTCTCGCGCTTACCCGGTAAGTGTTCTCGGTCTTGTGGGACACAGGCTTTGGCTTCATGGCTGCGGAACGGCAACAGCCCGCGAAGCCTCGGAATGCGGAAGAGTTGTAAACGACAGCAGGAACAGGCAAGCAGCTCACACGCCGTCCTCTTGGATCCCCAGATGCCCAGACTTGGCTCACGTGCGGATAGGACCCTAGGACGCCGCCATGTTGATGGGAGGAGGAGCCGGAGCGGAGGGTCACGTGGGCGGAAGAAGCGCACGGAGCAGGCGCACTCGGCCCATTAGCCGGCAGCTGGGAGCGGTAGGGTGGAGCGGGTGTGTCTGCGCCGGTTTCCTTTCAAGACTGCGGGAGAAGCAAAGGGTGTGTTTTCGTTTTTAAATCAAACGTGTCTGTCACCATTGGTACTTAACTGCTCGTAAATACGTATCCTAAGCCCTAGCAAAGTTCTTACCTATTTCCATCCTAAAGTTCACTGAATGCTATTGCATGTAAAGCCGACGTATTCGCCCCCAGAAATGTCCCCAATGGCCTGTAATACACTGTGGGTGATTCAATTGTTTGAGCCACCATTTGCTGCCAAGTCAGGCTGGGTCAAGAACCCACTGATATGCATGAGATCTGCCACTAGGAGGTGACTTAAGAGAGGAGCTTGGAGAACTCCTCTGTCAGGATGCAGCCTCTGCAGGTGAGTGCAATAATCAAGGTTGGGAGCAGCCCAGACCAAGCTAGGTTACAGTACCCACTGGCATACTTGTATGGGATGTAGGTGTCCCAAGTGGCAGCTGAACATATTGTACCACAACACCGGCCCTGACCTATAAAATTTTGATGATAACCATCAATGTGGTGGATTGGAAAGTATTTAACACAAGGAGTCAGGGCATGTGACTTCTGTATAGGATGCTCCCTCAACTGTGTGGCTCTGTAAAGTCAAGCCTATGAAATACATAAGATCAATCCTTCCAGATATGAAAAGCACACATACATGCTTCAAATGTTGCCTTATAGGAGATCAAAAAATTATTAAAATTGCTCCCAGAACTTCTTACATATACTCAATGTTTTCAATGGTAGTGGAGAAAGGACTAGCAGTGCAACAATTGCTTTTTTTTTAAGATTTATTTTTATTATTATTTTTTTATTGGAAAGGCGGATACACAGAGAGGAGAGACAGAGAGGAAGATCTTCCGTCTGATGATTCACTCCCCAAGTGAGCACAACGGCCGATACTATGCCAATCCAAAGCCAGGAGCCTCTTCCAGGTCTCCCACGCGGGTGCAGGTTCCCAAAGCTTTGGGCCGTCCTCGACTGCTTTCCCAGGCCACAGGCAGGGAGCTGGATGGGAAGCGGGGCCGCCGGGATTAGAACCGGTGCCCATATGGGATCCTGGGCGTGCAAGGTGAGGACCTTAACCACTTGCGCCACCGTGCCGGGCCCCAATTGCTTTTGAACATCTCCTTGTAACCCAATGGTATAATTATGTTCAAAGGCTGTCTGAGAGTATGTGATTTACACAGATTCTGTGGAAATTTAACCATGGCAATGAATATTGCCCATTAAAAAGCAACCAGTTCTTTTTCTGCTCATATATCTCTGCCACAGGAGCCAAAAACTATAATGATGTCATTTTACAGACTTAGGAAATCCAGAGAAACAGAGGAACATCCCCAAAATGGCACAGGAAAAGAATGGCAGAACTTGGGACTAGAATCTGGGTTATTGACTCCCAAATTAATATTCTTTTCATCACAATTGAGCTTAATTCACGCTACATGCATAAGCATCAGTGGATATTTTAAATCACAAAACAAGGCCATGACTTCTAAACTAGATTTGGCTGGGAGTCCATTATTTTACATCAGCAGCAGATTTTCTTTCCTAAAAATTCTTTGCTTACAATAGTGTGGGATGTTTTACGCAAATCAGATAATTTGAATGGAGATCATTTGTATTAATAAGGCTCCTTATTTAGAAAAGATTTGTAGTTTTCAAAGGACTAAATGTCCACATCTCTCATCTTCATGACAACCCTATGAGGTAAGCAGGGTAGATACAATTTCCGTCATATTATAGAGAAGGGAACAAGTAGTCCCAGGGACAATGACTCAAAGTCATGCACCTTTGCTTAATGGTGCCAGACTTTCTTACTCCCAAGAGACTCGTCACTGCAATGACCTACATGAGTCATAAAAGGACTTCCAAATCCTCCTAGTTGGAGAGATAGCACTGTGTAATGGCCAGAAGCACAGATTCTTGAGCATGCATGACTTTGAGTCCCAGGCTGGTCTTCTTTATGATGCTATGCATCCTTGGGCAAGTAACTTGGTCTTCTTATACCTCAGCTTGCTTACTACTAAGTGGGATGATAGAATTTGTATCAGCAGAAGACTAAATGAGCTATTACATGCAAAGCACTTAGAATAATATCTGCTTTACGGTAAGAGCCATCAGTGCCAGCTATTAGTCACCTGGAAAATGCAGGTGGTGACGAGTCACACAACTAGACCTAATTTCAAGCAATGCTAGGGAATGTAGTCTAGCTGTGTGCACAGAAAGAAGAGAAAATGGGTTTTAGTGAAGGATAGCTTATAGTCTGTGACTATAACCTTAAACCTTAATGCCATAAACCTTGGTGGAATTTGTGTGTGTGTGTGTGGTTCAGCTTATTTAATTTTATTTGAAAGTAAGATTCACAGAGAGAAAGATCTTCCATCCACTGAATCACTCCCCACGTGATTTCAATGGTCAGAATTGAGCCAATCCAAAGCCAGGAGCTAGGAGCTTCCTCTGGGTCTCCCACAGCAATGTAGGGTCCTAAAGCTTTGGGCCATCCTCTGCTGCTTTCTCAAGCCACAAGCAGGGAGCTGGATGGGAAGTGGAGCAACCAGGACACTAACTGGTGCCCACATGGGATCCCAGCTCCTGCAAGGTGAGGATTTAGCCATTGAGTCATCATTCCAGATGCTTGCATAAAAATCTTAACAATTACCCTGTCCTGGGTCCCAGAAGGTCACTTGATACTGAACTGCTGTCAGTTTAGGGGTCAAGACTTTCAGCATAGGCTTCAAGCAGATGCTTCTTACGTTCAGCCTCACATCCTCACCCTGCCTTCTCCCCAGCCCTTGCTGCAGCACCCACCTGCCAGAAGAATGAATCAACATAACCTTGTCTCAGCCTCGCTGAATTGTGTTCTGCCCTGAGGTTGCTCTTACCACTTATTTGGATGCCTAAAAAATATATATATTTAGACTTTCACATATGCAAACATACCAGTGTGAAAGGGCTGGCATCTTGTCAATCTAAACAACAAAGAGAGAGAGAGAGAGACACTATAAAGAATGATAATATCTATCTGGGAACAGGCAGGTAGCACTGCATGGTGAGCAGGCCTGCTGGAGGAAGCCATGGGTGTATTTCAAAAGCCTGAGGAAAGTTGTTAAAGGCAAAATGAGAGGGTTACATTAATTATTTTGCTGTGTTACCGTGATCAACAAAAATCACTAACCAGGGTACCATCAGACCAGGGTTAGACAGTTTGAGGCAGATGTCTTTTCAGGAGTCTTTTCCTTTGTGCAAACTTCCGGTTCTGGCAGAGTCTGTGATAGCTTTTTTTTTTTTTTTTTAATCAGATCTACGTGCATGATGCCCCCTCCATTATAATCTGCCTTTACTTTTTCATTGTAGGGGTTTGACAAAACTGACCCATCTTGATTCTGCTTTCACGGTGTCTTAAATTTGTTTTTCTCCTCTGCTTTTGGGTTGTGCCCACAAAGAGTAGAGTCATTGAAACCTGACTTTCTCCTGTGTCTCTCATTCAACAGTGGCTTGATTTATAGGTTCTTGACGCTCGGTGATGTGGGTTGCTTCAGCACTCTTGGCACGCTTCCATGCCCATAGGCTTTGCAGGTTCTGACAGGGATGTCCTGCCAGGAAACTCACAGAACCACATCAAGGTGTTTGTGTTTCTGTGTCTCCAGTTTGCTCTCCTAACCAGCAGATGTTGGCCTTTCCAAGAGTTTGGGGAACTGGCTGAATTTTAGGTGCCTGCTTAGAATCCTTGCTCCATCAGATAGCACTTTTTTGACTGAACAAGAAACAGCCTCATTGAGCTCTCTTGTGTGAAGAATGAGTAATATATCTTTCAAAGCGTTTCTAGGTGTGTTATGAAGCTCAAGGAGCTTAACGTCAACATCTCTTGCTTGTACTGTCCCCTCACAGAAGGAACTAGGCCTGTTGTGTTTACAGCTTTGTACTAGAGGATCTCTCAAGTGCCCACTGTGTCGTCATTGGAGTCTTGAATGAACGGCTGCTTGGGAGGATGAACGAGGAAAGTGTGTGTAAAGCACTTAGACCCAGGTCTGCTCATTGCGAGAGTTTCATCAACAGTGCTTGTAGTTAGTGAAGGCACTTCCTCTCCATTACCACACTTCCATATAAACGTTCCACATCTGCCAGTGCCTACTGCTTGCCCAGATCAGTTCACAATTTGCTTTTTCTTTCTTCTTCTTCTTCTTCTTCTTCTTCTTTTTTTTTAATAGTTTTGGCTCTTTACCAATCTGTCACCGCTTGCCATTCTGCCGCTCTTGTCCTATGCCTCACTGCATCCCCCATAATGATGAGCAAATAATGTCTAATGAGTGTGCTCTTCGTAGAAATGATGTGACAGCAAAGAGAGCATGTAAATAAATTGTCTGAAGCTCCTTGGAGACCCAAGATCCTGCTAATTCTTGGCAAAATATCCAGCAAGGCAGCAAACCAAGGGCCACTGAGGTAAAGCTGTGATGTTTTGCCAGTTGTTAATATAAAAGGCCAATTGTCAATGACCATGACGTAGAGATGTCTCCCTTAAGAGCATGTGTATCTCGGAATTACCCAAGGGCTGTAAGTCGCCCTAATAATGGGCCTTGGCCACAGGCAGACAGAATACAACCCATACTTAGTCTGAAAAGACACAGCACTCTGCATTGCAGGGCCCTTTGTCTGGACTGAGGACGAGTCCAAGGGCTGAGTGGAGTGTCTGTGTGCCTTGTCTCAGGAACTTGAATTAGATTCACTCGGACACTGTCATTACTTAAAGCCTATTGTGCACAGGAGCAATTCATAGGATGGATAAAAACATGAACCCATGCTTTCTATTGTGCTGTGTTGGTTGTTGTTGTGAAGAGACTGTAACCTTTGGGTAAGATGAATCTAGGTTAACCAGGATC